TCATAATTATCCCAGTACTTGAAAAAAAAGCATGCAAATTCCAGTTACACTGATGTACTATCAAGAATACTATATAGACTAGGAAAAGTCCTATTGCAAATACCAACAGATATTTCATTATTTCGTTCTGATTCAATCCAATTAGTAAACATGCTATGGAACATAATCCAAATATCACACCAATGCTTGAATAATCCACATTTGTTTCCCAGTTATAACAATCACTTAGTACTAATACCAGAAATATCATTATTAACCCACTTAAAAGAATCAATACATATTTCATTATTGGTATTTCCTTAACTATAAGTAGTAAGCATACTGCACAACATGTACACAATATCAAAAAACCGTTCGCGAATACAAGTTTCATGCTATTTTCCGAATAATGTACTATCAGGAATATAATATATTCAATGAATATGCCTATAGTAAATATCAATATATATAGCATTTCTCTTTTACTATTATCATGGAATCCGACTGATAAACTTGTTATTATGCAGATTCCCAGTATTACACCAGCACTCGAATATACTACATTCATTTTCCAACCACAGCATACTAATAATTCGTATATTGTAAACACCATCAATAATCCAAATAAGAAAATCAATACATATTTCAATGATTGCATATCTTTTACTCCAATGATTAAGCTTGATATTAAACATGAAATCAATATCACACCTGAAATTGGAATGAATATACTTAAATCCAAATCAAAGAATAGAATTATCAATAACATAATATAGATAAGGAAAAGACCTATTGCAATTATCAAGAAATATTTTATGAATTGGTTTATATTTAATCCGATTGATAAACTTGTTATTATGCAAATTCCCAGTATTACACCAGCACCAGTAGATAACACACTCATTTTCCAATTACGCTTGTGTACTATCCAAAACAATATATAAATAAGAAATACTCCACTCATTGATATTCCAGCAAATATGTTAATACTATAACTAAATAAGGTAATTGCCAACCCAAGAGGTATTATACCAGTAAGTACATTGTCCCAGAATGATAAATATGTCACTATTATTACCAGCAATACTATTAATCCAACATATAAATGAATCATGAAACATATTAAATCAAAGAACAGAATTAATGAAACTGTTCCAGCATACCTGCTATAATAGAAACTAATCATCGTTATATATATGCCTGAAACCACTGCTCCTACATATACATTTAATTTATAAAAGCAAACTGCAGCACTCACAAACATAAATACAAATATCAGTATCATCCACAAATAGTAATGCATTTTCTTCATCCCCTTTATCCATTCTCCATCATATACAACATTTCCATTGTGATACTCCTTACCATGACCATTTCGCTTTCCATTCTTTATACTGCCCTTGTAAATTAAAGTTACTCCATCAGTGTCATATTCTTCACCCTTTCCTTCACGGATATAATTATATTCATCATTCTTTACATATTCTCCTGAGTACCACAGTTTCCCTTTCTTGTACTCATTCATTTTATTTCCACTAAACATTTTCAAAACCTCTGTTTCTTTTCCATTTTTCCACTTACTAACTCTATGTATCTCTCCATTTTGGTAAAAATAAGAAATTCCATCATATTGACCATCGTCATTGATTACACAGATTCGGACCAGATTATTATCATTATCCACTTCCTTCCAAAATAACTTATTGCCATCCATTGGAGTTAGTTTGTTGCCATTAATTTTGTAACCTTCAAACAGAATACTGCCGTTACGAGAATATTCCTTGCTTATTCCTTCAGGAATTCCATTTCGATATCTCCCTTCATACCAAATTCCTTTTAAGTCATCATAAAATTTGTAATAACCACTTTTCGATATTTCTTTTCCTTGTTTCCATTCACTTATCTTTTGTAATTTTCCATTTTCATAGAAATAACACACACCTTCATATTGTCCATACTTGTTTTTCTTGCATATACATTTCAAGTTTCCTTTTTCATCATATTCCTTCCAATATCCATTCATTTCGGGAAGACGAACCAAATTTGACTTTTTCCCATTTTCAAAATATCCATCAAATAATAAGTTTCCATTTTCTTCATATTCTTTGCTTGCTCCATTTCGAACACCATTCTTGTATTCTCCTTCTACCCATTTCTTATTTTTCTCGTTATAGAATTTGTAGTATCCAGTGAATGGTATTTCCTCGCCTACCTTCCATTCAAATATTCTAATAATTTCTCCATTGTCGTCGAATTGCACTTTTACGCCATTGTTTTCGCCTTCGTTATTCAGTTGATTCACTATTTGTACATTTGCTTTTGGCTCGTCTGTTTTTTCCAAATATCCACATGTACTACTCACTATTTCTATCTTTTTTCCTTTATCATATAGCCCGTCATAAATTAGATTGCCTTTTTCATCATATTCTTTTCCTGGACCTTCACGATATCCATTTACGAATTTTCCTTCAAAAAATAGCATACCGTTGTCATGATATATGGTACAAGGACCATTTGCAATACCTTCTACAAAAGTTAGTTTCGCGATTCGGACTTTGCTCTCAGTAAATAATGTCGATTCACCATCCATTTTCTGGTTCTTCATATTAGTTATAATTCTGTAATCTGAATGGGGATAACCTGTTATTACAGTTGTTTCTCCTTCAGTGCTTTGTATACAAGATATGGGAAACTCTTTTCCAAAATCCGATTCCCAACAGTTCATTCTTTTGATGTTAGAGACTGTCTGCATAGACATCGGAATACTGACAGTAGTAAAATTCAAATTATCCATGTATTTAAAAAATAATATGACATTATTTTTTCGAAAATAACATATTACGTTTGTTCTCAGTTTATTGATATTGTTATTTATACAATATTATTTTGTAGAAGTTATATATATAGATACTTTAAGTTGTATGTAAATGACGAAATAAGCGTAGAACCAGATTCTTTTTTGATTATTTCTTGTTGTGTCATTTTACGAGGTTCTTAATGCCAGGAGATTTTATACCAGTAACCATACACTTCACTACTCGCCCAGCTTACCTTCAGTCTTCGGCTGACATAATTGGTGTCAACGCTTTATATCGCCAATTGCATTCTACTATTATTATTATTACCTGAGTGGTCATGTCTTTGGAAAAGAGGCCATACATTTCTCCATGCTCATCCAAGGAAATCTGATGAATAACACGTTCAAATGAATCAAACCATGCAAGTTTAGGGATCCTTATATCACATCTATGACTGCGCTCTTAAACCCTATCATGTTGTGATCGGTAATGTGGACACGACCAATGTGATGACAATCACGAATGACGAAAAGCAAACGATTCCTATTGGCTGCTACGCAGTCGGTAAAATCATTGCCATTCTAAACATTATTACCGATACTACATTCTCAGTTTCCACAATCGCGATCAGTTACAGTTCTATCTAGATCTATTCATCATACACCATCGATTTCACAAATAAACCAGATATCCGAGAAATCCTTGGGTTAGGAGACTGAGCGACCGAGTTACCTGGTTCGTTCTATGGATCGAATGTGATTGTTATTACTCGAAATTGTTGATTGATTCAAGTATATTCATCGTTGGTATGATCATCTGATTTGAAATCGCTAATCAGAACAACAATTCACTCACCACGATGATTATTGACGATCCTAAGGGTGATTACATTCAAAACTGTGGAGGACATCAGCATACCGATGATTCACCGATTTGATCTATTGATGCTCGTGTTCAAGGACCTGGAAAGCAATATCAAGCACCTAAACGACGAATTTAAGCTCCAGTTGACCATTGAGGATAGGGTTGAAGGTGTAAGCGTTTCTACTCTCATGTCGACGAATCAGTTCAGTGTGATTGAAGTATTCGGAAACAATAGCATGAAGGAGATGAAATTGGATAATCCTCTATCATTCGATAAGTGTTACATATCATTTGTATCATTCTATACCGATTTCACATTCCATAATGTACCATATGATCAAGTAATTGTGATCAATGGAGGTAGAACAGATGAAAGTGTAATATCGATTCCACGAGGTACATATGATATCGAAACGATCATCACAATGTTGAATGCGAGTGATGCTCTATTTGAAATAGTGTATAGTGGAGAAAATGCACTTTGAGTCTATAACCAGTTTGTGATTCTTCCTCTGACACAACTTATTCATTCCTTGAATAAAGCGGTTCATTTATCGAGGTATGTGTGGAGCATGAATGAGATCAAGGAACTATGGAAAACAGCAAAACGAAGAGGTGCTACTCGAATGATCATTAGTGGATTCAAGAGAAACATATACTTCATCGATCTCATCGATTTCTCTTCCAAATAACACAAATCGATACAGGAAGTATTAGGATCACAAAAGAGTACTGGATTCCACAAGAATCGTGGATATAAATATGTCCTTGTATGTATTGATGGATATTCGAAATACCTGATGACTCGGAAACTGAAAAGCAAGAGTGCTACAGAAGTCATTCATGCAATGAAGGACATCATTCAAACATATGGTGAATCACCAAAGCATATTTGCTCGGATCGAGGCACCGAGTTCATCAATGCCATCTTTCGTACCAACATCTTGAACAAGTATGACATCACCATATATCACATGGATTCAGCGAATAAAGCAGTACTAGCCGAACGAGCAATTCGAGATATCAAGGAACACATCATGGTTCCATTCAATCAATCAATGGAAAGGTGTATAGCTTGATTTTCCAGAGGTCAGCTGCTTGGAAGAAGTTTTAGAGTACAGGGTACGGACGTAATAGGCAGTCGACGGCCAGCTCAAGATCTCATACAGATCAATGAATTGTTTCTATGTTTGTTTGCTTGATTATTTGTTAAGATCAGTTATTCTTCTACTTCACTGCTTAAATCTTCTTCTTGATACCAATCTTTAGCTGCTCATACTTTTCATTCCAGCAATCGCAGAATCCACCAACAAAGCATCGCATCCAGGCAGGCAAATCTTCTCCACAGCCTTCAGTTCATCACAAAGCTGCTGGATTCGCCTCAGAGAGTCGTGCTTTTCGATCTGCAGCGACAGCGTCGGGTTCCAGCTTCCAGCTTCCAGCGCCTCCGAACTGGACCGATCCCGGGTTGCAGGTTTCGTCCTTCACTGTCCAGCTGTCACGATGAGCCACGAACTTCAGGAACGGAGTATTGTTCATATCCACGTTCGATTCCTACACTTCAAACCATCCAATCTCCATCTACAGGATCGAGGGACTATACACTCCCTCGTTAGCCTCCACGGTGCAGAAGACCTGAAGAGGCACCGCATAGGGAATCCATTCCGACGGTTCCTCCTTCAGATTCCGCAACGTCGTTATATATATATATAATTCCGGTGAGATTGTTCTGAATCAGCGCGGCTGCCTCTCTTCCCACAGCATACGCATAGTCGCAATCGAACAGAGAAGGGAACGAGGTTCGAGCCTGATAGCCGAGGATGTGAGTCTGATAACCAAAGAAGTGCCTGTTGTAGCTTCCCTCTTCCTTATGACGCTGCAGCTCCTTCTTCGCCAATTCGCCGATCATGACTTCCGTCGAAATCGCGTGGAGTTGGAAGCTTCCGCGCGATTCAAATTCAAAAGATATGTTTCAGAATAGCAAGAGTTTAGCAGTATTGATTATGGTAACTCTCGTTCACGATATAGAAGTCCAAAATATTCTGGGTTATTTCTTTTTCATGAATAGTAGTACAATTACTATTTTAACTCTGTAGAAAATCTAATAGATAAGGATGATATGTGCTCTCTTTGATCCTTTTGCATTTTTGGCAAATACTGTGTGACAATAACTAAAATGTTCAAGGAACTATAAGATATTGCAGTGGTATTTTAAACACGCAATCACATAACGGTTATCAGCTTCAAATCCTATATAATTTCGTGCTGGAAAATGCTTGGAAAGAATGAGACATTTTTAAAGATGTGAATGGTTACTCATCTGTTTATAGCACCTCATACAGTCTCTATTTTCAGTATATCGTATACTCGATCAAATAAGTACTGATATTAAGTAATCCATTCGGAAAGCTATCTAAAATGAGCAGGAGATACTCGGTAAAATTTGGTCCATGGCTGCACTATCCAATCCATTCATACTCTACTCTCTAGAGTATTCTCTATAAGCTCAAAAATACTGAAAGAACGTTGGTAGTAACACAGAACACTCTTATTCATTTCACTCATATAGTTACGTACCAAATAAGAGTGCCTAATGCTGGTCATCAAAAAACGCGTTACCTTTAAATGGTACCAGTTATTACCAATTCTAATAGGAAAACATTGATTTCACTAATAATGACTTGCATTCTCCTGAAGCCTATAATAGACACCTTTCAATGCCTTTACCATAATGCCCGTAAGTATTCCTTCATCTTCGGACATTTTTCTAAACGATCCCTGCAATACAACGAAATGGTATTTCCGCAATAAACCGGATACAAAAACGGTACGAAGCTGAATAACTAGTATATTCTACCAGAAAATTATGATAACTACTGAATAATCATTAGCGCGTCACCTTAGTTCATCTCCTCTACCAGCCTTATCTGTACACTATGGAAGCTCATATTTTGTCTATTCGTTTACCAGAGACTTTTATTTTTGCATTCTTCAAAATGAGCATGTTTCACGTCCATATAAGCAGATTCCTCTTCTTCCTCTCTATTCACTAATTGTATATGTATCGAAAATTCGGACTTCATGAAATAATAAGAATATATAAAATAATATGCAAAAAACCATTATCAAGCTTCAAGTTTTTGTATTTTACTATTTTGTTTATGGAAAAGAATCGGCACTATGTTGTAGCTCTTGGGATAGAGGGAAGTGCAAACAAGGTAACAGCATAATTATTATTAGTAATTATGTAGTGTGGAGTGGGCATTATTAGGAGCAACGGTGCCCAATGTGAAATTCTTGCAAATATTCGCAAAACCTTTATATCTCCTCCAGGAACTGGTTTTCTACCCAGAGAGACAGCTTGGCATCATCAAACTCATGTAGTAAGTCTTGTAAGGCATGCGCTGAATGTCGCAAAGCTGGAGCCAAGTGATATTGATATTATTTGCTTCACGAAGGGTAATGTTTCTTTTTTTCTGTTATCCAGGTCCTGGAATGGGTGGTCCGCTTACTTCATGTGCTGTAGCTGCAAGAACACTATCACTACTCTGGAAAAAGCCTATTGTTGGAGTTAATCATTGTGTTGGGCATATTGAGATGGGCCGGGTAGTTACAGGTGCGCGAAACCCTGTAATTCTGTATGTAAGTGGTGGAAACACACAAGTTGTCGCGCGTTCGATGAATCGCTATCGCATCTTTGGAGAAACGATCGATATCGCGGTTGGGAACATGCTCGATCGGTTTGCTCGTCTGCTCCGGCTCTCAAATTCGCCCTCTCCCGGCTACAACATCGAGCAGCTAGCCAAGAAAGGGTCTCGTTTGATCGAATTGCCGTAGATTTTTCTGGTTTGATTCGATGCAGCTACACGGTCAAAGGAATGGATGTCTCCTTCAGCGGACTTTCCACCTTTCTCGATAAGTTTGTCAAGGAGCAGGGAGAGCGCGTCTCGGCCAGTGACTTGTGCTACTCGCTGCAAGAAGTGGCCTTCTCGATGCTTGTGGAGATCACGGAGCGGGCCGTTGCTCACACGCAAAGCGATACGGTTCTAATTGTGGGAGGGGTCGGATGCAATCAAAGACTCCAAGATATGATGCAGGACATGCTACGTGATCGAGGAGGGAAGCTGTGTGCCATGGATCAGAGGTAATAGGAATTGGACGTCTTTCACTTAGGTATTGTATCGATAATGGAGCCATGATTGCTCAAGCGGGAGTGCTGAGCTATTTGTATAATGGAGAGACAAAGCTCGCTGACACGGTGTGTTCGCAGCGCTATCGCACGGACGAGATGGAAATTCTGTGGCCATGATTGTATTTTGTTTTATACACTCTTATGTTTCCTTTCTCACTACTCCGCAGGCGCTTAGATAAGGCCGATATTAATTTATTGATGAAGCTGAAAGTGTTTTTGGTCGATTGTGATGGAGTCCTTTGGAGAGGAAGTAAACCGATTCCAGGATCAGCGGATACCGTGAATTACTTAAAGAGTAAAGGAAAAGCAGTATACTTTTGTGTATGGCCGTTTTCTTTTCGTACCCTTTAGTCAAATAGCTCTGCTCGTAGCCGCATAGACACGGTGAATATGTTAAAGTCATTCGGGGTGGATGCGTCAGAAGATGACATTTTGACGTAGTCTGTTGCCTTTCTTTGTTTCTCTTAGGTCCTCTTATGCAGCGTCGCTCTATCTTCAGAAGCAGCCGAATCACGGTGAGGTCTACGTTTTAGGAGAAAAGGGAATCTATGATGAGCTTGAAGCGGTGGGTATAAAATGTCATGGAACGGAAGACAATGGATGTACGGACATCCAATCCCTGACCAAGATGAATCCCTCGATCGGTACTGTAGTTGTAGGACTCGACCGCAACGTCAACTTCTTAAAGCTGAGTCGCGCAGCCTCCTATATCCGTGACTACCACTGCTCGTTCGTGGCGACCAACAACGACGCGACGGACCCGAACGACTTGGGTCTCACGACCGCAGCGGCCGGTACGCGCTCCCCGCCTGTTTGAAGCGTAGGCAGCCTGGTAAGCGCGGTCAGCACAATCTGCGGCCGCCAGCCCGACGTCATTCTGGGGAAACCGGGGTCGATGTTCTACGAAATCGTGAAAACGCGGCATCCGGAGATCGATCCGTGGGACGTGATGATGGTGGGCGACCGTCTGGAGACGGACATCGCGTTCGCCAATCGCGTAGGAGCTTTCGATTCGGTGGGATGCAGAACGGACTGAAGTCGCTGGGGGTTTTGACGGGGATTGCGAACGAAGAAACGATCCGGAAGGCGGAGGGCGAGCTGGCGCCGCTGCTGTACACGGACTCGCTGACGGATGTGAAGGACATTCTGGTGTTTGGAGAGGACCTGACCAACGAGGACGAGGAGAAACAGGCGCTGGAGGAGCTGGAAAAGCTGAAGGAGCAGCGAAGGGAGATGCGAAGAAAGCAGAGAGAGGAGAGAAGGAAACGGAAGGAAAATTTGGAGAAGGAGATCGAGGAGGGGAAGAAGCTGATCGAGGAAGAGTTTGAACGAATGGAAAAGGAAAACAAGCAAAACGAGGGGAAAGATACTCAAAACTAGTTTATTTTTTCTATTTGTTTTATACTGTATATATCCTACTCCGGCTATATTGCAATATGATTATTTTTTATTGTATTACCTTCTCTCCCTTGAATCACATCTAAGCTTTGATAATCTTCCTAAAGATTATGTCTATGTGCGCACCTACGCATGGTTCTGATGAAGAGATTGCTGCTTCTTCAGTAAATCGAGCTCAGCCTTTTTTAAGTTGGTTCTTGAGATATCAATGACTCTTTAGATCATTTTAGTAGTTCTGAACCTATAGGAGAGTTAGGAAATCATAGGCCCAAACAATACGGTACTTTGTTACTGGGGTGTTCTTATCTAGTAGAAAGTAGTAATCGAGAGCGCAGCTATGATGAAGAGAGTATTTTTATGATTATATCATTGTTATAAACTAGAAAAGCGTGATGAGTACTCTCCTTACTTAACTACTTGTTCTGACTCGGATGAAGAGTGTAAGAATAATGATTGCTTACTACGGGCAGGTGAGTTAAGGCAACTAGAGGAAGCGGAAGATCTTCGTTCAAATCCTTGACTTGGTTCATTTATAGGTAAATCAAATGAGAGAGGATCGTTGGGAGAGGAAGAGGAGAAGGAAGCTATGGAAATGATTTCCAAAGATAGGAAAAGGAAAAAGAAGCATACAGCAAATGCAATCAAAGAAGAATCTGAGATGGAATCAATTCCGAAGAGGAGAAAGAAGAAACAACACGTGAGAGAAGAAGAAATTGTTGAGGAAGCGCCTGAGGAAGCAACAAAAGAAGAGGAGGAGAAGACCATTGTCGAATCAATTCCAAAGAGAAGAAAGAAGAAACAACGAGCGAAAGTTGAAGTGACTGAAGAAGTTCCTAAAGAGGAAGAATCTGTGATTGAGTCAATTCCGAAGAAGAAAAAGAAGAAGCAGCAGCAAGTAAGAGAAGAAATTGCTGAAGAAACTCCGAAGGAAACAGCTGAAGAAGAGGAAACTGTGATCGAATCAATTCCGAAGAGAAGAAAGAAGAAACAACGAGCGAAAGAAGAAGTGATTGAAGAAGTTCCTAAAGAGGAAAAAGAGGAGGAAAGCATTGTCGAATCAATTCCAAAGAAGAAAAAGAAGAAACATCAAATGGAAAAAGAAGAGATTGCTGAAGAAACACCGAAGGAAGCAGAAACAGAAACAGAAAAAGAAACAGAAACAGAAACAGAAAGAGTAACAGAAACAGAAGAAAAAGAAGAAGAAGAATCCGTGATGGAATCAATTCCGAAGAGAAGAAAGAAGAAACATCAAATGGAAAAAGAAGAAATTGTTGAGGAGGCGCCTGAGGAAGCTGCTAAAGAAAAAGAAGAAGAAGAGGAGGCCATTGTCGAATCCATTCCAAAGAAGAAGAAGAAGAAGAATCAAATGGAAAAAGAAGAAATTGCTGAGGAAGCTGCTAAAGAAAAAGAAGAAGAAAAAGAAAAAGAGGAGGAGGAGACTATTGTCGAATCAATTCCGAAGAGAAGAAAGAAGAAACAACGAGCGAGAGAAGAAGTGATTGAAGAAGTTCCTAAAGAGGAAAAAGAGGAGGAAAGCATTGTCGAATCCATTCCAAAGAAGAAAAAGAAACAGCAAATGGAAAAAGAAGAAATTGCTGAAGAAACACCGAAGGAAGCAGAAGCAGAAGCGGAAGCGGAAGCAGAAGCGGAAGCAGAAACAGAAGCAGAAATAGAAGCAGAAATAGAAGAAGAAAAAGAAAAAGAAGAATCCGTGATGGAATCAATTCCAAAGAGAAGAAAGAAGAAACATCAATCGAAAAACACGATCGATGAAGATTCATTTTATGATTCTTCGACGAATAAAGGTCAGAAAGTGAACAGGATTAAAGAGGACTCGATGGATGACTCGGATGATTCTGAGGAGATTTCAAACAATGACTTCGATTCTCAATCGGAGAGAATAGACGACATTCATTCGGACGATTTTGAGGAACAAGAAGTCACCAGCAGATCTGCAGGATATTCATCAAACTCCATTTGGAATCGTGTGAAGATTGTCCAAACGAAATCACCAGTTCAGTTCCTTGTTTCTTTAGTGTCACAGCGAATCACCTTAACTCCCCAATTCAATACAAGCTCCTATTATTACATTTACTGCACGCCGCAGCAACGCACCGAAAAAACTCCAGACTTGGACTATTTGATTGCTCTCACCTTTCACAGTAATCTCCAGTTGTATTCAAACCAATATCCAAAGCCGATTATTCTCGATTCGATCGAACTTGCCCGTGTTGTGAGTGTGCATTGCTTAGTAATGAGCTCATACTTCGAGGTTTATCCGCCCATCAAAATTGATACGCCTGTCGATATTGTTGAAGAAGCTCCTGAGATTGTCATTTCTTACAAGGATCGAACTACAAACTCGTTTTTGTTCTCTGTGAATTCCACAGTTCCTTGCTATTTGTGGTGCAGTGCGTTTAGACAAGGCACTCCACCTCCTTCTGTTATCGAGTTAATGAGAAAGCCCAAACGGTTTATGCGGTCGTTCATTGAACTTGAAGAAACTGGATTAACACCAGACGTCGCTTATAAGCTGTTTTGTTACGCCGAATCGGTTCGTGGATCGCCGATGAATACCCCGGTTGAAAATACATTTTCACTGTTTACCACCAAAGAAGGTATCATCTTCATTCATCTTTGTACTCACCTGTAGCTTCTATGCTCATTTCTAACTGGATTCAGACCTCATCGGTGCTCACCTTTACAATTCGCTCCACTCATAGCCACTATCCCATCTGCCTATTAAATGGCCAGCCTCCCGCCAGCGAATTCTTTGCTTATAATGGTGAATATAACTTCCCTCTAAAAACTGGAACTTACTATAATCTCGTTTGCAGAAATCATTATGACACCAAGGATTACGTCATTAAACGATCGTTCTATGTTAATCGAAGTGTTTTCACGGAATTCTGGATCGTGTCTTTGATCGTCGTGTTCGGAATACTTATCTACTGGAGGTCGTGGATTTTCGAAATGTTGACTTCGTTCAAAGCAAATGCCAACCAGGAAGAAACGAGCAGACTCATAAAGAAAGATGTCACGCCAAGGGAGAAAGAAACCAAGCATCTCTTATCGCCTGAGAATCAAAGCCAAAGCTATTCTGCAGTTGTTTCTCCTTCAGAATGGAGATGTTATTCTTGCATGTATCTAAACTCTACTACCAATGACAGATGTCAAATGTGCAATACTTTAAATCCTGTCGTTGCCAAGCAAAGAAGCAATTTGCATGACGATTACCCATCAGCTGATATTCCCTATAACGCAAGTGTGATGGAGTCTAAGAACAGTAGAGTGGATCAAGAAAATGAATATGCAGAGTCAACGGATGAAGACTAAATAGCAGATTCTATACATTAGGTTAATGTATACTTTTTTATAATTCACATTATCATTGTTGTTGCTATTTTTATTCGTTAGTCTCGTTCTTTGACTATTGGAATATTTAGTTTTTCGTTTCATTGTTTGTTACCAATTCACAGAGTTCAAAATCAAGAGAGAGAGATACATCTTGTGGGTTCTTGTGTTGGAAACAAGGAATACTAGAAAAATAACACGAATGATAGTATGCAAATAATCACGATAGGAGGAAACTAAAGGGTAATCATTGTGTCTATCAGTGCTCTCATCCCTTATGTTTCAAGTTTCACGACGGACGTTGTTTATTTTGGATTTATCTTTTAGTCAATTGCTTTTCTAAAACTCATTGATGAATCAATTTGTTTGTTTGTTTGTTCATGGATTTTTTATTACAGAAAACTAATATCCAGTGGAAGATTTCCTAGCGATATTGATCATTCTCCACACTCATTATAATCATTCTCCCTTCACATAAAAAACAACAACACAAAATTAGATCTGCAGAATTCATCTTGCCTCCATATTACCATTCGTTGTGTTCGCTACAAAAAGAAAGCAGGATCGAGACCTAAATCATTGCAATGAGTTTATTGAAACAACAATCAGTACCAATCCAAAAACGATTCCAAAATAAAAGCAGCATTGCTAATCTTTTCAAAAACAGCAACTACAATGTAGCGTCCATCGATTGCACAAGAGATTGAAAGTGAGACGGAAGCGGAGCAATAAACTATCGTATGAACTATTGATCGAGCAGCCCAACCGTTTTCTTTGCGCCATTATACAAGATCGAAATCTTATGGCAATGCAAATAAAAAGCCTTCGGATCAATGAGCTGGTTCCTATTCATTTTCCTCCTTTTTCCATATTTTGAGTCGTTTAAGAGCTCAATGCCCAAGACATCTTTCAGATGAACTCGGATTTGGTGAGTTTTCCCTGAGTAAAGACGACAGCGCAGCAACACAATCTCATCTTTCTGTTTGACCACTTCGTAACTATCATCCACAAAGAAGAAAACGCATACCCAGTCGCAGCTGGAGTCGCTACACTCGTTTCAATGTGAGCTGGAAATATGTTTGTAGGAAGAGGCTTCACTTTGGAATTGATAGCGTGATAAAAATGGCCAGCATTTTGCTCCTATACTCTTTTTTCGATCCGAATGCTTACAAAATCCGAATAAACAATACCAACTCTTGGAAAATGCGATGAACTGAAGGAAACATCGTAGCCAGCAGCGAGGTACATCTTCGATACTTCATGGCAAGCAAATTCGTGACCCAGAGCCCGGGCAGTTTCCCTGTCTCGAGCAACGAGTAACACCCCTGTTGTATCCTGAGAACAAAACATCCCACAGCACATACCTTGTCAAGTCGGTGAACTGGATAGAGTAAGGAGGTTGAAAACATGGATTTTAGAGCAGAAATAACGGAACGAGCGGAATCGAGGTCAGTCTAGAAAACAGAAAATCTCTCACCAAAAAGAACTTGACATAGAGCATTAGGTGGTTTATTTACAACAATTATGTGATCATCGCAATACAAAATACGATCTTTCATGTCCCCAGGCAAATGCTCGGGACGATTCATATTCAACATTTCTTCATTCATCTTTACAAAATAATCGGGTATATGGACAGTACAAGGGGAAAGCAGGCGTTCTCCCGCTTTCATGTACATTCTATACCTCGATTCTATATAGTTAGTTTACCTTTTGTCATTATCAAGAACAAATATACGTTTTTTACGAATCTCTTGTTGAATCACAGAATATGGAGCCTATGTCATACAAAACAAATTAGATATGCTTTTGGAAATTTGTCCATCACATATTTGTCCAAACGACTATTCAGAGAAGATCTTTCCACTCGAAACAATAGAGTACGTTTGAGGGAATGTACAATACTACTATTCGGAATATAGTTTGTACGAAACATCAACCAAAAAATAATACTACCTTATGAGCTGGCCATATCTATCACCAGATACCATTCAAAATGAAATCAATGATATAAGTGTAACCTATAATGCATAGGAATAAGCGATAGTTGAGAGCGAAGCAAATGGTCAACTTGCGAGATAACCAAATTAGCGCAAATGATGAGAGCAATATGGCTGTTTTGAATTTTACTACATTTGAACTGATTTCTAGGCATTACAGTTTTTGACAAAGTATAATAGAATTCAGGAGATTTCGAGTGTGTTACCCGGATTGGAACTGCTATTTTTGGTATTACTTGAAAGTGGTGTGGATTGTAGTTAAGAAGGAGAAAGTTATGCTTATCGCTACTAAATACTGGAATGGGTAGTTCGACAGAGAAGGCAGAGATGACTTCTATTGTGAAAGCGATTGATGATCAGCTTGAAAAGAAGGAATTTTCACTAGAAGTGCAGCGCTATATCTTGATATCATATGTAGGCAACGAAAATACCTAAAGAGGAAGAAGAGGCATTTTGCCAACTTCGAACCTGCCTGTCTGAGTGTATCAGCGAGAAAACCCGCTTTGTCGAAATGATTCAATCAATCGCTTCTCGTTCACCAACCTATTTAGTCTCTATCGTCCCACTTATTCTCAAAGAGATTCCGATTCCTTCTCAAGTTCAGATTGAAAAAGACATTCAGAGAGAAACCTTTTTGATCAATGGCGAAGAAGTATTCGGACAAAACTGGTGCTTCTAGAGTGATGTTGTTTTAATTATAGCAAGCGGGTTATTCATCAGCTTTTAACTTCGATTATGAACTCGGGCACACACGAAAACCCTTCCACTGATTCGATTTATGAGATTGTGATGCAGCAACTTTGCCGAACGCGAATTGGCGAATACTGTTTCAATGAATTGAGTCGAAATCGATGATGAAACACTGACATGTAGATAATCTGTTTTCCTTTCACTCCGACAAATCTTCTTTTATGATCGTGGCAGATAATTCAGCGATGTGTCCAGTCGAAGTTCAAATAGCATCCAAAGCATTTCGAGAGCAAATGGAATGGGGATGGGGCATTTGTGTTAGCATCTGCTTTCAGTTCCACTACATTGCATCTGTTTTGTTGATAGAATGAATGCGTAGATAAAGGATCTTTCTGCACTCTCAGATGAGAAGAGTTCGCAATCTTCTACTGTATGTCGGATCTCAATGAAGAGTCAGTGTTACAGTTGCATCGGATTGGAAGAATATGCTGGATTGAGGATAGAGAATTGTGGGAATATTAGTTTTACTATTGAGTCAAGTGTTTGTTCGAGAAGGTGCAAATGAGTAGAGGAAGATGATGATGTTATGAGAGCGTAGTGCATAAATCAAACTGCATAAAGTGCTCTTGCCAAGAATTCTCAATGCTTTGTTTTCCTCTTTCAATCATTGTAATGAAAGTGAATTGTTGCGATTCGATGTCATCCCATTTATTTATTCCACATTTATGTCTTATCCAAACAAAAATCATACCTTTCACTCTAAGAAATAAAATAGTTATATCTACACCACTGCAACTATGAACCGATGAAGCGATTTCCATGTTCCTTTGCTTTATCACCCTCCAAAACAATGCTTCTGTTATCCTAAATTTTTAATTCGACATCTCCTTTCGATCTACCAACACTCCTCATACAACTTTTTTTCATTATTTCTTATTGTATGCTTCGAATAGGGGCAACTACTCAAAGATTGGTTAGGAGCACTCTGCGTTATGCATCAAGCTCCAAACTAACAAAACTGAGTCTCAAGGAAGAATGGCCAGGGTAAATAGGAATGTTCGTATCGTTTTAGTTTAGTATCCCTACTCTGAAACCGTTGCACGATATGAAAACCCCAAAGACCTTAGTGACGAAGCTTTCGTCCGGGTTAACGGTTGCCTCGCATGAAAAATACGAGACCGTTGTTATTTTATCCAAATATCATATTCTAGGTGAGTGCTATCGGAATTTTCATTGGTTCTGGAAGTATCAATGAACAAGGTATGAATCTGAGTTTTGAATTCCTCACCATACAGTGAACGAGTACGGAAGCACATTTATTATGGAAAATATGGCATTTAAGTCGACTGAAAGTAGTTCGCACAGCGAGATAGTAAAGTTTGTTTTTCCAGGTAGCTGCTATGTAGACGCCTTGAAGAGATCGGAGCCACTGTCACGAAGCGCTCTGGCCGCGACTTCATTTCCATTATTGTCGAAACGCTCCGTGATAATGTCGGAGATTGTGTCCGCCTGCTCTCTGAAACAATCACGCAGCCCCGTCTTTTAGATGAGGAAATCCAAGAAGCGACCGTTTCTCCGCTGTATTCTGCTGAGTTTCGTAGAACATCCTGGGCTACTTCAACGAAAATCGTATTTTAGATCGTGATTACCTCTCCTGGTCCACCGACGTATCTCTGCTCCCCTCCTCTCCCTGTCTAGTTTCTCCATGCCGCCATGTTCGGCGCCAATTCTCCGTACGGCCACGGCATCAACGTGCAGCAGCCTGCCGTGTGGGTTCGTCGTGAGGGACTAACGCACAGCAACGCCGAGACGCTTCGCGGGTTCTGGTCGAAGCACTACGTGGCTCCCAACATGTGTTTAGTGGGCGTAAACGTGGACCACGAGCAGCTGACCGGCTTCGCCGACAAGTTCTTCCGCTTCCAGACCTCTCCGTCGATGCCGAGCGTGTTCAACGCGCTGGACGCGCAGCAGGGAAAGCCTCCGGCGCAGGAGAATCGGATCGTGAAGGGAGGGAGCTACTTCGCGGAGCTGGCAGGGATGGACATGGTGGAAGTGGACCTGGGATTCCACACCAACGGATGGCTCGCCAAGGACATGGTCGCGCTGAATCTCCTGCAAATGATTCTGGGCGGCGGCAAGATGTTCAGCGCGGGCGGCCCGGGCAAGGGAATGTACAGCCGGCTTTATAAAGTGGGTTTGTTCGCGCTGCAGTGATCGATAGGACGTGATGAATCGCTACGGCTGGTTCGAATCCTGCGAAATCACCATGCTGCTCTCCCGACTCCACGGAATTGCGAGTCTGCGAGCGCTGGTCCCGCCCTCCTTCGTCGCCCCTACCACGAAAATCCTGTGCGATCACATTCGGCAGCTGGCCGCAGAGCCGCTCTCCGACGATGAGTTCCAACGCGCCAAGAACCAGTTCGAAAGCAGACTGTACATGAACCTGGAGGAGCGAGCGGTGATGTGCGAGGACATCGGAAATCACTTGCTGACCTATGGACGACACGTGTATCCCGAGGAATGGTCCGAGCAGATCAATGCGATCACCAAGGAAGATGTCATGAAGGCTGTGAAGGGATTGCTGGACCTCCCGCCTGCCTACGTCGTGTTCGGGAGCGAGGTGAACAAAGAGTACAAGAACTTCCCGCCGATCGAAGGCATTCAGAGCTATTTGCAAATGCCCTACAAGTAAAAGAGAGGGTCATACAACGGGGTCACACTACAGGGTCATCGTGAGAAAAGAAGAATTCAAAGAGTCAGTATATGTTTGTTCCAACAAACAGAAAAGAGGACGAATCTCGCCGATGCCTCCTCCACCTCCACCTTCCATTCACCGCGAAGCAGCACGTACTTCGCCTGCTCATTCGCCAGGTGCAGCTGCTCTTCGCCCAGAACGAAGTGGACCGTCTGCGTCTCGCCAGGAGCCAAAGAAACGCGCGAAAAGTCCGCGAGACTCTTCAGCGGATATCCCTGCTTTCCAGCCTATCGGTCACCCCATCCACGCATTGCAACCAGCGGGGACTTCACAAACAGCAGAACGCTCTCGTCTCCCTGTCGACTGCCCGTGTTGGTCACCTTCACGTACACGTCGATCGCCAGCGCAGATCGAAGGCGGTGGTTCCGCATCTGCCCAATCTCCACTGCGTGGGCGAACGTCGTGTAAGACAAGCCGAAGCCGAACGGATGGATCACAGGACCCGCGAAGAACCGATACGTTCTTCCCGGGAATCCGGTCTCCTACCACTCATCGCTTCGTTCCGTTTCCCACCTCCTTCGGACGCATGTTCATATCGAAGTAGTCCAGATTCGTCACGTAGTCATTGTAATACATCGTGTTCACCAATCGACCGCCTGCTTCTCACGCTCCCTCCCTTTCCCTACTCGGATTCACGTCTCCCACGATCACTTCGGCGATCGCCTGGCCTCCGAACATGCCTCCATACCCCACTGCCAGCACGCCCACCACATGCTCGTTCTGCTCGTACGCGCTGATATCCACCGAACCGCCTCCCGAGAGGAGCGTCAAGACCACGGGGACGTCGGTCTGCGCGAGCAGGCCGTCGAGCAGAGCTCTCTGGCTCGCGGGAAGCAGCAAATCCTCGCGATCCAGACCTTCTCGCTCGATCTCCTGGTTGAGACCGACGGTCACGACGATCAGATCGACTCCCTCCAGCTTGCTCAACGCCTCGAGAGACTTCACAACATCGACGTGATCACACACGTTGCGCAAACCCTGAGCCACCGTCACGATGAACTCGGGAATTCCATTATAATTGCCAAGCATCACGCCGGCATCTTCGGCATACGGTCCCATCACCACCACGCTATTCGATCACACCCAAAAAGCAGAAAGCCCACTGCTTGTCTTTCAGAGACAGCGGCAAGAAGTCGTTCTGGTTCTTCAGCAGCGCAATTCCCTCGCGCGCAGCACGCAGCGCCATGGCCTGATGCTCCTTGGTGTTCAGTTTGTCGAGTCCGTAGTGCGTGTACCTGCATCGCAGCCATTCCATGCGACCTACACTTGCTGCTCCACCGGATCGAACAGGCCAAGTCGCATCTGGACCTTGAACAGGTTCGCCAGCGCTGCGATTCACTCGCCTCATCCACTCCTACCATCGTCCACCTCCGCTTCCTTCAGTCGGCCTGATTCCACGCTGTGCAGAATGTGCTGCTGATAGAAGCCGCCGCAGTCCAAATCGCACGTCGCTCTCACGCCCAGCATCGCCGTGGTGTCGGTGTCGTTCGTGTAGTGGTGGTTGTAGATGATCGTATCGATGGCGCCGCAGTCCGAAGTGATGTAGCCCTCGAAGCCCCAGCCGCCTCGCGCCGTTCCGTAGAGAAGCTCGCGGTCTGCGCAGGCAGGGATTCCGTTGATGGCGTTGTAGCTGCACATCAGAGACGATACGTGTCCCTTTTTCACGCACTGCTCGAAAGGCACTTGGAATCTACGGTCGAAAGCGAGGCGTAAAGAGCCAACGTGTCCGTCATGTCGCGATCGCTCACAATCGCGTCGAATTCGAATCGTTCCACGCCATGCCAGTTTTCAAGATCGTATGCCGAATAGTGCTTGCAGCACGCAGACACCTTCAGATAGCGGGGATCTTCTCCCTCCTGCAGACCGCGCACAAACTCGACAGCGTAGGTAGCCACCAGGAACGGATCTTCGCCGGGTGTTTCTTGGCCACGGCCCCAGCGAGGATCTGCGGGTCAGCGGGACGGTAGAGACCTACCGCGGTACACATTCACGTTCGGGGACCAGTATGTCAGGTTGGCTCGCTCAGCATTGTTCATTACTCGCGCCTCTGTCGAAATGATCGAGGCAATATCGTGGAACAGGGGCTTATCGAACGACTGGGCGGTGAGGGCTACCTGAGGGAAGGCCGTGGCAAATCTGTGTGATCATTCCATCCAATCAATACGGTGTGGGCTCCTGAAAGACTACACCCGGGGAGGCAGCAACACCGTGAAGTGCCTCCGACCACCACTGGTACTTGGGAATGTTCAGACGTTTCACTTCAGAAGCAGTATGTCCCATCAAACTCATCTTCTCGGCCAGGGTCAGTTCAGCAACTAGAGCTCGTGCTCTCTCTACCATTTAGGATACTAATATCCAAAACCATCGAAAGATAGATTAACATCGCACCACTTTTTAGAACTCCAGGGTTCACCATCGCACGGTCGGACCATTGCCAGTCCGCAACAGAAAATTAGTACGCTTACAATTAGTTGATAAAACATTTTATAAAAGAGCTAAGGATCATTATCGCGGGAATTGTGTTTTCTAAACCCCGATCACAATACAAATCCTTTTTGCAAGATGATAGAGAGTCTAGAGAGCTTGGAGAGTCTAGAAAGCCTAGACTTCTTTCAATCGAATCAAACTGAATATGGTGGAAATCATGTTGCTGTTGCGATTTCCTCTTCTCTGTCTCTTCTCTTTTCTGGTCTGATGATCATTTTGTATGTGTCCCGTTCAAAATTGAGGCAAGCTTCGCGCGGATACTTAGTAATGATCAATGTTTGCGATTTTGTCGCCTCAATTTGCTTTCTTTGTTCCTCGCTAGATTTATCCTTTTTAAATACGGACCTCATTCGCAAGATTGAAGTAGGGAAGGTAATTACGAAAATTGAGTCGTCAGGGTTACCTTATCCAATTCTTTTATCTCGGAAGTTTCTGCTGGACGGTGTGCAATTCTCTGCATGTGTATGGGCGCAAGGTGGTCGTGACCCTGTAGGTACTCTTTGGTTCACAATCACAAAGAAGTCCCGGCCAGTCACTGGAAGAATCAGCTTATTGCCTGGATCCTTCCATTGCTTACAACGCTAGTCCTCTTTGTGTACGATTGCCTCGGTGCAGCTCCGTTGGGAGACTGCGGCCGTGTTTGGTAGAGCACTCACGATGCGCTGACTCACTTATAGGCCCTGGATCTCCAATTCCTTTCCCCATTCTCTTTGGTTCCAAATTTGCTTTATGTATATTCCAATCGTTCTGATTCTACTCTTTAACACAATTCTGTATACTTTAGTAGGTTGCACGGCGCGCGAGGAAGACCAACATTACTACATCTTACTTCGTTCGTTCGCGTATCCACTCTGACACCCTCGTTCTCTAGCTATATTATCGTTGCCGCCTTCTCCATCTTGTGGAGTGGTTTTGACCGCGTGTTTTTCGCTATAAAACAGCGACATATGGACTTCGGCGTGGATTTGATCTCCTTTTCTGTGCCTTTGATCGTAGCAATCGGGGCGAAATGGGACGTAGGGATTCCTGAACGTGTGCGCGTATTCGATGAACAAGTTCTTCTTCGCATCCTTCCGAAAAGAGCCATCGACTCGGGAGTTCGAGACAGGAAAAGATTTGATGGAAGAGCAGATTCCAATGATTGGAGCTGATGAAATGTGATCTAGAAGGGAGAGTATAGAGTAGGTGCAAGCTACGCGGTGATTTTCTGTGTTTGTTCAACACTCTCTTTTTTGAAGTTCGGAGTTGTGATTTATTATCGATCGTTTCTGAATCAGAGCTTCAGAAATGATAGTTGCTTCTCTGTGTGCGCTTTTCTTTCTCATGCTTTTGTAATCTTGCGTTTTTTCTCTTACTTTTAGTAACACACTAAATTATGAGGATTCTTATCCTCTCTCCGTGTCAGTAATGCAAAACAGACGTAGCGTACAACGTTCGAGTGTTTCGAGCGACGCTCGTAGTTTTAACGATTAACTCATTGAACTGTAGTAGCAGAACGGACGGAGAAGACTGTGGTATCCTCCATTTCTCAAGAATTCCGTCCAGCGGTTCCAAACACGATGGATCAGCCGACAGGGAGCCCTCTCCTCTCCCAGTCCACCATCCCCACCGACGTTCCGAACGTTGCTTCAACCAATGTTGGGAACATGGGTCGCGTTCATCCGACGACTTCGATTCCCACAAGCCATCCTCTAAGCTCCACTCCCTCCTCTTCTCCTCCCCTCCGCTCCGTCCACAACCACACCTCCGCGTGGGAGCCCTACATCTTCCACTACACTGCGGGCATCCCCACGCCCACGCTCTTCCTCTTCGTGGTCAACTTCCACGAGCCTCGCTACGCGCCCGTCCGCTTCCTCTCCACTCAGTACTTCCCGCTCTTCCGCCGCCACTTCCTCTTCGACTTCGACGTCGTCTTCCTCGGCCCCTGGGAGAGCCGCGGGGATCACGTGCTCTCCCACCGCCTGCCCATCCACGGACACTTCTCCTACCGCTCCCTCGCCGTCGCCTACCAGCAGCTCTGCGTCCGCGAGGCCTGCCGCTATGCCTCCTTCGTCCTCATGAACGACGACAGCTACCTCGACCCCGTCTTTCTCCTCCAATACCCGCTCGAGAAGTCCCTCACCGAACCCTCCCGCATGCTCAATCCCCGCGGGAATTGGATGTGGCTCCGAAAACGAAACGCTCGCAACCAGACCTACGCGCAGGCCTTCGACGACGCGCTGCGCGAGCTTATCGCCCAGCCGCGCTGGAGCAAGTGCGAATTCGGGAAACCGGAGAATCGGCGGCGAGGATTCGCGGATTTTTTCATGATTCGTCGCGACAACATGAGCGATTTCTGCGAGTTATCCGCGGTTATGTACCGACATCGCGTGTTCCTGGAGATGGCGGCGCCGACGATTAATTACTGCTTTACGCGGACGTTCGTGGACAACTGCAATCATGGACCTATGAAGAATCGGAGGACATGTGTTCACATGCATCCCGTGAAGTATCGACAACCCGGGAACGAGCAGCTCGCCATCAATCGGATGCTGCGGTATAATATGGATGCGGCACCGCCACGAATGTGGTAACAGAGTGATGTGTGTAAGTGATGGGCTGTCTGCTGCGTGTGTGTTGTGTGTGTTGTATGATGCGTGCTGCGTGCTGCGTGTTTGTGGTAATGAATGAATACAAGAAGGCAGGAATAAATAAATAAAAGCAAGAAAGAAAGAGAGACTGAATCGAAGAGATACAAAGGAACTGAGAGTTTCCTTTTTATGGCTGTGAAATCAACCAAAACATCTTACGAACAACCATAACTGTCCTCCAAAATTCGATGGGATCGTTGCAAACAGTCTGAATGAAAGGTCTATTTTAGTCAGTTAACTTTGACTAACTCGAATTCGCTTTCTGGTCTTCGTACCTCCTTCCTTGTCATTTTGAAATTTATTTTTCCTTTTTGGCCGTTTGTTTTCAAATTTATGTTCCCCTCACGAATTAATTGTGTCTCCCCTCTTTTCCACTTGAATCCCGCATACTCACCCAAAAACCTTGCAATACATCAACGAAATGTCAAAGATTTTCTCATTCAATTTTACAATAACCGCGGTTCTCACTTCAATAATCCCTTTATTCGTGAAAACCCACAGGAATCGGTTTCCATAGATCTACGTGAAATTAGGACCTTGTTTCTGATTTCTGTGCGCTTTTTAATATAGAGCAGTTGTATGTAAGTAGTTTTGCTGAGTTTGGCCTGAGTGAAGAGTTCTTGTTTTGCATGATTTGGTGCTTACAGCGTCCATAGAATAGCGTTGTGTTACAGATTTGCCATGCGACAAAAGGATACATCAGGATTTATTCAGACTGATGCTTCCGCAGGAAAACCTGGAGAAAGTGATGATACTGATTTCAAAGAAAGTGTTAGTGATATAATATCGTCCGAGTAGGAGCTTGCTAACATTTTTGGTTATTTCGCAGAGATGAAGAAGAGATTCTATTTTCAAACGAAGAGTTCAGTAACCCCAGTCCATCTGAAAAGGACGAATCTTCTTCGCGCAAACGTCCTTTAAGAAGATGTTGAAAATTGACTTGGTTTCGATGTAGGCACAAAATCCTTTAAGAAGCGATTGATGTTGAACCATGAATCAAGTAGTGAAGGTGACTTGGACCCTCTCGTTGAAGAGTCGCAAGAATTCCAGGATCCACAACCCCCAGAAAGCAACAATTCAAAGTGTTTTGTGTAGTGCGTGAAATGGGTACCTCAAGCACAGTGTTGTTCCGCGAGAGTGGCTCTCGGACGTTCGTGTAAATGCCATCATTCATCGCCAGTCGAATCGAATCGCTGACTGGCTTCCGATCCTCCAAAAACTAAACACACAGTACGTAGTCAATGGTAGCTGTATCGACCCGGATCGTTATTCAAAATGGTCGGCCCTTTCTGACACAGAGAAGCAAGAAATTGTCGAGCTTTATCTTGTCCATTGGAGAGATCTTTCCTATCTTCACTGCTCCTGGGAGTCCGAAGCGATGCTCACGCAGCGCGAAGGTTCCCACATGAAGCAGAAATTCCAGGTTGTCGCGGAGAGAGAGGTCGATTCTAGAGGTTTTACCGCAGTGAACACGAGTTTATCGTGGAATCGGAGGTGTACGGGGAGGACGTGTATTTCAACCCCGAGTTTATCGAAGTGGATCGAATTCTGGATGTGCGAATCGTCACAAGCGAGCCGATTTCCGACGAGGAGGCGCAGAACGATCCCGACTATGCGCTGCTCGCGTCCGAAGACTGCTATGGATCGAAAGGACGCTTCACGAAGCAGTTCCTCGTGAAATGGCAGAGCACGCAATACGAAGAAATCACCTGGGAAGTCTTCGACGACTTCCGCGACGAAGCGGCGATCCGCAAGTACTACGCTCATCTGTGCGGCTTGGATCGCTCTCTCACGCCTAGACGTCGCGTTGTGGACCCGAACGCTGCCGCGCCGCACGACCGTCCGCCCTTGGCGCAGTTTCGGAAGGTGAATCCGGAGGAGATTCCGACGAAAGGGAACCAGCTGCGCCCCTACCAAGTGGAAGGCGTGAACTGGATGCTGTGGAACTGGTTCAACAACCGAAACAGTATTCTCGCGGACGAAATGGGGCTCGGCAAAACCGTGCAGAGCACGTTGTTTATCCAGCAAATCCTGCATCGCTACAAGACGAAGCCTCCCTTCCTCATCGTGGCTCCGCTCTCCACCCTGCCGCACTGGGAGGCGGAGATCGCGCGCTGGACCGATCTGCACGTGGTCGTCTTCCACGGCCGCGTCGAATCGCGCCGAATCATCAAGCAGTACGAGTGGAAGTCGCAGGAGGGCGAGTTCGACATCCTCTTAACCACCTTCCAGATCTGCATCGCGGAGGCCGCAGCGCTCTCGTCGATTTCATGGGCAGGTTTGGTGGTGGACGAGGCGCATCGGCTGAAGGGGAAGAACAACAAGCTCGGCGACGTGCTCAAGAAAATCGACTTCGGCTGCAAGCTGCTGCTCACCGGCACGCCGCTGCAGGTAGGCGAGGAGGGCGGAGTCGAGCGCAGAACAACACGGAGGAGCTCTGGATCCTCCTCAACTTCCTCCAGCCGGAGCGGTTCCACGACGCCGAGCAGTTCCAGGCCGATTTCGGCGACATGAAGGTGGCGGCGCAGCTGGAGAAGCTGCACACGCTGCTGAAGCCGCTGATGCTGCGACGAATGAAGGAGGACGTGGAGAAGTCGCTGAAGCCGAAGGAGGAAACGGTGATCAACGTGGAGATGACGGCGATGCAGAAGAAGTTCTACCGCGCGGTGTACGACCACAACACGAGCGTGTTGTAGGAGCGCAGGAGCGGAGTGAGGCGTAGCGTCAGCACGGACAGCAAAAACCTGCCTTCGCTGATGAACATCACCATGGAGCTGCGGAAATGCTGCAATCACCCCTTCCTGATCCGCGGCGCGGAGTCCACCGTCATCGAGGAGATCTGTGCGGTGTACCCCTTTCGATCAAGCGTAGACGCGCTGGAGAAGATCGAGCGCCCTGCCGTGCTGCCGCTCTCTGTGCAGGAGCTCGCGCCCGAGCTCGCTTTGAAGTACATCACCTACGCGAGCGGGAAGATGGTGGTGCTGGACAAGCTGCTCCCCAAGCTGCGCGCCCAAGGCCACCGCGTGCTGCTGTTCAGCCAGATGGTGAACATGCTGAACATCATCCAGGACTATCTCTCCATGAAGGGCTATCCCTTCGAACGCATCGACGGCGGCGTTAAAATCAGCGATCGCCAGGCCGCCATCGATCGCTTCTCCACGCCGGGAAGCGACCGCTTCATCTTTCTGATCTGCACGCGCGCCGGCGGCGTGGGCATCAATTTAACCGCGGCGGACACGGTGATCATTTACGACTCGGACTGGAATCCGCAGAACGACATCCAGGCGCAGGCGCGGTGCCATCGCATCGGGCAGGACAAGGCAGTGAAGGTGTACCGCCTGATCACGAACCGGACGTACGAAATGGAGATGTTCCAGAAGGCGAACATGAAGCTGGGTCTGGACAAAGCCGTGTTGAACCCGCTGAAGCAGAACATCAAAACGGACGGGCAAGTGGAGATGAGCGTAGTGTGCAGCGGATGGATGGATAGGATGTAGAAACTGAGCAAGAAAGACGTCGAGACGTTGCTGAAGTACGGAGCGTATGATTTGTTCAAAGAGGAACGCGAAGGGCGATCCGAGGAGCGAAGCAATGCGTTCTGCGAGGCGGATATCGAGCAGATTCTGGAGAAGAACGCGAAGGTGATCACGATCGATTCGCAGGGCGGGTCATCGTTCAGCAAAGCGTCGTTCATCACGGACACGTCGGACGAGATCGATATCGATGACCCGAATTTCTGGACGAAGATCGTGGGGCTGAAGGACCATTCGCAGGACGTCATGGGTCCTCGCGTCCGAAAGAAGGTGGAATACAAGGAGGTGGGCGACGGAGAAGATCTAGTGGAGGGCGGATTTGAGGATGAGAACGAGTGGAACAAAACGGATCGCGATATGCTGGTGAAGCAGGTATCTCTTTGACGTTCTCTGCATTCGTAGCTCTTGGTGTTCGGTTGGGGCCACTGGGAGGCGATCAACGGCAACGAGCGGCTTCAGAAGCACTCGGTCGGGTCCATCCGACTGCTCGCTGCGGCCATCATCGGGCAGCTGGCGCGCCTCTGCGAGCTGGTGAAGACCGAGGATGTGAACAAGAAGCTGTTTCTATCGGCGGTGAAGAGCGCGCAGCAAGGGAAGGAAGCGGTCACGCGACTCGCGGAGACGTTTACGATCTGCAAAGTGCTGCTGGATGAGAGCGAAGAGGACGCCTGGCTGCTGCCCCACCGCTATCCGATGTTGGTTCGCGACAATACCTGGGTGCTGAAGATGATGCGCGTCTGCAGCCGCTATCTGAAGCATTTCTCGTTCCTCCTGCAGCTCTCGCGCAGCGTGGTGAACTTCAAGATCCAGCTGGGCCAGCCGGTCGCGTTCCCGAAGCTGCGGCGCGCGGTGCTGCCCGTGGCGTGGTGGGGAATGGAGGAGGACCGTGACGTGCTGCTGGGCGTGCTGCGGCATGGCTGGGGCAACTGGAAGGCGATCTGCGAGGACGCGGAGCTGTGCTTCCATCGCCAGGGCGTGGCCTATGCGGGACACGCGATGGAGGAGGAAGAAGGCTTCGGCGAAGAAGCCGACGGCGAAGCCATGGAGATCGAGCCCTCGCCCAAGGACTCCCAAGAGAAGTCCCCGACCACCCCCATCGAGAAGCCCTCCAGCGGGTCTGTTGACAAATCTCCTGGTGCATCTGTTGACAAATCCCTCCCTGCGTCTACCGACAAATCCCTCTCTGCATCACAGGAAAAGCTGTTTCCCTCGCCTTCCATCCTCATGAAGCGCGTTCGCCGGCTCGTCGACGCGATGGAGGTCGCTGTGTCCAAGGGTCTCCACCTCCAATCGCTCGACTACTCCCAGCCCGCGCCCGCTGCTTCGCCGAAACGCCCCAAGAAGACGGCGGCCACGTTCATGGGGCAGTGGATCGTGAAAGAGTCCAAAGCGCTACGCAACGCGATTCTCCGCTGGGGCCTTCCCGTGCCCCCCTTGCCCGCAGATTCAGGACTGCTCCTTCTTTCCTCCGGCACGGGCGTGACGCCCCAAATGGTCGAAGAGGAAAAGCAGTTCACGTTCATCGCCGACGTGGTCGATTCGCTCATTTCGGAGGTCATCACGCTCCTCGGCGAGCGTCCTTCGTCCTCTCCCTTCCCTTCTTCTTCTTCTTCTTGTTCTTGCTCCTCTCCTTCGCTTTCCCTGCCCTTACCGACCGACGCTTCCGCTTCTGCCCCGTCCAGCCGCTTAGTGGCGTCGCCCTTTCCGTACCACCACTGTCCTGCCTGCGCGCGCCGCGATCCCGCCGCGTACTGTCCCTTCTGCGACCTCTACATCGGCTACCGCGTGCTGAAGGTGGAGAGCCAGCTGCTCTACAAGACCTACGAGGAGGTCCAGCAGCTTGCGCGGTACTTGGAGACGCACGCCCGCACGATCTCGGACATCTCGAAGGAGGCGAAGAGCGCCGCCGACCCCGCGGGGAAGCCGGAGAAGCCCTCGAAAACGAACGAGAACGACGTGATCCTGCCCTCCACGATCTACGCGCAGCGCCTTCTCGGCCGCGTCCAGCTCTTCTACGACCTCGAGCAGCTCGTCTGGCGCAAGGACGCGGGCGTGCTGCGCGCGTTTCTGAAGCGCTGGCAGACCTCCGGGATGCACCACCAGGACAACGTTCCCCGCGGGTGGTCGCCGCCCATCCACGACGCGTACTTGTTCCTGGGCGTGTACCGCTGGGGCGTCGTGGACTGGGAGACCGTCTGGCGCGACCCGGAATTGCCCTTCTACATCGCCGACGCCGACGAGCACAAGCGAAAAACCAAGCGGAGGAAGAAGGACGAGGACGGTCCCGAGCCCGCCGCCGAGCTGCCGCCCGAACCCGCCGCCGAAAAGGGCGCTTCGCCGTACTCGCTGGAAGACGCGCAGCGGCTGAAAAGCGCGAACGTGTCGCGGCAGGAGCTGGTGTCGGGGCTGTCGTCGCTGTACGTGCTGAAGCGGATCAACGCGATGCTCCGGTTCTTCAAGCAGAACCAGTCCTACGCCGTGCTCACGTCCATCAACCAGCTGCCCACCGAGGTCGGCGTGCTCGTCTCCAACCAGTCGCGCCGCGTCGCCGTCACCTTCGCGCGCCGCCGCCGCCTTCTCCCCATCCGCGTCCACCTCGTCCAGGAAGTCTTCTGGAAGCGCAACCAGTACCTTCCCGTCAGTTCCCGCCTCCCTCACGCCGCGCCTCCGGTCGACTTCGTTCCCTACCCGCTGCCTCCGCCCTGGCTCGCCGCGCTCCGCCCCGGCTCCGCTCCCTTCCCGCCCGCCGCGCTCGTCTATCTCTCCGGCGCCTCTCCCGCGCCCTCCGCTTTCTCCGGGCTCGCCGAGCTCGTCGGACGCTCCGTCCCCTTCCCCGCCTTCCCCGCCGCGCGCACAGCCCCGCGGGACGCCGAGCCGCTCTTCGCGAAGAGCCGGGAGTTCCTGCGGTCGGTGCAGCTGCCGCTGCAGGTGCACGGCGCGACGGTGGTGAGCCTGGGCCGCATCGTGACGCAGTTCCCGACGTACCACAACAAGAACTACATCTGGCCGGTGGGGTTTAAGTAGGCGTGGCGCAGCCAGGCGACGCGTAGGTCCGTCAAGCTCTTCGCTTCCTTCAAGGATCCCTCGCGTCGCGTTCTCTACACCTCCGAGATCCTCGACGGCGGGCCCGAGGTCCGGTTCCACGGTTTTTCTCATCGCTAGGGTCCCATCTTCCGCGTCACCGCCGAGGACGCCCCCGAAACTCCGATCGCGACGCAGAGCGCGACGGCGAGCTGGCAGCAAGTGCTGGAACTGGTGCGGCAGGCGCAGCACGCGACGCGCGGCAGTTATTCGATCAGCGGACCGGATTGCTTCGGCCTGTCGGCGCTGGAAGTGGCGCGGTGCATCGAGGGGCTGGAGGGCGCGGAGCTCTGCACGGAGTACGTCAGTCGGAGGAGAAGCAAGGCCGGGAGAGGCGAGGCCGAGGCCACGTTCGGAAGGGACGGGCGCGCAGCGACGGCAGCCCCCGCGGGGACGGTGGTGCCCTTGGGATCGGTGATGCCCATGGCCCAAATGAATCAAATGAATCAAATGAACTCGATGAATCAAATGAATCAAATGAATCAAATGAATCAAATGAATCAAATGAATCAAATGAACCAAATGAATCAAATGAATCAAATGAACCAAATGAATCAAATGAATCAAATGAATCAAATGAATCAAATGAATCAAATGAGTCAAATGAGTCAAATGAGTCAAATGAATCAAATGAATCAAATGAACCATATAAACCATATAAATCAAATGAATCATATAAACCATATGACACAAATGGCACAAATGGCCTCAATGGTCCCCACTGCACAAATTCCCCAAATGGCTCCTATGCCTGCGGTAACCCCTCCAGTGCCAGTAGCCTCGGTAGCTTCGGTAACAGAAAGTCAGGGGAATGAGGAGGACCCTTATATTAACTTTTCTATTTGACCTGTTTGTTAGAATCATGCTGTCGCTCGTCCTTGCGCTTCGTTCCATTCTCGTGTTGTCTCTTCTCCTATTTATTGATGAGCTGATTATCTACATTGGAAACTTGCTCGAGGAGAACGACAACTGGAACTGGAATTTCAATCGGGGACTTCCCAGTACATATAGACCAGATTCTCACCATCAATTTCAGAATAAACAAAATAAAAGATTGCAAGTCTGTGATTTTTGCCTATTCTTCACTTTAGATTTCGATCGATGTGGCAACGGAGATTAAAGGGAGTAGTTCGTTTTCCGAATCAGGAGTAAACCCAATACCAGTGACTTTGACTGAAATCAGCGATAACGGCAATTATTCCAAGTCCTATTTTATTTCTATTCCAGACTTGGACCCTGGAAGAATTCCGTGTGCTCCAAATCAAAGAGGACAACTTTCACTCGGAGAAAGGAAGACAGCAGTGGTATTTCGACTTCAGTCCTATTCGGTGGAGCAAATCGAAGCCACTCTCGATAGCTTCGTCTCTGTTTTGCGCTCTCCCTCCTCTCGCGTCTACTTTCACTTGTGCCTTTTTGAATGGCCGCGTTCCAAACCCACTTTTCCCCTTTCCAAATGGAACTCCCAGCTAGAAACCCCCATCCAACTCTTCTCCTCATCCCTCTCTGAAGAGCTCTCGACCCACGCCATCGAGCAGGTCGTGTTCGTTTCGAATTCTTGCATTTTTTCGCCCGACGTTTTCGAATTCTTTGCGGCTGCTTCTTTTCTTCTTTGGAACGATTTGTCTGTGTACGTGGCGGAGGCCTGGACGCCTTTGGCTGCGTTCCGCTTTGCTCCTTCGTTATGTTTTGCAGTAAACACGTTTTTAATCACTAGACAAAGCGATGCGCGTCGATGTCCCTGCGGGTTCCGTTTTTCTGGTGGCAACGCGTTTGATTAGAGAAAACAGTCGCCTTTACAATGAATTGGGAGCAAGCGAATGGATTTCCCATCCCCAAGTTCGGATGGGGAGATACTGTATAACGCCTCAAGTATCGAGAGTCCGCCTGCTGCAGAGCAAACGACTTCCGTTTGGGATTCAAACAGTGCCGAATGTGCGTGTTTCGAATCAGTACGTGCCTTTTCTCGAAATGGACCTTCGATGTCTGTACCAGGTGAATTACGAGAACAAAATGGCGGATGAAATAAGAAGAGCTCGAACGATTGATAATGTTGCGGATATTATCGAAGGACCAGAGGGATCGATTTTCAAAGTCATCTACAACGCGCAGCAACCCCTTGAATTGTTGGTCCATCGTCTTGGAATTGAACCGCTGGCTATAGGAGGCAGTTTTCCATGGGTGTATAGGGGTGTGGCGCATTTTGAGATAGAAGGAATCAAATTGTATCTTACCTGTAAAAACTTATTTCCGTGTGACGATCATCTTTTTAGTATGTGAAGTCTGTTTGATTGTAAACAATTTTTCCACGGGAATTACAAAGAGAAAACTGCCTTTCTCTCCAACAACTAAATTCGAAAAGGACATTTTGCTATACGACTGTGAATACCTCAATTACTGAAGGCTAGATGAGTGTCAACTCGGGTTCAGAAAACGATCTGAGCTCAAATGATAGTTCCTCATCCGTTGAATCAAAAAAGCCGCTGAGAAATGGGAGTAGAATCGAATGAGATATTTAACGAATAGGTATTGAGATATCTGATGATGAAGTGCTAAAGTCTGAAAACTGGGTGTCATCTCTAGCATTTCCGATCTCTACAATGTATGGATCCCATTCCTATTTTACTTTAATAGGCGTGGTGCTAATTCCATAGCCAGCCCTTCTCTCCGCAATGCTATGATCATTCGTGGAATAATTGATAACGAGCCTGCATCTTCCGTGTGTATCCATTGCAAAGAAAACCCAGTCGAGCCAGGACATCGTATTATGTCTTTATATTCACTACTTTGTAGAAGTTTGCTTTGATTGTATGTATTCGGCATTCCGCCACGACAGTCTTCCCTATCCCTATCACTATTGTGGCTTTTGCCGCGACTTTCACTTCATTGGCTATTTTTTGAATTTTGAAACGCACACACTCAAACTCAATTGTGTTCGGAACACTTCCCACAACCCACACTTCCCCTTTTCCATCCACCCCGTTTCCCCCATTTCCCTCCCCACAGACGACATCCAAAAACACCCCCATTTCTTGCGGTATTCCACGTTTCCACGTTTCAAAATAGATTCAAACGCCCTTCGGCGCTTGCCCAGCTGAAAGAAAATGGAATTCTCTCCGAACGAAACGGTCGCTGCGCGCACTGCAGAGCGAAACTCCCGCCCAATCCCGAGAACTCCAGTAATTCCGGGGTTTTTCTGTCATTCCATTAGAATTCTGTCGACGATGTCGATCGATGTGGATTTTTTCGTGCCCTCAAAAACCGAATTCCCTGCCGAATTCGAAACGAATTCGACTTTCCAATAAAGCAAAAACCGCCAATCGAAACGCACCCTCCGATTTCTCCGATTCCAAAAATACCTCCGATTTCTCCGATTCCAAAAATACCTCCGATTTTTCGGACTCCACAAATACCTCCGATTATTCAGATTCCACAAATACCTCCGATTTTTCGGACTCCAAAAATCCCCCCTATTTCTATCGCTGGTGTCCCACGTGCGAGACGTTTCATTCATTGGATTGGTTTTTCAATCCGGATTTTCGCTGCTTTGACATCGAATGTTTTCGCCGCTCAGAACCGCGGGTCGGGCTGCGCTTTCGCGAGGTCCCTCAGGCATCGCTGCCCCGCGATTCTCGCGTTCTCTTCGCCCACATGCGCCAGTTCTATCATAAAAAATCGCGGTTTTTCTCCCGGTTGGTGCGGAACGAAATGCCCGGCGCTTCGTCCGCTGATTCCAATTGTTGTTGTTTGTGCCAAAAACCAATCGATCCACCCAATGACCCCACGCTAGACGCCTCGCCTCGTTCGCAATTGGGACCGCCATAATCAATAGGGACATGTCCCGATTGTTACAGTCGATGGATCCTAATTAAGTCCCTCCCGATCCCCATCAAGTTCTGTGCGTTTTGTCACATGTTCCACCCCTATTTGTACAAATCCCCGCGGAATCTTGAGCCGTAGCCACTTCTTCGATCTGGAAGCCAATCAATTTCAATCGCTGTGCACCGAATCTCTCGTGAATGAGGCGATGCGCCGAGGCATTCTCCCTTGTTTCGATCGAAGTTCGATTTCATGTAGGCTTCCCTCGCGTGGTTTCTCCCACGCCGCCCTCTTTTGAGGAATCCAAAGTGGTTTCCACGGAGAAATCGCTGAATCGCTGTCGAAGTCCCGAGGCGTTTCACATGCGGCTAAAATTCGAGAGAGGGAAATGCGCGCATTGCGGTCGATTGCTTCTGCAGGAGTTTGAAAAGGAGGGGAAAAGCGGCTGCGAGCGCTGGATTTGCGCGTTCTGCCGCTCGCAGTGGTTCGAAACGGATGAATCGAAGTGCTATCGATTCTGCAAGGCGTGCAACACGTTTCATTTGTCTCTGTAGGGAAGGGGAAGCGAGTGGAGCGTAGTTATTTCTATGATGCTGCGTTGAAAAAGTTCGAGGAACAGTGTTTGCCTTCGTTGTTCAACGAGGTGAAGCGCAGACAGAGAGAGCGCGACATCGAAAAGCCGATGTTGCTATCCGAGGAAAACGTGCAGAACCTGCCGTCTTCGGTTGGGATGGAGCGCGGTTGTGAGGTATAGGAATTGCTGTCGGTTGTCTGCTCGAAGCTTCGTATCGAGAATCCTCATGAACGTTGTTTGGCTGGAATTTTTATCTCGTGTATCATTGAACAAGTCTGGAGTTCGTTATAACTTGGGCGTTCGCTTTTGTTGGGTTGTTTGTTGAAGAATCGTGCGATGAGGCGAGGGGATAATGAAGAGTAGGAGAGATCGTGGCAACTGTTCTTTCCATTCCATTGCTCATTCCCCACATTCTCATCCAATTCTTTCCTTCCCACCACCCTCCTTTTTCTCCATTTCCTTTTCCTCCTTTTTCTCCCCTCGCTCCTTTCTTCCAACAAACAATCCACATGCTGCAATTCTCTTCTTAGACACTCGCCTTCTTGCTCTTTCGCTTCGGGCGATACTCCTCTTCGCTCTCTTCCTCCGACGAATACCTTCTCTGCTGCTGCTGCTGCTGCTGCCTCTTCTTCTTCGGACGATAATCGTCCTCGTCCTCATCGCTCTCTCCGTCCGACACCACCGGCGATCTCCGCTCCGTGTGATTGTACGACCCGTACGTCGTGCCCACGTTGCCCGCGGGGATGTAGCTCTCGCCGCGGAGCTGCTTGAGGCCTCCGGCCTTCTTGGGGGATCGTCGGATGTGGATGTAGAAGAAGGCGAGGGCTCCGAACATGCAGAGGAAGATGACCAGCAGGATGATCAGCACCACCACCACGGCGTTCATCGACGAATACTTCTTCACGCGGAACGAATTCACGTCCAGCGAGCAGCTCACCTACGCCTCACCGTCCCTCTGTGCGTCCCACGCTCGCGAACGAACCGCCCAGCTTCTTCAGCGCGTTGCCGTAGGTCTTCTTCGTGTTCACGTAGCTCTCCAGCTCGCTGCGCACCGTGTCCACGTTCGCCGACTCCGTTTCCACGCGGAACGACACGATCACGCCCGTCGCCAGCACCGACACTTCGCCTCCGCCCACCGACTGCACCACCACCTGCGCCGAGCCCACGCCCAGCGCCTGCACGCCCTCCACCAGCAGCACGCGCATCATTTCCTGCTCGTACGCGCCCACCGACGCGGCGGTGATTCCTGCGAACTACCATCATCAAGCCTCCTCGTCGACACCTACCTGAATCTCGAAGCGGATGAACGACTTGCCCTCGCCCGGCTTGGCCTTCTCGGGGTTCGCGATGCACATCGACGCGTCCGCATCCTTCCACGCGGGGTTCCGGTCCGTCTTCTCGCCGCACACGCGCGTCCGCACGCCGCTCTGTCCGTCGCACAGCAGATACGCGGTCTTCCCGCGCTCCGTCTCCGGCCAGCCGCCGTTGGCGCTGCACACCGGCATGATCACCACGATGCTGAGCGTCGTCTGGCCCTCCGCGTCCTGGTTCGTCGCGCGCACCGTGTACTGCGTCTGCGCGCTCGCTTCTGTGGGCGTGCCCGAGATGATACCCGTCGTCGCCGCCAGGGAGAGTCCCGCGGGGAGAGCGGGGGTGATGGAGAAGGAGTCGATGCGGTACTGGCGCGTGGGCTCCATGGGAGTGATGGCCTCGTCCTTGTACGCCGTGATGCTCGAGCGGTAGGAGATCACCGGCTGGCGGTACTTGCACGTGTCCTGCACCGCGCCCCACACCGCCGAGCTGCCCGACAGCGAGCACGTGCGCGTCCGCTTGCCCTCCATGTTGGTGGGGTCCGCGCAGGGCAGCTCCAGCGTGTTGCCCTGCTCCGTCTCGGTCCACTCGCCGTCCGTGGCGCACTTCAGCGTGTCCACGGTGATCGTGATCGTCGTCGTGCCCGAGTTGTCCTCGTTCGACGCCGTGATCGTGTACACCGTCACCGGCATCGACGCCGTCGGCGTGCCCGAGATCACGCCCGTCCCCGTGTTCAGCGTCACGCCGCTCGGCAGCGCCTTGTCCGCCGACCAGCTCGTCACACGGCCCTGCACCGTCGGCGTCTGCGACGCCATCGCCACGCCCTTGAAGAGGCTCAGCGCGGGGTTCGGGTAGGAAATCACCGGCGCCGCGTACACGCACGTGTTCACCGCGGTCTCCCAGGCGGGCGGGTTGGCGTTGGAGCACTGGCGGTACCACTCGCCCACCTTGTCCGCGCCGCAGCTCTTCCAGGCCTTCTCGCCGCGGTCGGTCTCGGGCCAGTCGCCGTCGACGGGGCAGGTGAGACTGGTGATGTAGATGGTGAGCTGCGTGGTGTCGGAGCCGGCCGGGTTCGTGATGGTGATGTTGTACACAGTGCCCTGAACGTTCTTCTCCGAGGGAGCGCCGCTGATGATACCCGTCGTCGGCTGGAAGTAGAGTCCGGCGGGCAGCGAGGGCGTGATCTGGATGCTCTGGATCTCCGCGCCGAAGAGCGTCGGCTTGATGATGCTCATCTCCACGTTCTTCTCCAGGGTCACGTTCGTCACGGGGTAGGTGATCGTGGGAGGCAGCAGCACGCAGTTGTTGATGACCGGGCCCCACGTGGGAGGCGAGGTCGCCAGGCACTCGCGCGTCATGTTACCCGTGTAGTACAGCGGGTTCGAGCAGTTCCGCGTTGCCGTGCTGCCCGCCACGATCGGCGTCCAGCCGCCCGCCACGTCCGCGGCGCACGTGGCGCCCGACGACACCACGGAGATGCTGATCGCCGTGGAGATCGAACCCGCCGTGTTGCGGCCCGTGATCGTGTAGTAGTAGGCGCGCGTCTCGTTGTGCGCCATGCCCGTGATCGCGCCCGTCGCGCTGTTCAGCGACAGACCGGAGGGCAGCTGCGGCGAGCTGGAGAACGTGCAGGCCACGCAGATCGCGGTGGGCTTCAGAGGCGAGGAGATCTCCAGGCCCACGGTCAGGTCGTAGGACATCTGCGGGTAGGCCAGGTACGACGGAGCCACCGGCGAGCAGAAGTTCTCGATCGGACCGAACTCCAGGCTCGACTGGCAGAGACGGCGGCGGTAGCCCGTGTAGCCCGACGGGCAGGAGCCGAACGAGTAGCTGTTGACCAGCGCGGGCTCGAAGACCAGGTCGCCCTCGCAGACCTTCGAGTAGTCCAGAGGCGTGTGGAACAGACTGAACTCGTTGAGGTACAGACCCGTCTTGCAGGAAATGTCGCCCGAGTTGCGGCAGCTGGTCACGCGCAGACGGTACTGGTTGAAATTGGACGTGGCCATGAACTCGCGCGTGATGATCGAACCGCCGAACCCCGCCATGATGTCGGTCATGTAGTCCACCATCGTCCACGTGACGCCGTTGTTGCTTCCCTCCAGAGCCCACTCCGACGGGAACTGGTTCACGCAGGCGCCGTAGAACGAGTACACGCGGTAGCTGTTGACCGCGTAGCGGCTGCCCAGCGGGTAGGTCCAGCGCACCTCGGCGGTCTCGCAGCGCGGACCCGAGATAAAGTAGGTGTTGTCGATGAAGTCAAAGGCCTTGAGGTAGTTGTGGTTGTCCGAGGTCATGATGTCCGAAGACGGCGTTCCCTCCAGCATCGCGGAGGTCGTGTTGTAGGAGAGGTGCAGCGTCGCGTAGAAGTTGTTCTTCACGCGCGTGTTGCTCCAGCCGTGGATCTCGATCGCGAAGTGGTTCGTGCCCTCCTGCAGAAGCGACGACACCGTCGTGGCCGAGCCCGAGACTATCTGGGGCGTCAGGAACTGCGAGGAGGCCAGGGTCTGCGAGGTCGGCGTGCCGGACGGCATGTTCACGCGGTGGACTTCGTGCCCGTTGATGTACACGATCGCTCCCGCATTCACGCGCACGCGGTACATCACGGCGTTCACGTCCGTCAGACTCGACACCGTGAACGTGCTGCGATAGTACTGCGCCGTGCTGCCCGTCAGATCCTCGAAGACGCCGTCGTTGCTCTGCTTCCAGGCGGCATCCGAGAACTCGGGCGCGGCCCAGTTCGCGTCGGTCACTGCGTCGTACGTGTACTTCCAGGCCGAGGACGGACGCACCTGGTAGAACGGATAGACCGTGGTGGTGGTCAGAGCGAGCTTGCTGCTGTGGAACACCGAGGTGCGGTCCTCCGTCAGCAGGTCCACGTAGTACATGCCCCAGTTGGACTCGCCGCCCATCTCGATGTTGATCAAGCCGGGCTCCGTACAGATCGGGTAGTACATCTCCTCATACATGGGCATCGAGGGCACCTCCAGCAGCACCTCCGCGCCCTTCGTCACCTTCACCGACATCTTGGGGCCCAGCGCGCCCGTGTCCGCCACGTACACATAGAACGGCACCTTCGGCGACGAGCAGATATCGATTATGAGATTCAGCTGGAAGTTCTCCGTCTGTCCGTTCACGTTGTTCGTCAGCGTGTAGCTGGTGGTCGCACCCACCGTGGCGACCGTCGGCGTACCCGCGATCCGACCCGTGTACTTGTCCAGCGACAGGCCGCTGGGCAGCGCGGGACTCACGGTCACTTCGCCCACCGACGCCAGCGTGGTGAGCACGGGGAAGGGAAGGTTCTTGTAGCCCTTGACGGTCGTGAACTGGTAGGCAAACGGCTGCGTCGGGATCAGCGCGGTGGAGTAGAGCTCCAGCTCGGAGACGGCGAACGCGTTGGTGGGATAAATGTTGCGGTTGGCCTTCATCACCAGACGGTACATGTTGTAGGCCTCCGTGGTCTCGGCCGAGAAGCACAGACGCTGCGAACGCTTCGTGAAGCGCACGTTCTTGCGCGTGTCCAGCACCGTCCAGTTGGCAATGTTCACGTCGCTGTTCGAGGCCACGAAATCCCACTCCGTCGGATCGAAGCCCGAGGTGTCCGGATTGCAGGTCACGCAGTAGTAGTTGATCAGGCGGCGCGCATCGTCGCGGTATCTGATGCCGACCCACTGCTGGTCCGTCGAGCTTGTGCGAGGGATCAGCGTGTACGAGTCCCAGTCACTATCCGCAATGCGGTCCACCGGATAGCTGCCGCTGCTCCGGCTGCTCTCCGTGGTCACCTCCTCCGTGTAGGAAATGCTCTGCGAGGACACGGTCAGGTAGACCGAGACGTCGAAGTCCGCGGTCAGATTGCCCATCGCGTTCACCACGTCGAAGGCGATGGTGTTCGACCCGGTCAGCAGATCGGCGATCGCGCCCGTGAACGAGTGCCAGTAGGGCGACACCGAGCCTCCGGTGATGGACGTCGTGGCGGACAGCGTCTCGTTCTCCATGTTCAGCAAGTAGCGCTCCTTTCCGTTCACGTACATCCGAACACCCGCTCGGCAGAAGAAACGCACTTCGTAGGCGTCGAAATCGGTCACGTTCTCGGGGGCCATGAACGTGGTGAACGCGTACCACTGACGACGATCAATCAGAGGAGCCGTGTTCGCTGCGACCCAATTCGCGTCGCCCTGGAACGCAGTGTCCGTCACCCAGTTCTCGCGGAACTCGGATCCCTTATAGATCTTGATCGAATCGCTTCCCGGGGAGACCAGGAAGTCCGTATTGATGTCCACCTCATACGTATCGCTATCCGTGACCATCGCATGGCCCAAGTGGTAGGAAATGTCCTTGGTGTACAGCGTGATGTCCACGTACGACCCCTTCACCCACGCATCGCCCATCGAGTCGCTCAGCGTCAACTTGCACATCGTTCGCGGCACGCACATGCGGCTCACCTGCATGAGCTCGCCGTCCAGACCCTCGCCCGAGAACTCCGACTGGTCGTCGCAGGACAATCTCCACGACTCTCGATCCGACCCGGGCTGGTTGTACTTCACGATATCAATGCGCGTGTGCAGGTCGTCGTTGCAGTTCGTGAACCACAGCTTCAGCACCGCCGTTCCCTGCGTTCCGGACACCGAGTCCGTCGCCGTGACCGTGTAGTCGCTCAGCGCCTCCGTCGTCTCCGTCGTCGACCCGCTGATTTCTCCCGAGTCCGCGTCGATCGTGATGCCGGCGGGCAGCGCCGGATTGATCGCGAAGTTCAGATATCCGCTCGACTGCGGCTTGATCGAGAAGCCCTCCGTGATGGCCGCCATGTACGTGAACTCCGTCGTTTCGTAGGTCAGTCCGCTCTCCAGCAGCTCGCCCTCCGACGCGTAGATCGCGAACTCCGACAGCTGGGCGATCGACTCCGTCGCGCCGCGCACTTTGATGATCACGAGGCGAAGCATGTTGTAGGACACGCGGTTCGACTTCACCATGAACGTGGCCGTCTGGCGGCGGCCCGAGAACACGTAGTTCGACTGGTAGTCGATGCGGTTCCACGTCAAGCCGTCCTTCGATCCCTCCAAGCGCCACGTGGTCGGGTCGCGTTCGGGGTACGAGCCCGACGAGGTGAGCGAGTAGGTGTTGAACCACTCGTGGCGACGGTAGTTGAACGTGTAGGTCACTTGGATCAGCGGCTCGATCGGCGCCGACCACTCCGTGCTGGGGTTGTTATCGAAGAGGTTGTCCACGGGCAGACCCGAAGGCGAGGTCGACGCGGTCGTCGCCACGCCGTCGTACAGCCGATAGTCGTTGTCTATTCTCGACGCTCCTCCATGCTCCTACTCTGCTGGTGGGGCAGCAGGTACGCCTTGAAATCGTCCGCGTAGGGGTTCGTCTGGTTGTAGTCCTTGTGGATCTCGATGGCGATCAGCACCGAGGCTCCGCTCAGGTACTGCGTTCGGCTGCCGATAAAGCGCATGTAGTTCGAGGTCGAGTCCAGCTGGGTCACCTGCGTGTTGGAGTTCACCGGGCCGATGGGCAGGTTCTTGCGCATCACTTCCTGGCCGTTGATGTAGGCAACCACGCCCTCGCGACTGAATACGCCCAGCTCGAAGCTGTGGTACCCGTCCCACATGGGCGGAACCGTCACCGACAGAGCGTAGTAGCGAGTGTTCGAGCTCACTTGAGGGAAGCTGCCCGGCGCGTAGGCCGTCCAGGACGGATTGACGGAATGGTACCAGTCCGCCGTCGACTGCGCCGTGCTCGTGTATCTCCAGGAGTCCTTGGGAGAGATTGTGTATGTGGGGTCGAAAAGAATCTCAGAACGGCTCTTGCCTTCCAAACGACTGTGGAGGACATCGATCTTGTCCATTTCAATGTAGAAGTAGGATCCGTCATTCCATCCAGACGATGACCTATCGTTTCACACATCCCGACCGAACAATACGTATCACTCAGAATAATCGTATGCGACGTGGGGAGGATGCACAGATCAATCACTGACTCCAGGTAAGCGCTATTTCGTCCGGTTTCAGTGTGGATCTTTTCTCCATTGCTCTGGAATCCGCGATAGATCTCCATCTTCTCGTCTACCGGATTTGCTCCATAGATGCGGTGGATTGTGATTCCCACTTGCCCTTCATCGCAAGCTAGTGAAAAGACTAGGATATTAACCCGTTTTGCAGCCCAGTACCTGTAAAGAGAAGCAATAAGCAATACACTATTTGCATTTCCTTTAATAATTGTCTCAATCCAGAATAATGGGTTCGCATCCATTTCTCTATTTCATGAACCACATTCGCGGTTATTTCAAACAAATTTGCAAATCGTTTATTCTGTACACTTTCGATTTTGCAAGGATTCGCTATCACTTTTTAGAGCATCTACATGCAAAAAAATCGTTTAGAGAATTCCCTCCAACTTTCGAATCATCACTTTCGTCTTTGAATCTGATGAACAGCTTGCACACATATCGTTGTAACAAATGCAATAATAATATTGATGGCACTTGCTATAAGACGTACTCTCATTCACCTATAGTCACTTCCAGGAGCTGTTTCCATTTGTTTTGTGTATCTATTTGGCATTTGAGTAATTGTATAGGAGCGGTGCAAGTGAGGAGACGATCTAATGTGTAGATGTGGTGTTGATTGTTTCGAGCAGGTAGTGTCCGTGCGCCAGTGGATACTGCATTAGACGCTGACATGTCCTATCTGCAATACAGATGTTTCCGGAGAGTAGGAGAAATCGACTATGCTGCTCTTTCCAGAGATTCCATTGTTGAGCTCCGTTTTCACTCTTCCTTCACACAGTCCACGCAGATGCAGCTCACTTCCATTCTCTACGAAAACCCGCTCGCAGATATCCATCGCATTGACCCATCGTCAGTTCCATCACTCCATCGCTCGCAGAGGTCCGATTCGCTCTCCGCTTCTTCTACGTATCCACGCCTCCTTCCCTGCACTCTCTAGACACAGCTCCTCTTCGAGAACTCGTCCGATGTGAGCCTTCTGCCCTCCTCCCACACAGCACACCGCGAAAACGCGCATGGAAGAGGAGTACAAACGTCGCGAGCTCCGCCTCCGTCCCTCCCCGCTTTCCTTCTCACTCCTAGAGAACGAATCCGCCGAAGTACGCGCGCCTCTCCGCTCTCTCCTAGCTCCAACAACTCGCCAGCCAGCTCGAGAAGAACGTCAGCTCGCTCTCCCTGGAGCTCGACGACGCGCGAGCCAAGATCCAAGCCCTCCAGCAGGAGTGTGCCGAGGCGCAGCAGCAGAAAGCGAAGATGGAGTCGCTCTACCTCTCTCTCAAGAAACAGCAGAAGCAAACGCCGCTCGAGGACCCGCAGCCACAGCCGCTCAGCGCACTCTTTCCTCCGGTAGGCTTGGAGACGGGCTGGGAAGTAGACGCAGGGCGCCAAGACGACGCGGACAGCGCAGAGCGGAGAGGAGGGAAGTCGATTCAAGGGAGTGCTGATCCCGGTAGGGAATGGGGGGTGGAGGTGTTGAGAAGCCTCTGAAGCGGCCGAATACGCCGGGATTGTTCGCGAGCGTATCGAAGAAGGGAGTAATAAGGAAGATTCAGTCGTGAGAGTCATGGAGGAGAAGCTTGGTGGTTTCTGTTTGTTTAAAGCAAAGAATAGAACAGAACAGAACCCAATAGACTTGGATTTTTTCTTAAATAATACAGCTAACAACTCTTTAAGCCATCTTTTTTCTAGACATCCATTCTCACCGTTTTTCTTTTCATAAAACTCTATTATTTTCACCGGAGTGTTCTGACACTTGAAAAGGAGTGTCCAGTTTATTACAAAGTCTAACAGGGTAATAATAATAATAAACAGTGGTTTCTTTTCTTTTCCTTTTTTTATTAATTAATTAATGCCATTATCACAAGAGGAAATAATAGGATTGTTTGAAAATGACGTTATGTCTAGTGATCCTCAAGCGGTAAGCTTTTCAGCTTTTACTGATGTAGGGAATGGAGGTCGTAAAGGATCTGCGTAATACCGTAAATCAGAGCTACTTATTTCTGAAGTCCTATTCGAAGTGTTTGGGGTCTTTCTTTATGTATTATTATAGCTATCCTGGGAAACATGGAATCGGCAAAAATTGGTGTTACTCTTCAAATAGTTTATGGAAATGACTGCAAAAAAATAAATGGAGCACTACTCATTTCCATCCGATGTCTTTATCAGAAAAGACCATACCTTTTTCTTGATACTGAGAACGGTCGACATAATGCCTGGCTATAATCTAGATATTGTTAAAGCAAGCAGAAATATCTTGACTGCACAAGGAATAGCCAACACTCCAAAGTTTAAATCTTGGGGTCCTGTAATAATGTGCTGGTTGCTTTCCATATAGGGATCTACTTTGCTTCTAGCTGTAAGCGAATTAATAAAGACGTTACAAGCGCAAATTAGCCAACTAGGAAAGGATTCCACTCCATCCTCAGCCAAAATCGATAATGCCACTCTGCGGGAGGTTACAAAAGTCGGTTGGAATGAGCTAAGAATAATGGAATACCTTGGCAAAGGAAGCTACGGTACTGTCTACAAAGCGTAGAGCCGTTTCTTCGTCTCAACGCTTAGAACATATCAGGACAAAACAGTGGCGGTCAAAGTGATCGAGCGTCAAGTAGACCTGAAATATTTGGATCGGGAGATGCGCATTCAGTTCGCCTGCGACCATCCCAACATTCTGAAACTCTACGGAGTGTCGAAGACCCCGCATGGGGAGACCGCTTTTATCCTCGAATACGCCGAGACGACATACTTCGAGCTCATCAAGCGGGGAGTTCACTTATCGAACCACGAGAAGTTCACGATCATCCGCGAACTGGCGGATGCGTTGCTTTATATTCATAGACATGGCTTCATTCATCGCGATTTGAAGGTGGGAGCGCGCTATTCTTCTCATTTCCAGGCCGAAAACATTCTCATTTCCAATAATCATATCAAGATCGGCGACTTTGGGTTCGCTCGCGAGCTAAAATCCGTGGAAAACATCCACATCACTCCGCTGGGAACGCCCGTGATGTGTTCATCATGGAGGGTTTTGACGTGTAGCATCGCTCCCGAACTTTTACTGGACGTGCCAGTGACAAATAAAGTGGACGTTTATTCTTTTGGTTCAGTGCTGAACGAGATCATGTCGGACAGAATCAATTATTGGGATTTGAATGTAACTCGAGAGAAGGTAAACACATATATGGATAGGGGATTCATCCACAGTTTTTTCAAATGGTGATAAACGGAATGCGTCCGGAGATTGCGACGAGCACGCCCATCGGTAGCATTGAAGGCGATTTTCTTAGGGAATAGAGGTCCGAATGCTGATTGAGGATTGCTGGAAGGAGAGTGCGTTCCGTCCGTCTATGGAGAATGTGTGGATTCGAATCAATCAGTGGAATCCCGATTCATGGTAGAGGAATTGTTTGTTGAACACAGTCGTTGTGTGGATGGGTAAATGAATGAGTGATTCATTCATAGATTCATTCATTCAATTCATTTATCCAATCATACAAATATCCCATTTCTTTCTCCCTCATCCTCATCTTTCCATTCTCTCATTCTCACTATTTTTCCCCTTCCATTCTCTTCCGACTTTTTCAAACAAACACACCCATACATTCCCCCTAAATGACTAAAACAGAATGACTCCCCGTTCCTCGCACGAGTGAAGCACAGGCGTGGACAATACACATCCCTTCACTCCGATCCGTGCGAGCTTCTTGCATCGCTGCAGTCTGCGGATCGATTCATCGGTCAGCTTCCCGCACCACATCACGTTCACCTCCTTCAGCTTTGATTCCGACTTCTCTCCGATGCACGCGAAACTTTTATCCGTGATGTTGCAGCAAAACGCCACAGAAAGCAACCGAAGCGACAACCCACTCAGCAAACATGTGACTCCCAGATCCGTGATCGAGTTGTTATCCAGAATAATCGACTGCAGTCTCGGCGTATCTACAACATCACACCTCTCTTCGACCGATACACAAAGCACAGTGACACAGCGTCGCGTCGGTGAGTTGCGCCGAGTTGCTGATATCCAAATGCTGCAGTTGGGGACAACGCTGTAACACGCCTTTGAATCCCTCGTCCGTAATGGAAGTGTGTCTACGTCCCAGAAACACCGCGGAACTACGCGATCTGAAGCGAAACCAGGAACTCGCAGCGACTTTGAAGCTGTCGAAGCACCACATCGTTCACAGCAGGGACGTAGCTGACGTTTAGCTCTGTGTAGAACAGCGAGAGCAGCTTCAGCAAGGCGTCCTGGGTGACGTGGCGGCAGTAGGAAATGTCCAGCGACCGAAGCTTCCGGCAGTTCTTCACCACGCTCACCACAAATTCACCAGAAAGCTGGGAACAGCGAGAGAGACACAGTTTCTACGTTCAATTCGCAGCGAAACCATACGCGAAGAGAAACCAGGGCGTGCAGTCCATAGAAGAGGGAACAAGAGGAGGTAAACGGCACGTCTGTTATGAGAAAACAGCCTTTCAGAGATAACACCTCCAGCTTCCAGCAATTCTGAAGGATTGACTGCAGACTATCGTTCGACAATTGCCTGCATCCATCAAGAACTAGAACAACCTGCAAATCAATCCAAATTCATGCCCCAACAAGGTTTTTACAGTAAAAACTGATCTGACACAACAAAGAGTTGGGAAGATGGTCACATCCAGTGAGATTCAAGTGATAGCATATGCTTGGCAAAAATTGGAACAAAATACCCTGAGACAACTACAAATCACCAATCCAAACTCAGCTCCACCTTTCTTTCCTTTATGAACATGTCAACTATGTATTCTATCACGTCAATATTGGCTCTAGTGGACATTCTAGGAACAACTCTGCCTACGAATGAAGCTGCATGATTATTTTGGATCGGTATCTCCTGTCGTCCCATTTGGAAACCATTTGCTTGGCACAGTATTCCAAAAGGCTATCACACTGCTTCTCCCCCGAATTCTGCATTGACTTAATAGTCTACTCTATTTAGTACAGCATGCACCCCTCGTGGAAAGGAATTAGAGTTGCAGCATTTGGCAAAAATCGCCCAAAGTTTTGGAATCACAAAAATATTCAAGTGTCATTGTATATATTTGTCGAAATGGAGGAGTTTTATGTAGATCATATTCACAGTAGAGCGACTCAAGTATGAATCGTCTCGTTTGTATGTACGGTACGTTGCTCGAAGTAATGCTTATGTATCTTATGAATTCATGTCTAGAAGCACCCAATTTTAACGAAATCTGTTTCTTCCATGCTCATTGGAGGTGCAGGAGATATAGCAGCGCAATATTTAATTCGTGATCGTATATATATATCGTCTGTTTTCGTTATAATCAATTAGGATCCAAAGAGTTTAGAATTGATTGGTATAGAACGTTTCGAATTTGCGTAATAATCGTTTGTTTGTATGAGTGCTGTAGTGTATGAATTTCGGATATGGATTTTTGTCACACTTTTGGTTTGCTCGTAGTCCGCTTCTTATCTAGGTACAACGCATTGGACGGGATGGTAAAGTCTACGGGAACTGCGCGCGTGGTCAGGAAAATGATAATTGATCAATTTGTGTTCGTGCCTTGCTGCCAAATCCTCTTCTTTTCGGGGAATTCCATCCTGGAAAATCCTTCAGACCAGCCTAGAGCTGCTATAGAGAAGCTACGCGGGTGCTTGCCTACCTCGCTCGCCGTACGGGATGTCTGCCCTACTGATGAGTTAGACGAACTATGCCGTTTGGCCGGCTTTGCAGCTGATCAACTTCCGCTATGTACCATTGAATTACCAAGTGCTCTATCTGAGCGTGGGACTTTTCTTCTGGAACATTTTCCTCTCTCATATGGCGAATCGAAAGGAAAAGTCAAAGCGATCCTCTTCTCTTTGTTAACAAACAGAGAAATCACAGAACCCACGAAGGCTTCGTCTTGCTGAAGAAACACCCCATTCCTTCCTTCCCTTCCTCACTTTGGCGCCGTTCACACAACATGTTGACACTGATTTCGCCTTGCTTCCTGCGAGTTACACACACACACACACGACTACTCCGACGATTGATTCTCACTCATCGCGTCGATCAAATCACTCACCAATCCCACTGCTTGCGGAGCAGCAGCTTTCACACACTTTCTCCACTCCTTTTCGTAAGCCTCCATCGCGGCTTCGTCTTCCACAATTCGATCCACGAGACCGATTCGCAGCGCATCGGTCGCTCCGATCCTTTCTGGAATCATCATCGTTCGTCTGGTTCGAATCTCCTCGCTCTCTCCTACTTGCACTGAACGGCGCCGATTCGGTTCAAAACAAAGGGCGAAACGACTGCTGGAATGATGCCCAAACGCGTTTCGGAAAAGAGGAACCAGCTGCTCGGTGTTGCAACGACGTTTTTGGAAGTGGAGCACAAACCAACTCCTCCACCAATACAACCTCCCTTTACAAAGCAAAGTGTGGGGATTCGCAGACGATCGCACTTCAGTAACATCGTTCTCAACTTCATACTGTCCGCAACGATTTCTTCTTTGCTCATGCTTGCAGTGTTCTTCATCCAAGACAAATCTGCGCCAGCACAAAAGTAATCACCCGCCGCCTTAATAACCAACCCACGAATATTCTTATCACTCTCCACTTCTGAAAACGCTGATGTCAGTTCTCGAATCGTGATATCTGAAAACGCGTTTTTCTTCTGAGGGCGATTCAACGTTAGCGACGCTATGTTGCTACTGTCCACCTATTTTAACATGAGAGAGAAGAGAAAACGGTCAAAATAATATGCTCGTACGACACAGTGCTCAATTGTCTGCTTAGAGGGATTACCATTTTAGAAAGCAGTCTATTTGCATGATATAAAGAATTCATCATTTTGTCTAAAGTATTTTGTACACTATTGTTTCGACCGGTCTATTCTCATGCCAAAGAACGGACTAAACCCGGAGCAAGCCTATAGAAAGCAGAAAAAGAGACAAGTTTGTTCAATAGTACTCTAAAAACATAGGCATACGAAAAAGCTGAGCGAGACCGTTCAAAGAGGCGCAAAGAGTTGTCCAAGACGTTGGATGTGCACAAGATACGCAATCGAGTTTGGTTTTGATGATGTCTACTTTCCATAGTTAAGCGAGATAGAAAAGGAGGAAGCAGCCGGTCGAATGACGATAGGCATGCGTCAAGAGAAATCCAATGTCTGTTGAGTGTTTTGCGTACTATTTGTAGTTAATGGCGCAATTAAAATCCGTATCTAAGAAAACTCCTCAAACAGATTATGCTTTTATGAAAAAAGTTCCGTATGGGACCTTGTTTTGCTAATGAGTAGAATAAACAAGTCTCGTCTGTCTCCAATGGATATAGAGAAGGCAATGGAGAATCAGCGAAAGATGGAAGAGCCACTAAAGCAAGAAGCAGCTTCGGCATATGGCGTTCCTCCTCCTCCTCCTCCTCCCCCTCCTGTTTCTAATGCTAGCGCTTCAACTGACTCAGCTCCTGCTCCTGCTCCTGCTCCTTCCGAGCCCAAACCGCACATTCCCATCTATAATCCCATGGCGAAACGATCAACTCCCGTCAATGCGGGAACGATGGATCTTCCTTCCTCGTTGATTCCCAATTCTGTAAAGAAACAAGTCAAAGAGAAGCCGGTCATCTATAACCCGTTCCTTTCCTCATTACCTGTGTCTAATAAAGCAGAGTCGGATAGCAAGAAGGAGGAGGAAAAGGAGGAGGAGGAAAAGATCAATGTCCCTGGACCTCAGTTGCGTTTCACGCTTGTTCCCTATGGAACTGATCAATCGGATGAGGATGAGGAGGATGACAAGGACAACAATTCTTCTTCTTCTTCTTCTTCTTCGAGTGATGAAGGTAATGAAAAACCAACGAATTTGGTCGGAACTGAAGAACAAAAGAAGGAGGTGGATGAAAAAGAAGATGCTTTCAACCAGTTTATGAAGGAAATTAGCTCTATGTAAACAACACTACATTAATTGTTCAAACAAACATAAAGAATAATACCAAAAACATACACAACTACTACAGGGAAATAACTGTAAAATGGGGAATGGGAATATGTGAGGAGTTTTCCAATAATATCCTTACAGAAACAACCTCAAACAGACACAAGCCTTCTGGCTAATACTACAAAACCAGAATCTGAGTCAAAACCTGTGTCTACAAGGCGCAGGAGAAGGACACTGAAAAAAACCTCACCCCAAACCACACACTTCACACTGATGACTGGTTAGATACGAATCTACAACACCGTAAGAACTATGCTCGGAAAAAGAGTTTGCTCAGTAGGATGTGAGTATATCCACACGAACGTTCGGAAACACCATTAAACCTTCATCATTCAAACAAAGGAAATATCAGAGATTGTTCATACGATCCACACAACACCTTTCAGACAGGGATAACTTTGTGCATCATTTCTATTTCCTTTCACAGTACACTCAGGTAATGAGATTTAATCCACACGATCCTTTCAGACAGGGATAACTTCCTCATCAGGGTGTACAAACCTTCAACAAGACACTTTGACTTACCTAACTAAGAGTACACAAAAGATCCGAAGATTTCGATGGACTGAAAAGTTTTTTGAGAAACCAAAATGAATGGTAAAGAGCGACCAATCTGATTGGCTTGGGATCCCCTTCTTTTCACACCGTGCCTCATCGCTTGCCAGATAGATAGAGGGACAGACTTGGTAATATTGAACAAGGTACCTTAAGGCAGAAGTTTCTGATTTACTAGAAATGTCAGAAGGTGAGCCAATTAGTCAGGAACCGGGGAATGTGGAGGAAAATATGGAAACCCATGAGCCAACAAACGATAAAGAGACCACTGATATTCCCGGAGTGATGCGAGCGCGTGATAGTTTTAAGGTGTACGTATCCAATTTAAATAATTTCATGTCGCAAAAGGAAGCACTGCAGCTTTTTAAAGATCGTAATATTTCTGGCATAAAGTGCTCTGCTTTCGAGTTTGTTTATCTGTAGATCAGTAAAGAAGCAGAGAGGAAAGACGTTTGCATTTATCGTTTTCAATAGCGTTGAGGAAAGAGACGCTGGAAAAAGTGCGATTGAGAAAATGGTAGTGGCTGGAAAGCGCTTAACTTGCAAAGACGTAGGAACCGGAAGTGATTTTGAGCCTAGGCGAACATGCAAAAGAAGCGTTCAAGCCAGAAGCGAAAGGGGGAGGAAGATAATGGTGGTGAGAATGTGAAGCGTGTAAAGGAAGAGAAGGAAGAGTCGATAGAGAGTAGGTTTAGTTGGGATACGTGGTTTTATCTTGCTGTAGATAAGACAACGAACGATATTGTGGCTCCTTGGTGGAATGTGCCTTACGAAGAGCAAACGTCTCGAAAGGAGAAAGAGATGCGCCAAGTGTTAAAGCGCTGCAACAGACGAATCAACCGAAAGGACCATGAGAAGGAGAAGAAGAAGAAGACAGGCCGCGCTGGCACGGTCGACCAGCCGTGTCGTGATTTTATGAGCAAGGGAAGCTGCATGTATGGAGATCGCTGCAAATACATTCATCTTACGCTGGACGAATATGAAGAACGCTTGAAGAAGGAGCAGGAAGCGAAAGAAAAAACGGTTGAAGAAACAACCGAATCGAAAATGACTGAAGAAACCACCGAATCGAAAACGGTGGAGGAAACCACCGAATCGAAAACGGTGGAGGAAACCACCGAATCGAAAATGACGGAGGAAAAAACAAGCCAGGAGGCTTGCGCGAATGCTGCTAAGGAGAACTCTCCCACCTCATCCGAACAGCCCGCAAAAGAAGCTTCGGACAGCGAGGACTACGAGAAGGCGGACGAGGACGAAGGACAAATCTGCTCCATGCTACCCATTCTGACGCACTCGAAAGTCGAAGGCTACCGCAATAAATGCACCTTCACCATCGGAAAAGATCGAAACGGCGCGCCGTGCATCGGATTCCGCATGGGCAGCTTCATTAACGGCAACGTGATCATCGGCCCCATCGAGTATGCTCGCTCTCCCTTCCTCACCTTCAGCGACGTCGTCGTCGTCTCTCCGCTGATGAAGCAGGTCGTCAAGCGCGTGGAAGCCTTCATCGTCTCGAAGTCGTACCAAACGTACGACATGTGCCAGCATCTCGGATTCTGGAGATCGCTCCTGCTCCGCTACTCCGAGCGAACCAACCAGCTTTTGATTCTCGTCGTTGTGGGCAATCCCTACGAGCGATCGCTCCCGAAGGCGCAGGAAGCGCTCGCCAAACTCACCGACGCGACGCGGAGCGAAATCGACGGCGTGATGAAGGAGTTGCTCGCGTTTGTTGCCGCCGAAGTCTCCTGCATCGCTTCCTTCAACTATCAAATGTAGCTCTTCGCTCTCCACTTTGAGAGTTCTCTTTTAGATTCACCGGACTCTCCATGCCTGGCTCTGATTGTCCCATCGTCACGCTGAAAGGCGAGCCCTTCATCGAAGAGCGGCTCTTCGATCTCTCCTTCCGCGTGTCTCCCTACGCGTTCTTCCAGGTCAACACGCCGGTCGCGGAAGTGCTCTACAAGAACATCGGCGACTGGCTTTCTCTCCACGAGAACACGCTCCTCCTCGATGTGTGCTGCGGAACGGGAACTATTGGACTCTGCCTTGCGAGCCGCGTCAAATTCGTGCGGTTAGGAGCGATTTCTGATGGTTGTAGCTCATCGGCGTGGACATCGAGGCTTCGGCGATCGAGGATGCCCGGCTGAATGCAGAGGCGAATGGAATTAAAAACTGCGAGTTCATCTGCTCTCCCGCAGAGAAAGTGATGGCTGATTTGCTGAAGCGAGAAGACATCCGACGTTTGGATGGTTCGGTTGCATTAGTGGTAGAGTATGACCATATCGTCGTGATTGTGGACCCTCCACGAAGTGGTTTGCACAAGGATATCATTCCTGCTTGTCGAAAATGCACGGCAATAACCGAACTAATCTACGTATCGTGTAACCCGACGGGCTCGTTTGTCGAAAATACAGGTAGTTTGTGTGTCGAGCATTTTGATTTCGTAGTTACTCTGTGTTGCCAGCCCAATCGCCGGTTACCAGGCGACCCGTTTGTAGCCATAAAATCTCAGCCAGTGGACTTGTTCCCTTTTACGGAACATTGCGAATTGATGACCTTATTTGCACACATGTAAATGAGAGCTTGAGTTTCGCTTGCTTGTTTTATACATTTTAAAATGATGGCGGAAGAGTGTTGCCATCTTGAACTGTGTCTCGGTGTCGTAAACGTGTGGAATCCACCAGAAAAACAAAAATCATCGAGATTTCGACAGCGGATCCTTTCGAAATGATGGAATTAACGATAGCCACAATCTCTTTGAATGGTAAAAAACGGGATTGTTTTATGAAGTGTAAAAGTAGGGCCTATTTTTCGATTTGTTTTGTCCGTTCAGTGATCAAATGGGAAAAAGGGCCTTGATAATCATAAGTTATGAATTACTATACATGCGAAATGTAATCCAGTTTTGGTTTGTCACTAATATAGTGTATGTAGGTAGCTTATTTCGTCATCTTGGTTCTTTTGCTCATATGCGATGTAGATTATTGTATTTCTACATGGAAGCTATCGATTCTGATGATTATTCTGTCGGAGGTGCTGCTCCGAGAGGAAGAGAAGAGGGAACCGACGCTAGAAACATTGAGTCCAATGAAGAGATCAAAAGTATTAGTTTTGTTTCGCTGAAGTTAATCTTAGGTATAGACTATTCAAAGCAAATGGAAGAGTCTGTGAGCAAGTTAAAGTCACCAATTACAGACGGAAAAATCCAGTTAGAAGGGTGTAAGGTTCTGGATCGACTTTCCGCGTCTCGTGAGTGTTTGAAGGTTTGCGGTTATCCTTAGCGGAAAGCATTCGTTTTTTCTGCGATATGGATGTTATTCCTGTACTCATTCGGACCATGCGCGCAAGAAATCGAGATCCTGAGTTTCAGACTTCGGCTACGAGTATTCTAAGAAGCATTGCAGGAGATGGTAGGAATGGAAGGCATGCGCTGAAGATTAGAAACTGTTCGGGAGTTGGTGTTTTCGAATAATGGCATTGAGAACATCGCGAAGGCCATGCTCAACTTCCCTGCTCGAGAGGACATTCAAGAGAACTCTTGTTTTTGCCTTCAATTCTTTATTGGGTCCGGTAGGCGGCTGTGTGTGCGGAGGGTGATGTACAGAAGAAGCGGTTACTCGCATGGTGCGTTCGAACTGCTTCGATTTGATCTGCCAATGCATGAGCAGGTATCAGAACAACGTGGAGCTGCAGACTGCTGCTATGCTGCTCCTCTGTGTGATCGCGAATCTTGATTCGACCAAGAAATCAGCGCTGTTTTCGCGTGATGTCGTCAGCAGAGCCATCCAGAACTGTGTGGATCGGGCTCCTGAACCACTGCTGGCCGCATCCATGACAATGATCGATTTCATGGCGAACCGGGAGGAGTGCATCAAGATGCTACTGGCTCATCACGTGCTGCAGGTCTTGCTGGACGCGATGGAGGCGTATGACAACCTGGAGATCGAGCTGCACGGCACGGGAATCATGGCGACGCTGGCGAATCTGGAGCCTTCGTCTCACCAGCTGCTGATTGAAGTGGAAAGTTATGCGACAATGATTACGATGATTAACAAGCGCGACAAAGTGAAGGCGATTCGCGACTCCTGTTTCAGCTACTTCGAAGCAATCTTCCAAGACAAGGACCACGCCTTGGAGCTTTGCAACAAGGGAATCCTGCCCTTTTTCGTGAGCGGAATCGAGAACCGTCGCAACGAGAAGCTGTTGTCGTATCTGAACGTGCTGGCCGCCGTGTTCCAGCACGAGATGTCGAAGAAGATCATTGCGAACTGCGGTATTTTGGACAAGCTGCTGGCGGTTCTTCGCAACAACACGGAGAACGGAGAGGTCATTACTGTGGGTTTGCATCTTCTGAACAACGTGATGCTGACGAGCAGCATCATTCCTGCGGTCGTTCAGATGGATTACCTGTCCGCGTTGATCTGGTGCGCGCAGAACTACGGACACAGTGAGGAGGTTTGCTTGCAGGTCGTGAACGCGATGGTGCGTCTCTCCACATGTGCGTCGGTGCGTGTGCAGATGATCGCCTCGCATTGCGTGGAGACTGTGTTTGGAATGACGGATCTGTTCCGCGACAACAGGGAGTTCCCCGGACTGGCTTGCCAGCTGTTTTCGAACCTGGCCGAGAATACTTCGATCCGCGAGCGTCTGGGAGGAGCCGGCCTCTTCGACTTTTTGCTGGAGCTGCTGATCGATCATATGGAGGAGGTGGATGTGACGCGAACCGTGCTGACTCTGGTGAAGCAGCAGGCCGAAGCGACGGACAAGAACCACAAGAAGTTTGCGACGGCGGAGATGCTGCAGAAGTTGTGCGAGGTGATTCTCCACAAGGATCAGACCAACTCCCTCATGGCCTGCGATCTGGTGTCGAACGCCTTGCTGTGGAACAAGTCGCTTGGCACGGTGCTGGAGCAGAAGGACATCCACGAGCTGATTCAGGCGCTGGTGATTTGTGTGGACGACGAGAACGGAACGCAGGTGCTGCTGCGCTTCCTCCAGGCGATCGGAACTCGCTGCGCGCCTTCGATCGAGAGTTTCTTGCTGCTGCTGTTCGCGGTGATGAACAGCAAGCATCTGACGGACCAGGGCCAGCAGTCGATCTTGGACGTGCTCCGCACGGTGATCTACAACGAGATGTACAAGCAGGTGATGATGATGGGCCCGTTCCTCGCCCAGTTCTTCGCGATCGTGGAGCGGTGGAAGGCCACTCCTTCCCGTCTCGCAGAGCTGCTTTCTCTCAACCAGGCGGTGCTGACGGACAAGAGCTGCACCTCGACGCTCATCAACTGCAGTGGAATCCCCCTGTTCTGCGGCCTGCTCAAGGATTTCAACGACGAACAGCTGCTGACGCCGGTGGTCTGCATCTTGGCTGCCTCGCTGAACGCGAAGAACGCGGTCCCGATTTTCCTGAACCACAAATGTCTGGACCGTGTGAGCGAGGTGATGAAGAGCTTCACCGAGAACCAGGAACTGCAGGCTGCCTGCTGCGAGGTGCTGCTGAACGTCGCCAACACGCGCGGCGGCGTGACGAGCGTGATGCAGTCCAAGTGCTACGAGCCGGCGATCGCGAATCTGGAGCACAGTTCGCAGGAGTATCTGGAGATCTGCTGCCATCTCCTGAACTTGCTGGCGCGCGACGAAGTGAACAACTACAAGCTCATTGAGGCGCACGTGGCCGAAGCGCTGCTGCGCGTGCTTTCGGAGCAGATCCCGGACGAGGTGGCCGAGCCCGCTCTTGGCTGCATCAAGTCGTTGATTTCGAATCCTGACCACATGCCGAAGTTTACGGAGGAGCAGAATCTGGAGATCTTGTGCAACTCGTTCACCCAGATTCGTGGCCAGGCCCATTTTATGCTCTGCGATGTGTTGATGATGGTTTTGGGAAGCGTGGAGATGTTCCCGGAGCCGCTGCCCGAGTCGATCGCGAGCACCATTATCTCTCTGACGGCGGAGAAGGCGGTGGACGTGAGCACGATGCGTGCGATGGTGGAGATTCTGAAGAAGGTGAGCGCTACGGTGGATAGCCGCGCCGTGATGCTGAACTGCGGCTTTGTGGATATGGTGTTCGCTATGATCGGCAATCTCATCGCCAATCGCGATTTGGTGTTGCTGTACCTGAACACCCTGGTGCCCTACTACGAGGACGAGCTGTTCGCGTCGATGGTGGTCGGATGCACGGACGCGAAGGTGCTCAACCGCGTGATGGCGCAGAACACCGCGCTGCCTCCCATCCAGAGCGCGTGCATCAAGGTTTTCCTGGCCATCACCGCGTTCATCCCGGAGAGCGTTCTGCAGCTGCACGCTACGGCTGCCTGCGTCCGCTGCATCCAGCTGTGCATTTCGGACGACCACATCGTGCTGGACGGCTGCCACACGCTGCGTAACATGGTCGCGGATACGGTGATGGAGACGGCGATGGAGAGCCGAAAGGCTGTGGTGAGCAATGGTGGACTGGACGCTCTCTACACGACGCTGCAGCGCTATCCCAAGAACGCGGAGATCGTGAGCGTGGTGCTGCGCACGCTGCAGTACCTTGCGGACGGGTCGTCGGATGTGAATCTGATCGCCTCTGCCGCCTATCTGAAGACGCTGATGCTCGTGTACAGCAACTTCAGCAACAACAGCGACGTGACGACCTTGTTCGTGCAGCTGATCTGCAACCTCTCCGCCATCGAGAGTTGCAAGTCGGCGATCATTCAGAGCGGCGTGATCGCGAAGGTCGTCGCCTCGACCCAGGCCTTCCCGGAGGCGCACGAGTTGCTGTTTGCGGTGGCCGGTTCGATCAGCTATCTGTCCATGAAGGGCTTGGCGGTGTGCGAGTCCTTCCACAAGTTTGAGGCGGAGTCCGTTTTGGTGGCCACGTTGAAGGCGGAGGATGTGCCTGCGGAGACGGCGATCCTGGTGGCTTCGATCTTCCCGCTGTTCTTCCAGATCAAGACGGTTTCGGAGTGGTTCGAGCAGCAGGGAGGTATCGACGCGCTGCTGAACACTGCGCAGCGCTTCCCCGAGGACGTGGAGCTGTACGGCCAGTTCATGGGCTGTCTGTGCACACTGACGAACGTGATTTCGCTGCGTCCCAAGCTGGCTCGCGCCGATGTGCTGGACTTCGCGCTGGCGGGCGAGCGACTGTGCGGCTCGGAGGAGGAGTTCGTGATCTACGGCGCCGTTCTGTTCTCGATCGTGGTGGAGAACCACGCCTGGATTGTGGAGAAGCACGAGGCGTTCTTCGAGGAGATGGCCAACGTGCTGCTGACGTTCCAGGAGAGTCGCAACGTGGCGATTACTGTTTCGGAGCTGTGTCTCTCCGCGATGGACTATCTGTGGAGCCATGGCGTGGAGTACTACATGAGCGGCACGGCTGCGGAGGCTGCGGTGTTCTTCATCCAGAACTTCATGAGCGACAAGCAAGTGGTGACGGACTGCTGCAGTCTGCTGAAGCACTGCGAGGTGCTTGCGGATGAGATGCAGCAGAACGTGATTCGCACGAGTCTGATGGTGTTCGATGCGTACTCGAAGGACTCGAAGATCAACTTCGCTTGCGCCGACATGCTGCTCAACCTGTCGCAGTACCCGAACGCGACGGTGAAGATGCTGCGCTTGGAGGTGTACAATGCGCTGATGAAGTCGATGAACACGTTCAGCAACAATATGGAGCACGTGAAGGTGATTCTGAGCGTGCTGATTGTGATGCTCAACGACCACTCGGTCCCGAACAAGTTCGTGACGCTGTCCAACACCAAGATTCTCTATCGCGTGTCCGGAGACTACCGCGAGAAGCCTCTCATTCTGACTCTGGTGGCGCGCGTGGTGGAGGCTGTGGCTCCCCAGAGCGCTTTGGAGTTGGTGGACACCGGCTTCGTGGGCATTCTGCTCCATGGAGTCAAGCGTTCGGAGGATAGCGAGTGTATCGTTGCCTGCTGCGACGCGCTCTCGGCCATGTCGTACTGCCCTCAGTGCCTGAGCATTCTGAGTCAGCAGCGCTGCTCGCAGGAGTTGATGACGATCCTTCAGAAGTATCAGGATGACGCGAAAGTGACCTCGGCTGCCCTGGGATTGCTGCTCGCCATCTGCCAGAGCAAGGAGTCGGTGCGTGAGATGAGTGTGAGCCACTTTGTGCGGGAGTTGTGGGTTGTGATGACGCGTTTCTTGGCGGATGCCCATATTGTTGGCTTGTGCTCGTCGGTGATGAACGCTCTGGCTCGTGGTGAGATGAGCTCTCTGCAGGAGCTGATGGATTGCTTCGACCGCGAGGTCTATTGCGACGCGCTGAACCGGCATGCTGCCAGCGAGGAGGCGGTCGCCGGACTTCTGAGCGTGCTGTCTCTGCACATCGAGCGCATGAACAGACAGCCGTTGAGCCCTGCGTTGGACCTCGTGCAGTTCTCTGTGAACGCCCTGAAGCAGTTCCCGGACAGTCTTCCTGTCTGCACTGCTTCCTTCGAGTTGCTGGAGGCTTGTCTGCGCGTGTTGAAGCTCAAGTCGATCTTGGACGAGGCCAGCACGCTCTTCGCCTCTGCGTCGCACAGTGCGGAACAGCTCGTGCTTATGTCGCATCACGAGAATCCTCTGGAGACGCCCATCGTGAAGGTATCGAGTCCGGAGGTGCAGCTGCTGATCATCATTCTGCGCTTCATGAAGTGCATCGTGCCCCAGGTGGAAGAGTGCGAGCTGTGCAAGGATCTGGTCAGCCACTTCGTGGACGCGCTGAATGCATACCGCGTGAAGGAGGTTATGGTTGTGGCGATGGACGTGCTGTCGCTGATGACTCGGTATGATTGCGTGGACACGATGTGGGAGAAGGACGTGCTGACCGTGGTTCTGAGGTACTATATGAAGTACACGGAGTCCTCGTTCATCTACTCTGCGTGCATTGTGATGCGCATGTTCTCGGAGGAGAAGAGCTACGCGGATTCCCTGCTGAACAACGAGGTTCCGACCGCGATTCTGTCCATCATGAAGAAGTACGAGAAGGAGCTGCCGATCGTTCATTGCTGCGTGTGCATCATCGGCAATCTGCTTCGCTCCGTACTGATTATGGAGGTCCAGCTGGAGGAGATTTTGAAGATCGCGACCCGCGTGGTGCATAGCGACTGCGAGGACGAGGAGATCATCATCGACATTTTGAAAATGTTTGGCAACGCTCACGGTTACGCGTCGTTGGTGAAGGATCAAAACGTGGTGACGACGATTCTGGTTCTGGTCGATAAGTATATGAAGAATCCTCGAATCATCGAGGCGGCGCTGGACGCTTTGGATCGGAACACTTGCGTGATCGACAGCCACTTGCAGCTGACGGGCAACAACGGAGTGGCGAAGCTGCGACAGGTTGCGGAGACGTACAAGACGAAGCGCGACTCGATCCATCTCTACGCTGGAGCCTTGAAGGTGATCGACAACCTGGCTCGCTATGGAAGCGAGGGCGTGACGTTCACTCTGGTTAACACACCGGTGGTGAGCCTTGTGCTTGAAGCGTTGGACGTGCTGCACTCGCGGGAAGAGTACTTGGTGTATGCGTTGTCGTTGGTGAACTGCTTGGTGGAGCGCGACACGGCCAATGCTTTCAAGAAGGACCTGGTGAGCAAGAAGACGGTGGACTGTGGCTTGTTCGTGGTGCGGAACTACTCGAGTGACGAGATCGTTTACTGCGCGAGCCGCTTGCTGCTGACGGCGCTGAAGGAGTCGAAGTGGGAGGCTGCGATTCTGAGCATGGAGGTCCTTCAGCGATTGGCGGAGTTGCTGCAGGGAGCGATTCCGAGCAGCATGAAGGTGTGTTCGATCCTGATTGACTTCCTGGTGTTCTTCTGCGCCGAGCCGACGAAGAAGCCGTACGTGGATCGCGTGGACATCGCCACGCCTGCGAACAACTGCTTGATGCGCTACTACCAGGATCAGCCCTTGGTGGAGAAGTGTCTGCATCTGCTGTCGCTGCTTTCGCTGCTGCCCATCAGCATGGACCAGGTGGTTTCTTCGATGAAGGAGTACACTTCCTCCGCTCCCGCGCAGCTGAGTGGCTGCACGCTTCTGATCACCTACGTCGACGCGGACGCTGCGAACGCGGACGCTCTCCTGAATCTGGGAGCCATTCCTGTGGTGGTTTACGCGGCGGATCGTTTCTTCGACGATTCGAAGATCCAGAAGAAGAGCTTGCTGCTGCTGTCGAAGCTGGCTTCGCGGCCGAGCTGTGTGAAGAGCTTGATCGAGAGCTCGGCTCCCGAGGTGTGCATCCGATCGGTGATGCGCTTCGACAAGGAGAAGGAGATTGTGCGCTGCGCTACGCATGTGCTGGCGTGCTGCAGCAACGACGAGAACCAGTTCGTGGCGAGCAGTGGAAGCCTGGAGCGTCTCATCAAGGCAATTCTGCAGCACAAGGACAGCAACGATATCATGCTGGACGGCTGCCGCTTCATCACGAGCTGCGCGAAGGACACGCATCTGGGTCACGGCTTGATCGACGTTGGCATCATTGAGTTCTTGACGCGCATTCTGGATACGGAGGGCCGCGACACGGCGCTGGAAGAGTCTTCTCTGAAGGCGCTGTACGAACTGACGAAGATTCCGGCTGGACGCGAGAAGATGAGCGAGGACGAGACGCTCTCGCTGTTCTTGCCGTTCTACCGCAGCAGTCGTCCCGACCATCACTTGGAGCTGTGCAGCAGCATTCTGGAGAACGTGACGGAGGTGAAGGCCTCGCACGTGATGGTGATGGACAAGCGTTATCTGCAGACGGTGGTGGCGAATCTGGAGGCGAACCTGGGCTCGCAGTCGCTGTGCATGCACCACATCCACATTCTGGAGAACCTGTCGGCGAATGAGGACAACCTGGACGAGCTTTCGCGAACGCGAGCGCTGCCCCTGTGCGTGAGCAGCATGGACAGCTTTAAGAACGAGGAGGAGATCATCAAGAGAGCGACTGGCTTTATCGAGAACATGGTGAAGAAGGACTCGAACATCGAGGTTCTGAAGGAGGCGACGGGCGTGAAGATCGAGTTCGATGCGCTTCAGCGGTACACGAAGAACGTGGTGATTTCTCTCCACATTCTCCGTACGCTGCTTGCCGTCGCGCGTGCGGGCAACTTCGATTCGATCGAGAACGTGCCTTCGTGCTCGGGCCCGATCTACAGCGCGCTCAAGGACCATGTCGACCAGAGCGAGATCTTCGCTGCCTGCGCGGAGTTGCTGGAGCAGTTGATGCACTCCCCGAACCAGCGACAGGCGCTGCTGAGTACCCAGACCATGATGGGCTTGATGGCGCTGATTCCTCGTCTGCGCAAGCGACAGGCGGATGCGTGCAAGGTGCTGCGGCTGGTGCTGACGCTTCTGGACTTCTACAACTTGGCCGAGCTGCCGGAGATCAATCTGGAGCCGTTCTTCTTGGAGCTGGCCTTGTATGCGAGCGAGGAAGACATCCAGAGCCGCATCGTGAAGTGGATCAGCGAGGCGTCCCAGCGTGAAGAGATCGCAGCCCAGTTCGCGAGCGAGGGTTGCGTGCCGTTGCTGATTCGCGACCTGGAGCAGTACTGTGACAAGCTGGAGATTTCTCTGGATGCGTTCCATGCATTGATTCTGATTCTGAAGACGGAGAAGTCGATGGTGAGTCTGGTGACGAACAATGGAATCGCCGTGGTGATCAACTCGATGAAGGCGTTCAAGGAGGACACGGAGATGATGTCTTTGGGATACCACATTCTGTCCGTCGTGTGCTTCAAGAACGAGTATTGCGCGATTGCTTTGGAGAAGGACGTGATGAGTCTCATTGACTTCACGGAGCAGGACTATATGAGCGAGAAGGACCTGATTGGTCATTGCCTGCGTTTCTGCAACCGGATGGCGCAGAGTGTGGAGATCGCATCGGCGATGACGACCACCTCCTGCGTAGGGATTGTGTTTGAGGCGCTTCGTCGTTACTCGGACGACGAGGTTATTATGAACGAGTGCGTAATGTGTCTGATTAAGCTGCTGGAGGCCAAGCTGGACGTCCGGGAGATTATGAACGCTGGCGTGCTGATCAGCATTGTGGAGGCGATGCAGAATTTCACGGAGTCCGATCTGCCCGAGAACGTGTGCCTGTTCCTAGTGTACTTGCTGAAGGACAAGGACGCGCGCCAGCAGCTGATCGAGCAGAACCTGACGGAGTTCCTGATCAGCGACATGCTGGAGGCGAGAGACAACTGGTCGCTGCTGGCCGCCGTCTGCAAGACGCTGGAGGCGTTGTGCGAGGACAAGGGCTCGCTGGAGATCATGAAGACGAAGCACGTGGATGAGATCTGCGACTCCAAGCTGCACGAGTACCAGAAGTACCCGGAGTTTATCCAGGCGTGCGCTTGCTTCCTGTGCGCCTACTTGAAGAAGCAGAGCGAGAGTGAGAGTGAGAGCGAAGATGCCGCCGAGTTGAACACTCTGTACAACCTGGAGTTCTTCAACTTTGTCTCGAAGCTGCTGGACGACTCGCATGTGAAGCGGAACGAGCCGGTGGTGGTGAGTTTGCTCGCGCTGTTGGAGGTGCTTCTGGAGTCGGCGCAGCCCACGGAGTCCATCCCGTCGTTCTACAAGACCATGCTGCCGGAGATCATTTGCAGTCTGCTGAAGGGCTACGCCACGTACCCGGGCACTTCCGAGAGCTGCTGGGAGCTGCTGGACCACTTCACGAAGACCGAGGAGGATGTGGAGAGCCTGGCGCGTCTGAACCACATGGACGACATGCTGGAGAACATGCACGTGAACGCGAGCAACAAGAAGGTGCTGGAGCGTGCCCTTCCTCTGATCCACCGGATCGCCAGCAAGAATATCGTGACGGAGTCGCTTCCGAACGTGGACATTCTGCACACACTGCTGATGATTATGCGGAAGTACCCGGAGGATGTGGACATGCAGGTTTCTTGCTACACGGTGATTGCGTGCATGATCGGAAGCGTGGCGCCGCCGGCGGAGGACGAGGACGCGGAGAACGATCTGGACGACGATGACGTGGCGGAGGAGAAGCGTCGTCGCCGCGAGGCACGGGAGCTGGAGGAGAAGAAGATGAGCAAGAAGTACCGCGCTTCGAAGAGACGCGAGGAGACGCCCGAGGAGAAGATGGAGAAGGATAGACAGGCGGTGCTGAAGGAGCTGACCTCGATGGAGTCGGTGAATGTGCTGGCGAACGCGATGAAGCACTTCAGCGACAACAAGGACTTGCTGATTTGCGCCTGCAAGGTGTTCAAGTGCATCTGCGAGAACTCGGAGGAGGGCCGTCGCTTCGCTGGCGTGAGCGGCGTGGTCATTCCGTTCTTCAACGCGCTGAAGGAGGAAGAGGAGGAGTCTCCCGACGAGGATTTGCTGCTGCAGCACGTGCTGGACGTGCTCTCGGAGTTGGTGAAGGCGTCGACGGTGAAGGCGGTGCTCCATCAGCTGCATCCCGCCGTGCTGCTTGTGAGCGTGCTGGAGAGATACAGCGACAATCTGCTGCTGACTCGCTTCATGCTGCGCATGATGATGGAGCTGAGCTCTTCGTCGGAGCTGCGCGATGACTTTGTGGAGAGTCCGGGTCTGCACGTGGTGATTCCTCTGCTGAGCAAGTACAACAGCGACGCGTACGTGCAGCACATCACGGCGAAGTATCTGTTCAACTTGATGCCGGGTCGCGACGTGGGCAAGCAATTCATTCTGAACAAGGGTATTTCGACGATCGTCACCTCGCTGGGCACCTACATGCGCAAGCGCAAGCTGATGAAGGCCTTCTGCGAAGTGCTGTTCTCGCTGGTGATTAACTACCCGGAGGGCGCGCACCAGGTCGCGGTGGAGGCCACATCGGTGCTTCTGAAGTGCATCAACCGCAACCAGAAGAAGGTGGAGTTGCTGGAGCCGCCTCTGCGCTTGCTGACTTGCCTGCTGCAGGAGCCGAAGAATGTGTACGACGCGAATAAGGTTCTGATGGCGTGCATGGACGTGGTGTACGAGCACAACGACAACATGGAGGTGCTTCCTCGCGTGCTGCAGATCGCGATCTTGGTGCTGCGGAGCGGCCTCGTGACCATTGACTTTATCGAGTCGAACACGTTGAAGTTCATGTGCCAGCTGTGCGAGCTGTACGCGAAGATGCCGGAGGTGCTGGGCTATCTGCTGGGCGTGGTGTTCATGATCGCGAAGTTGAGCCACAACAACCTGGAGCGCTTGGAGGACTTCCATCTGTGCGAGCTGGCGATGAACACGCAGAAGGCGTACGCGAAGTCGGAGCTGGTGCAGCAGTACTCGAGCGGCATTCTGTATCTGTACGCGGACGTGGAGGAGTACCAGGCGATGATGGTGGACCGAAAGGTGATTGGCGATCTTCTGAACGCGATGTACCACTTCTCGGACAAGCACGATCTGGTGCGGTACTGTCTGGAAGGCTGCTCGTGCCTGGTGGATCTTGCGCCGTGCTTGACGCTGTTCTTGGAGCGCTGCGGTGTGAGCATCGTGCTGAAGTGCATGCTGGCGTTCTCCGAGGACATTAACGTGATCATGACGGTGCTGCGTCTCTGCTACATGGCGTTCCTGCAGGATGCGACCCAGGTGGAGCAGATGGCGCACGAGCAGTTGCTGGAGCCGGTGGTGTACGCCTTGAAGAATTTGACGGATGATAAGGACGTGGCTTCGGTGCTGCAGATCCTCCAGGTGATTTGCGGCAACAAGGACTGCTGCGAAGTGGCGCTGAAGCTGCCGTTCCTGAGCGTGTTCATGGACATCCACAGCGCGTTCACGGAGGATATTCTGATCAACGAGAAGATTCTGGGCATTATGTGGTACATGGCGGACTGCGAAGCGATGCGCGACGTGCTGTTCTCGGACAAGAACTTCGACTTGATTCCGATGTTGATGAACGACTTCAAGCGCGAGAAGAACGTCCAGCTGTCGAACTGCAAGCTTCTCTACAAGCTGTCTTGCCGCTACGACATGAAGGAGCCGCTGTGCGAGAAGGAGATCACGAACAATTTGCTGGAGGTCGTGGACGTGTTCCCGAAGGACTACGACATTCTGCGTCCCGCTCTTCGCGCGATCAGCAATCTGCTGAACAAGGACATGCTCAAGCACATCAACGTGTCGGAGCTGCTGAACACGACTTGCGCGGTGCTGAAGTATTACTCGCGCCGCACAAAGTTCGTCCTGGAAGTGCTGGATCTGGTGGTGAATCTGGCGAAGAGTCTCACGCCGGAAACGCCGATTCGCGTGAAGGAGATGCTGGACCACATGTTCGTGATCATGAGCAGCATGCACGAGAACGTGGACGTTGTGGTGAAGTTGCTGCTGGTGATTGAGATGATGATTCCGGCCGATCCGAAGGGCCAGGAGCTGGCCGAGGAGAAGGTGCTGCAGAAGGTGCTACATGTGAGCCGAGAGTACGAGAAGAACGGCGACGTGCAGGTGGGTGTGTACCGTGTGATCAACGCCCTGCTCGATATCCCGCTGTTCGTCCCGAAGATCGTGAAGGAGCTGAACTCGTTGATGCGGTGCATGGACCGGTTCCCGCAGAAGAAGGAGGTGCAGACGGTGTGCGTGGAGGTTCTGACGAAGCTGTGCGCCAGCCCGAAGGTGCTGAGCACGATGGGCACGCAGGAGATCGACGTGCTGGACACCTTACTGCAGCGCTTCCCCTACGACAAGGCGCTGGTGCTGGCCACCATCCGCTGCATCAACTGCCTGCTGACGGTGGAGGAGCTGTACGACTACTTCGTGCAGAAGAAGAACGGCGTGGCGCACATCTTCTCGGTGATGAAGTCGTTCAAGGACAGGGACCTGCTGCTGGCCGCGCTGCAGATCATCGAGAAGCTGCTGTCGAAGGACCAGGCGCAGGTGCAGCGCCTGCTGGTGGAGTACTGCGACATTTTGCTGGTGATGGTGTCTGCCTGCTCCGAGGACCCCGAGCTGCTGGAGTCGATCGGCAAGCGGCTCTGCGATATTCGCCAGGACATTCACAACAAGCTGGTGAGCTACGTGGAGGACATCAGCGCGATGGCTGTGCACTTCGCGGAGAACGAGATGGTCGTGAAGTACCTGTACTCTCTGCTGTCGGAAGCGGCCACGGAGCGCGACATGGAGTTGCTGAAGCTGATGCACGACAAGGGCGTGACCCAGGCGACGATCAAGTCGATGACGCTGTACAGCACGAGCAAGTCTCTGGTGAAGAGCGCGGCGGGCTTGATGGCTGCCTTGGTGGCTTACGAGGAGGCGGCGCGCGAGTTCGCAACCGACGAGACGATTCTCATGCTGAACCGCATCTGCCAGGACAATTTGCAGAAGCCCGAGATCACGGTGAACGTGATCAGCGTGCTGATCAAGCTGGCGGAGAACAAGGAGTGCGCGAAGGTGATGAATGACAACCGAATCATCCAGACCACGGCGCAGACCTTGAATCAGTGCAGCGACAATGCGGAGTTGGTGGTGAACTGCCTGTATCTGCTGAACAATCTCTCCGCGCACAACAACTATGTGGCGTTCTCGGAGACGCATCTGATCTATAACTGCGCGCAGTTGCTGGAGCAGAATGCGGGTCTCACGATGGACAGCGCCGTGAGGACGATGGACAGCGAGCGCGCGGTGGAGATCGTGACGCTGTCGCTGAAGCTGCTATGCGCGATGCTGCCCATTGACGAGCACCGCGAGCAGTACCACGACGCGGGTCTGGTGCCGCTGACGAAGGACATTCTCCGTCGCTCGTTCAACTACAACGAGGTGTGCAACTACGCGGCGCTGCTGCTGCGCGAGATGGCGGTGGACGAGAAGACCTTGCAGGAGATCTTCGACAACAGCGGACTGGACTCGATTCTGGAGGCGATGCAGAACTATCCGGACATGCTGCAGTGCCAGATCACGGGCTGCGTGTTCCTGTCGCTGATGCTGCATCATCGCAAGGTGCATCGCGATTTGGTGGAGCGCGATGTGGTGGTGCTGGTGATCGAGGCGCTTCGCCATCACCCAGACAACAGCCAGCTGTGCACGGAGGCGATGAACTGCATGAAGCTGCTCACGAACGACCGGCGTGTGATCGAGACGCTGATCAAGGAGGACGCGATGACGGTGTTTGTGAACTGCATGTCGCACTTCCTGAACGATGCGAAGGCGCTGCTGACGATTAGCGACGTGGTGAAGGCGTGCATCGAAGTCTCGCCGGTGCTGCACGAGCACTTCGCGAAGAAGGGAGGCGTGGAGCAGTGCTTGGGCGCGTTCGCGGAGAACGGCGACAATGTGGACGTGCTGCGTCCGATGGGCACGGTGCTGCTGGGCGTGACGAAGTACGACGAGGCCAAGAAGGCGATCGTGAGCAAGGGAGGCATTCGTCTGTTCTGCGAGACGCTGCGCAAGTACCTGGATCTCGCCAATCGGGACGAGCTGGTGTGCCGTCGCTGCCTGCAGGTCATGTGCCGCATTGCGGAGTGCGCGGACTACCGCGTCGACATGGTGAACGAGGAGTTGATCACGCTCTGCGTGTCTTCGGTGAGCATCTTCGAGAAGGTCCCCGATGTGATGGTGGCGAGCTTCATGCTGATCTCGTACCTGTGCTCTACGAAGGAGGGCGCGGACAGCGCGCTGAGCGAGAGCGACCTGCTGCCTCTGCTGAAGGAGCGCATGGAGGGCTACTTGACGGACGCGGAGGTGGAAGCGGCCGGATTCGCGGCGCTGACCAGCATGCTGCAGGACAAGCGGAACGGCGAGGAAGTGACCGCGAGCTGCATGCATCTGGAGCTGCTGCCTCTGCTGCAGACGGTGATCAAGACGAACGACAAGAATGCGGCGATGATGCGCAGCGCGTGCGGCTGCTTCGGCGCGTTCTCTGCTTGGCCGGCGGCCGGTGAGATTCTGGGCTCGCAGGAGTGGATGTCGCTGCTGGTGACCATCATGCACCAGTTGGACGACCCGGAGGACGCGATCTGCTTCGCGGAGATGTTCACGCTGATCTGCCGCAACGTGAAGACGGCGGACACGATCCGTTCGCGTCTGAACAACAGCATTGCGGACCGTCTTGGCGAGTTCCAGGCGGATGAGAAGGTGATCTTCAAGCTGTTCGTGCTGCTGGAGGTGCTGAGCGACCGCGAGACGTGCAGCGGCAAGGGCGCGAAGGATTTGTATGACCACAGTGTGTACAAGAAGCTGAAGAAGCCGTTCAAGTCGGTCTCGTGGGAGACGATGATTCCCATCTGCGGCGTCCTGCGCAACTTCTTCGACCTGCCGGACAGCGACAACTACTGCAACTACCTGATCAAGAACGACTACATCTCCGTGCTGCTGAACGCGGTGCGAAGCCACCTCGAGGTGGAGCAGTTCCTGACCGCGGCGTTCTCTGTGCTGGAGCTGATCGTGCGCTCCGTGGATGGCTGCGGCACCTTCCTGGCGCTGCGCGGCGTCCCGGAGATCACCGAGCTGGTGTGCAGCCACAAGGACAACGAGGCTCTGTGCGCGGCGGGTCTGCGCGTGCTGGCTTCGTGCTCTCTGGACAAGTCGAGCTTCAAGGAGCTGGTGGACAAGGGCATCATCGACATCGTGCTTCAGCACATCGACACGGCGGGACCGCAGCTGCTGGCGGTGCTGCTGGAGATCGTGAAGAACATGACAGGCGACGAGGAGTACGCGCAGAAGATCGAGGACGCGGGCATCGTGGAGCACTTCTCTGCGATCTTCGACCGCTACGGCGAGACGGAGGAGGTGATGGCGGGTCTGTCGGGCGCGTGCATGCACATGTGCTACAGCGAGAAGAGCAAGACGATCTTCCTGAACGACGAGGTGGTGAGCAAGCTGCTGAAGGTGATGGCGATCCACTCCGCTTCGCGCGACATTCAGTACTTCGGCTCGTCGACGATCGTCTCGATGATGACGTTCTCGGAGATCTGCGCGATGCTGATGGAGAGCGGCATTCTCTCGATCCTGATCCCCGCGATCTCGCTGCTGGCGGAGAACGCGGCCGCGCAGACGGTGCTGTTCGACATTCTGCAGCGCCTGCTGGCCGCGGAGGGCTGCGAGTTCACCGCGGAGTCGTTCAACGATTACCACTTCCTGGTGGCGGTGGGCAAGGCGCTGGATGCGCACAGCGAGGACGAGAGCATCGTGATTCCGGTGCTGACGACGCTGGTGGAGGTGGAGCGACGCGTGAAGAACTACTACGCGGTGGTGGAGGACATCAGCTTCTTCAAGGCGTTCTCCAAGTGCTACCGAGCGGATCTGTCGAGCGACGCGGTGGTGGATCTGATGCTGCAGCTGCTGCTCCTGTTCAACACGGCTTCGATGGAGATGGCGCAGATGATGCTGGAGGGCGACGTGCTGTACATGGCGATGTCGCTTCTGAACATCACGAAGGACAACACGGAGGTGATGGAGCGCGCGTTGCTGTTCGTGGACGCGATGTGCAAGTTCATGGAGTGCTGCCAGTACGTGGTGATGAATGCGCAGGGCGTGCCGACGCTGCTGCACGTCTTCCGCTTGCTGAACAGAGCCGACAAGCTGCCGACGGTGCTGTCCGTGTTCATGAGTCTGACGCAGTACCGCGATCTGTTCGAGTACTACGCTGTGGAGGAGGTGATGTCGACGGCCCAGTCGTGCTTGACCACGTACGAGGACGAGCCTGTGATTCTGTACGAGAGCATGATCATCCTGGGCAACCTGGCTGTGGTGCAGAAGCAGGCGGAGATGCTGGTGGCTCGCGGAATCGTGAGCCGTGTGATGGAGATCGTGAATCGCTTCCACGCGGAGCACGATGTGATGCTGGCCTCGGTCTATCTGCTGCAGTTCGTGTGCAAGAGCAAGGTGGCCTGCGAGCAGATGATGAAGCTGGACAGCATTCCGAAGCTGCTCGCGTATTACCAGAGCGACTATTTGGATGACGAGGAGATCACGTGCAATTTGCTGGCGTGCATGAATGTGCTGTGCGAGGAGGATCCCTTGCTGGAGATCTATTTGGGCACGAATGGCTGCGAGGTGACTCTGCAGGCTTTGGACCGCTTCAAGGAGAGCTACCGCGTGGTGTTCTACTGCGTGAGCATCATCATCCAGATCTACACCAACAATAAGGACGGCGAGCAGTACGCGAGTCTGTACGAGGAGGACCGCATCAAGATGTACTACGACTTCCTGGCCACGTTCGCCTCGAAGACGCGCGTGGTGGTGGTTCTGCTGCAGCTCCTGACGCTGCTGGGCGAGGACGAGACGATTTCGGACATGCTGATCGAGTGGGGCATTTCGGAGACGATCTGCGCCGGCTTCGAGCAGTACCAGGCGAAGCCGACGGTGCTGGCGGTGATGCTGGATCTGGCGGCGGTGCTGGCTGCGTGGGACAGAAACAAGCAGAAGATGCTGGGGGATGACATGGTGAACCTGGCGCTGGACTGCCTGGCGAACAACAGCGAGAACCAGAAGGTGGTGACCTCGAATCTGCTGTTCCACGTGCAGATGGCGCGCTCGAAGCTGTGCTCTTCTGCGTACTACTCGACGGACTGCGTGAACCTGACGCTGAGCCTGCTGCCGATGTACCAGACCGTGGAGGAGGTGTGCGAGCCGGCGCTGTCGCTGCTGCTGTGCCTGACGGCGATGGACCCGCGTCTGGAGCGCTACAACAGTGACGAGGCGCTGAAGGAGATTCTGGACGTGCTGCAGATGAACGAGAAGAGCGAGCGCCTGCAGACGCGCGGCTGCCAGTTGCTGCAGATGCTGTCGAGCAACCTGAGCATCTGCGGCCGTCTGGTGCGTCTGAACGCGGTGACGCTGCTGTGCAACGACGTGAACCTGTTCACGGCGAAGAGAGAGATCCAGGTGTGCGGCAACAGCGCGCTGTACGCTCTGACGTGCGAGGAGGGAAGCGTGTCGACGATGCTGAACCTGGGCGTGATCTACACGCATATGGCTGTGCTGAACAGCTTCGCGAAGGACCACGACGTGCAGAACGCGGTGATGCACGTGGAGGCGGTGCTGTGCGACATCCCGATGGGCTGCACGCTGTTCTTCAACGAGAACGGCCTGCTGAAGGTGTTCGCGGCGATGAACGAGTTCACGCACGACGCGGAGTTGCTGTCCTCGTGCTGCGACATTATCGCGCACTGCCTGCAGCTGATCCCACAGGACGATACGTTCCCTGTGCTGCTGCACAACAACTGCATGATGCTGGTGCTGAACATTCTGGACAATCTGCACACGGATGTGAGTCTGCAGAACTCGGCGTTGGCGGTGATTCGCGAGATGGTGCTGCAGCCTGAGTACCAGACGCAGTTCATGGACTACCAGGGTCCGGAAGTGCTGGAGCGCAGCATCTACAACGAGCACATGCTGGACACTGCGGTGATGAGCATCATGTCGATCATCCACAGCCTGACGCAGTCGGAGAAGATGTGCAAGAAGCTGCTGCGCGTGGAGCTGATGAACAACCTCATCGACGTGATCAACATGTTCAGCGGCAACAAGCGCGTGAACAAGGACGCGGCGAAGATGTGGGAGATGGCCACGCGCAACAAGGAGCTGGCGGAGCTGCTGCTGGACACGCAGGTGATTCCGCAGCTGGTGCGCATCATGAACATTTACCAGAAGACCTACGTGCAGACGCCGCTGATGAAGTCCTATTTGCACCTGCTGAGCACGCAGGAGAAGAAGGCGGCGCTGCTGATGATCGAGAGCTCTGTGATCAAGGCCTGCGCCTACTCGCTGAAGATGTTCGCGATGTCGGCGGATGTGGTGCGACCGTGCGTGGAGGTGCTGATCACCCTGATCAAGTACCCGGAGGCGTACGAGCCCATCCTGAACGTGCCCTTGCTGCCGGATCTGATCGCGGTGATCGGCCAGGAGGGCCAGAACGAGCAGCTGCAGAGTCGCTGCGTGGTGCTGCTGAAGAAGATGATGTTCCTGGCGGGCTCTCGCCTGTCGCTGCGCTCGGTGTCGGATATTCGCGTGTTGGTGGGCGTGATCCGCACGACGCTGAAGAGCGACCGCAAGATTTTGAACAAGTGTCTGCGCATTGTGGCGCGCTCGCTGACGCTGGTGAATCTGTACGAGAAGATCAGCTCCTCGGAGCTGCCGGAGGCGATCTGCGACGTGATGCTGCACATCAACGAGGAGAAGACGCAGGGTCTGTGCATGGAGATCATGGCGCTGCTGGTGAAGAACAGCGACGAGACCGTGGAGGTGTTCATGCGTCGCGACGTGATTTCGATCCTGGTGGACAATCTGCGCGTGTACGCGGACAACAAGACGATGAGCCAGAACTGCTGCATGGCGTTCGCCTTCCTGACGAAGCACGAGGAGGTGGTGACGTACATCGCGATGATGAGCGTGTCGAAGCTGATTATGGACTCGATGCGTCGCGATCGCTCGGTGCGCCACGTGATGTACTGCGCGCAGTGCATCGCGAACATCTCCGCGAACGAGAACTGCTGCAAGGAGCTGATCGAGAACGAGGCGGTGCAGGAGCTGCTGTCGCTGTGCTCGAGCTACATCTCGGAGGAGGACACGCTGAGCGCGATCACGTACGCGCTGTATTGCCTGTCGCTGGACGAGCGCTCGCACGCGGTGTTCGGCGCGAACCACTGCGTGGAGGTGTTCACGGACGTGATGACCACGTGGATCAAGCGCCCGAACGACGAGATTCTCTGCAACATCTTCTCGACGGTGTTCAACCTGTACAAGGTGCGGAGCGTGCTGACGGCGCTGAAGAACGGCGTGCTGCTGGAGCTGATCATCAAGGTGGTGAACAGCAACCTGTCCAAGAACCTGGCGAAGGCCTTCACGCTGCTGTGCAGCCGATTGGCGGAGGACGCGGAGCTGCGTCCGGTGCTGGTGCGCTGCCAGGCGGTGATGCCGATCCTGAAGTGCATCCGCGACTTCCAGCGCGGCCGCACGATCAACAGCAAGGGCTTCGCTGCGCTGAACCTGCTGGGTCGCCAGGAGGAGGTGATGCAGGAGCTGCTGGAGAAGTACGCCCTGAAGACCAAGCAGGTGGAGCACGTGAAGGATGTGGACGTGTCGGACGTGGTGATCAAGGTGATCGTGGAGAACGGCTACGAGAACACGGTGCTGCGCAGCGGCCTGGCGGCTCTGGAGTCGTTCCTGCCGTTCGATGAGGACGGGCGCCAGCTCTACTCGCACGATGCGACGACGGTGGTGATCCAGAGTCTGGGCAAGCTCTACGAGGAGAAGGAGACGCAGGTGCTGACGCTGCGCGTGCTGAAGGTGGCGCTGCGCGTGCCCGAGACTGCCGACAGCTTCGAGCGCGAGGACGGAATCAAGCTGCTGCTGCAGGTGGTGGCGACGTTCTACGACTCGGTGGAGCTGCAGCTGGAGGCCATGGAGGTGATCGGCGAGCTGGCGATGACCGAGGAGCTGCAGAGCATTCTGTTCGAGAACCAGGCGCTGAACTATTTGGTGCACGCGCTGGCGAACTTCGGCGAGGAGCCGACGGTGCTGCTGCCCGCGGAGGTGGCCATCCAGGAGATGTGCGCGTACGAGCCGGTGTGCCAGACGCTGTTCGACCTGGGAGCGGTGAGCATGCTGGTGAGCACGCTGGAGAAGTACCCGAAGAACGCGGAGCTGATGCTGGTGACGTGCAACATTCTGAACATTTGCGCGCAGAACGCGAACTTCGTGCCCACGGTGTCCAAGTTCAAGATCGTGGAGCTGGTGCTGAAGTGCATCGTGGCGATGCGCGAGCAGGCGGAGGTTTTGTGCGCGCTGCTGCTGACGCTGTTCTACCTGGTGGATCTGAGCGAGGAGCTGGCGAAGGTGTTCCAGAGCAAGCGCGGTCCGGAGCAGGTGAGCGAGACGTGGAGTCTGTGGGAGAGCAAGATGAACGTGGAGGAGGAGCCGGAGAACGCGTCGGACATCAGCAGCGTGATCTACTACGTGCTGCACTGCATCACGGCGTACGCGGGCGATGTGGCGATCATTCCTCGGCTGATGAGTCTGCACTACGTGGAGCGCATCGCCGTGGCGATGGAGCTCTTCGACAACGACAAGGCCGTGCTGCGCGAGGCGCTGATCGCCCTGGCGCGCATGGGAACGGCGAGCGAGGCCCCGAAGAGAGTGATGCTGGAGAAGAACGTCGTCATGCTGACCATCCTGGCGATGGGCAGCTTCCTGGACCAGAAGCGTCTGCTGGTGGCGGGCGCGATGGTGCTGAAGCTGCTGTACAGCGAGGAGCAGCGCGAGAAGATGGAGAACTCCAACCTGGTGTCGACGTGCGTGCAGGCGCTGGCTCGCCACGGCTCGTTCCGCGAGATGGTGAAGACGATGAGCGAGCTGCTGCTGGAGCTGGTGAACGAGGTCACGTACCCGCAGTTCAAGGAGCAGAAGGCGCTGAACGTGCTGATGGACTGCCTGGCGGTGCATGTGGAGGACGAGGAGTGCTGCATCGCGCTGCTGCGCTTGGTGGTGGCGGTGCTGTTCACGGCCGTGGCGCAGGGCGAGGGCGTGTCGACGCGCATCGTGGAAACGGCGGTGTTTATCATGAACAACTACACGGATTCGGAGGAAGTGCAGAAGCTGGGCATCGAGCTGCTGGAGGCGTTCGTGACGCAGGAAGGCGACATGATGGCGTTCCTGGAGCTGGGCGGACTGGACGTGGTGGTGCGCGCCATGCGCAACGACTCCGAGTACATCCGCTCTTCGTGCTGCAAGCTTCTGTTCGCGGCGTCGAAGACCGCGGTGGTGCGCGATGCAATCGTGCAGGTGGACGGCGTGGCGATGCTGATGCTGGCGATGAAGGAGCATCCCAAGTGCGCGCCCATCCACCAGTACGCTTCGGCGGCTCTGGCGAACATGGTGGCGACGCACGAGGTCTGCATGCAGGTGGCGGATCCTCCCGAGCTGGAGCTTGACGGCCTGAAGCTGCTGTTCACCTCGCTGAAGACGTTCAAGACCGTGTGCGAGGTGGAGGAGTCGCTGACGCAGGTGCTGGACCGTCTGCTGGAGTCGGAGGAGGAGCTGCGCAAGCGCTTCTGCGCGCTGCATCCGCTGGAGGTGCTGCAGGAGGTGCTGGGCAACTTCAAGGAGAGCGAGGACGTGGCGTACAACGTGTGCGGCATCCTGAGCTCGCTGGCCGCGGATGTGGCGAGCCGCGTGGGCCGTCACAACCGCGCGCTGCTGCAGCTGGTGGACGAGTGCATGGAGATCCATCAGGAGAAGGCGCGGGCCGAGTCGCACATCGTGAAGGTGGTGGCGACGTTCGGCACGGACGCGAACTGCCTGGCGTTCTTCGTGGAGAAGGACACGTACCGCCTGATCCGCGACGTGCTGAACGCGTTCCAGAAGGAGAAGGACGTGGTGGCGGTGTCGATCCGCGCGCTGCTGGTGTTCACGTCGGAGGCTCGCTGTCTGGAGAGTCTGGAGGAGGCGGACATCCTGACGCTGTGCAGCAGCATCATGTATCTGTACCACAACGATGGCGCCATCATGGCGGACGTGTGCAAGCTGCTGCTGGCGTTCACGGTCCAGGACGACTGGGTGGTGAAGATGGCGCAGCTGGACTTGGTGATCAAGGTGGTGCTGGTGCTGAGCCGCCTGAGCGAGCATCGCGACGCGGTGCTGAGCGCTGTGCACCTGCTCCGCGGAATGAACAAGCCGGTGATCAAGGACAAGTTCAAGGACACGAACGTGGTGACCAAGCTGGTCGAGTGCTCGAGCAAGTATCTGCTGGATCTGGAGGCGCTGCTGGAGATTCTGCTGCTGCTGGAGGACATGAGCGAGTACGACCCGACGCGCCTGGCGCTGGGCGAGGTGGTGGCGTACCTGGTGAAGGCGATGCGCAGCTACAGCAACAACCGCGAGCTGCAGCGCGTGAGCTGCGTGCTCCTGGCGCATGTGAGCGAGAACCAGGACAACTGGAGCTCGCTGCTGAAGGGCGAGTGCATCGAGACGGCGGTGGTGGCGTCCAAGAACTTCATCAACGACGCGGAGATCCAGCACTACGCGCTGGAGTTCTTCTCGCGGACGGCGACGGACAAGGATTGCCGCGAGTCGATCCGCACGCACGGAGGCATCGCGTGCGTGCTGGAGGTGATGACGAACAACCCGACGGTGAAGCACGTGCAGCAGTACGGAGCGCTGACGCTGAACGAGCTGGTGCGCGAGGAGAACGGCGCGTACATGATGAGCGAGTGCAACATGAACGTGCTGTTTGCGGATTACGTGGACTACAAGGACGACGACGACGTGATCACGCCGGTGGTGGGCGTCTTCGCTCTGTTCTCGCGCGTCCTGAGTCTGAACAACGGCGACCGCCTGCTGGATCGCCGCTTCCAGGAGCAGCTGATCGAGCTGCTGCGTGAGCGCCGTGCGAACGTGAAGCTGCAGAGCAACATCTACTTGCTGGTCGAGAACCTGGCGCAGGACGACGACAGCAAGGACTACTTCAAGGACGAGGTGCCGGAGCTGGCGATCGCGTCTCTGCGCGAGGAGCTGGAGAAGAACCAGCGCAAGAGCATGACGCCCGCGGAGCTGGCGGTGTCGAAGGAGATGATCACGCACCTGAGCGAGGCGATCCGCTGCTTGGTGCGGAACATCATCGTGAAGGAGGTGGTGAACGAGACCATGCTGGAGCTGCTGGGCCAGACGCTGCGCGTGTACGACGATAGCAACCCGTGCGTGCTGGCGCTGCTGCGTCTGTACGAGGTGCTGGTGAAGGAGAAGGACTACATCGCGCTGATCGTCGACCAGGGCATTCTGACCAAGTTCTTCGACCTGTACAAGACGTGCATCCGCAGCTGGATGATCGAGAAGAGTCTGCTGAAGATCTTCCGCCGCATCGCGAACTCGGAGGCGGCGCTGGGCGAGAACATCATCAACAAGGGCGTGATCGAGGACGCCTCGCTGCTGATCCAGGGATACGCCTACCGCGATCTGCTGATCAAGCAGGCGATGCTGTGCTTCCAGGAGCTGCTGGATCTGCCCATCGCCTTCAGCCACTTCATCAACTCGGACGTGGTGTCGTATGTGGTGCAGCTGCTGCCGATCCACGTGCGCGACCGCGACGTCATGGGCCAGGAGCTGGACACGCACAACCTGCTGGACCAGATCACCAAGACCCTGATTAAGCTGGCGCGTCCCGAGGTGGCGGACAAGTTCGTGAGCAGCGAGGCGGTGCCGGAGGTGCTGGACGTGATGAAGAAGTACGAGAGCGAGGAGAACGTGCAGGAGCTGTGCATGCAGCTGCTGGGCAAGCTGGTGTGGATAATCGACGGCTTCGCGGACGACGAGGCGCGCCAGATCGTCGACCGCGTGCTGATCGCGCGCAGCACGTTCAGCGCGAGCGAAGCGATCGCGGAGTTCTCGGCGGTGGTCTACAACTACTTCTCGCAGCACGAGAGCCACCGCTGGAAGATCAAGCAGCCGGAGGTGATCGTGCTGCTGATCGGCTCGATCCAGATGCAGGTGAACGAGAACACGGTGGTCCACGCGAGCCAGGCGCTGGCCGCTCTCACCGACCAGGAGGAAATGGTGAGCGTGTTCTGCGACAACGACGGCATTAGCGTCGCGCTGGAGGCGCTGGACGTCTTCTCGGACAGCCGACTGGTGTGTCTGAACCTGTTCCGCATGATGTGCGTGGTGCTGTCGGACCGCGACAAGACGCACATCATGCTGGTGACGCTGTCGGACCACGTGGGCAACATCACGCCGCCGTTCCAGAAGCTGACCGACGATCTGGAGGTGATGCTGGCGGGCGTGAATCTGCTGGCGCTCTGCTTCGCGGACAGCGAGTGGTCGAGCGTCCTGGCGGAGCAGGAGCTGCCGCCCTTGGTGCTGGACGTGATGACGCAGTTCATCGATAACGCCGAGGTGGCCACGCCGTGCTTGACGGTGTTGGCGTGCGCCGCGGAGGACTCGGAGTGCGTCGAAGACTTGATCAAGATCGACGTGTATCAGAAGACGGTGGACGTGATGGAGAAGCACAAGCTGAATCGCACGGTGAGCCGAGGCGTGATGAAGCTGCTGCACCATCTGATGGACAGCACGGAGGAAGAGGACGCGGGAGAGGCGATGAAGCCTCTGGAGCGTCAGGTGGTGGTGGACATGGTGGTGGACATCACGAGCGCCTACATCGACGACACGGAGCTGGTGACGCACGCGGTGAACGTGCTGGCGGACATGGCGCTGAACAAGCAGGTGGCGCCGTATCTACACAACGCCAGCGCGTTCAAGACGATCGCGGACGTGATCGGGCGGTACAAGGACAACGCGACGATCCTGAGCACGGTGCTGCGTCTGCTGGGCAAGGAGTACATGGACCTGATCGACTACAACTGCGCGCTGCGCATGGAGGCCAACTTCCTGGCGGTGTACGCGGACCTGCTGGAGGTGTACATGGAGGAGGAAGAGACGGTGAAGGCGGTGCTGGATCTGGCGCTCGCGATGACGTGCTACGTGGAGGCCTGCAAGGACGCGTTCCCGCACTTCGTGCCCGTGGTGCTGCAGGTGGCGCGCAGGTACGACACCAAGCAGGAGATGATCGAGCTGGTGGCGCACGTGCTGTTCGATGTGAGCAAGAACGCGGCGATGGTGGGCCAGCTGTACGACGTGAAGGTGGTGCCGTTCCTGATGCAGCACCTGGGCCGCTATGAGGACATCAGCGAGAACGTGGTGCGCTATCTGGTGTGCGCGCTGTCGTACATCATGGTGGACGACGAGAGCAACCGCTTCCAGTTCGAGGACGGCCTGTCGTGGCAGGATTCGTGGAAGCTGGTGTTCAAGATCCTGCGGCAGTTCTACACCAACGGCAAGATTGGCGCTGCGTGCGCGTATCTGGCCTCTTCGCTGACGTCTTCGGACGAGGGCGTGGAGCTGCTGGACAGCGAGAAGGTGTGGGACGACGTGTACAACGCGACGCGCAGCGAAGGCGCGGTGGAGGGCACGTTCATGGGAAGCTTCACGTTCTGCTACCTCCTGCTGAAGAAGGAGATCGGTCACAAGATTCTGAACCATGACGACTGCCTGAGCATGGCGTCGCAGGGCATGACCCGCTACCCGGAGAGCGTGCCGCTGCAGTTGAAGGGCGCGAAGCTGCTGCGCGAGTACTCGCTGTTCGAAGAGACGGTGGACCTGATGCGAAAGAACAACGCGATCGAGGCGCTGGTGGCGGCGCTGGGCGTGAAGTCGAACGAGGTGTACACGAACGCGTTCACCGCGCTGCGCAACATGTGCACGAACTGCCAGGAAGTGTACGTGCTGGACGCGACCTCGGTACCCACGGTGAACGATGCGATGTGCGAGGCGCAGTTCCACAAGAACGTGATGGGCGAGATCAGCAACTTCCTGCAGCTGGGCGTGAAGGAGGTGGACGTCGTGGAGAACGTGATGGAGCTGATCGTGTGTCTGTCCGCGTCGAAGAGCCAGGCGGTGACGCTGGAGGTGCGGAAGACGATCGGCCTGATGGCGGTCTACTGGCGAAACTGCATCGACAACCTGCAGATCTGCGTGCTGCTGAGCTCGGCGTTCGCGCTGCTGAGCAACGAGGACCGCTTCCGCGAGGAGATGTACAAGGAGAACGTGCTGGAGATCGTGTTCCAGCAGCTGGGCATGCACGAGTGGGACCACAAGGGCGTCTTGGCGGTGATGCGTCTGCTGGCGCACATGACCAACCACAGCGACGCGAGCCGGTACATCGTGGAGAACGGCCTGAAGCACCTGATGGAGGTGCTGAACAAGCACGTCGAGAACATCGCGGTGTCGCGCGTGGGCTGCACGATCCTGAACTCGCTGCTGGAGCACTCGGAGTACCGCAACGCGCTGCTGGAGGCGAAGATCATCGACTACTACAAGACCTTGATGGAGAAGTACCTGTCCGACAACACCATCCTGATGAAGACCCTGCAGATGCTGAAGCAGTTCACCTCGCCTGCGGACATCAAGCTGCTGGTCGACGGCGGCATGGTGGAGGTGGTGATCGACATTCTGGGCAACCAGGCCAAGCGGTACTACTACGACACCATCAAGGAGTGCACCGACGCGCTGATCGTGTTCACCAAGCACCCCGATGGCCGCGCTGCGATTCTGAAGAGCAGCGTCTTCCAGACGGTGTTCGAGGTGCTGCCGCGGTGCATCAACCAGCTTAGCAACGAGCAGGTCGCCGAGGCGTTCTCCAAGCTGCTGGATCTGCTGCTGGAGGTGGTGGGCGAGGACGGCAAGGGCGTGGCGCCTCTGTTGAACGACAAGGGCGTGAGCCAGCTGGTGGATCTGCTGGAGAAGTTCCCGACCCCCGAGACAGTGACGCAGATTCTGCAACTTCTGCTGCGCGTGGTGGAGAACGAGCAGTCGTACGAGTCCTTCTGGGAGGAGCAGGTGATGACCATGCTGGTGAAGTGCTTCGAGGAGGAGAAGTACGAGGCTCCGCAGATGGTGATCCTGCTGGAGATCCTGCTGACGCTGCTGAAGACGGTCCAGGTTGCCAAGGCCTCCTTCCTGAAGAAGACGCGCGTCGTCCAGTCGCTGCTGGAGGTGATTAAGCGTCTGGGTTCGGACGAGCAGGTGGCGACGAACGCGCTGGAGAGCTTGGATCTGCTGATGCCCGTGGTGCAGAACGAGGCAAAAGAACAAGAAGCGGCAGCGGAAGCGGAGGAGGAAGAGGAGGAGAGTAAGAAGACGACTCTGGAGGTGAAGGAGCTGAGCCTGCTGCTGGGCGAGGCGGCGAAGGAGCTGAGCGTGCATCACAAGGCGAGCAACAAGATCGCGGTGAGTCTGGCGACGCTGCTGAGCAAGATGCTGGGCAAGCTGCGACTGATGTACCACAAACACCTCCACCGCTTCTACCCGAGCGACTCGAAGGGCATTTTGGAGGGTCTGCGCGATATGCTGGATGCGCAGTACAGCAACAAGACCACGATCCACAGCATCACAGAGGTGATCACGACCCTGTGCAACCGAAAGGAGGACGCCAGCACGTCGGCCGAGGTGGGCATCATCTCGGTGCTGTTCAAGTGCATGAAGACCGAGCTCAAGGAGGTCTTCAGCGACTGTTGCAAGGCGCTCTACCGCCTGGTGCGCAACTGCCCGGCGTCGCGCTCCCAGTTCGTGGGCGCCAACTCGCCGCGCGCGATCTACGACGGTCTGCTGCGCTACTCGGAGTCGGAGGAGGTCGTGAGCCCTGCGTGCTCGCTGCTCTACCTTCTGCTGGATGTGGACGGCAAGGCCAGCAAGATCGGCAAGGCTGGCAGAGCTGGCAGAGCTGGCAGAGCTGGCAAGGGAAAGGCAGAGAAGAAGGAGGAGGAGGAGCCTGCGGAGCTGGTGGAGCTGGACGTGCTGGAGCTGTCGGACATCCCGAAGATGTGCGAGCTGATGGACAACAGCTGGAAGAAGAAGTCGGACGGCTCGGAGTGGCAGCGCGAAGTGCGCGTGAAGGTACTGAACATGTGCCTGCTCGGGTTCGTGGCGCTGGGCACCAAGCCGGGCGCCGACGAGAAGGTGATGAAGAAGCTGGGCGCGGACGACGTGACCAAGCAGGTGGTGAAGACGTTCGAGCTGAAGAGCGAGACGCACACGTGCCTGGCGCTGAAGGTCCTGGCGCTGAGCTCGCGAACGGACAAGGGCCGACGGTCGATCCTCCGCGCCAACGGCATGGAGAAGATGCTGGAGGCGTTCGGTCCCTTCGTGGGCAACAAGGAGCACTGCGTGAACCTGCTGGAGGCGCTGTACAACCTGGTGGAGCTGCGCGAGCCGGTCAAGACGCTGGAGAAGTTCGGCCTGAGCCTGATCTTGGCGGCGATGCTGAACCATCTGGAGGAAGAGGAGCTGCAGGAGTTCGCGTTGCGCATCATCCACAGTCTGCGCGATCTCCCGAACCTGAGCGAGCTGGTGCGCGAAGACGGCGGCTTGAACGTGCTGATGGAGGTGTGGGACACGTACACGTACACGGACCCCAATCTGGAGGTCGTGGGTCTGTGCGCGCTGGTGATGCTGGACATCGTGAAGGACAACCCGCAGCTCCTCGATGCGGAGCTCCTGAGCGACTGCGAAAAGAACGCCAACTACCTGCTGTACTCCAGCGAGAATCCGGACGTGCAGGCCGCGATGTACAAGCTGCTCGGCGTGCTGTCGGAGCTCCCGCAGGTGCGTAGCGATCTGCTGAACGACGATGTGGACTACTTGCAGAAGGTGAAGGACATGATCACGAGCCCGGAGAATCCTCCGGAGTTGGTTTCCAACGCGATCGTGATGCTGATGCACCTGCTGGAGGACCCGTCGGTGGAGGAGAGCGAGGAAGGAAGCGATCTGGTGCAGATGGTGGCGAGCGCGCTGGTCCGCATGCTGGACGCGTCGAAGACCAACGCGGCGGCGAACATCGACGAGGTGTGCACGACGTGCATGAAGGCGCTGGGCGAGCTGCTGGAGAAGTATCCGAATTGCGACCTGATGGAGACCGGCGTGTACGAGCTGCTCTGCAAGATGATGGCGAGCGAGCTGTGCAACGTGGCGGTGGCCGCGAGCTGCCTGCAGATTCTGCAGAGCGAGAAGGATCTGCGGGTCATGCAGGAGCTGGGCGACGAGAACATGATCGATGCGGTGGTGGCGATGATGAAGCGCTTCCCGCAGAGCCGGCCGATCCAGAAGGACGCCATGGAGTGGCTGGAGCAGCTGTCGGAGATCGAGGCGAAGATCATGGACTTGAACAATGCGGCCACGGTGAACGCGGTGATCACGGCGATCCGCGCTTGCAAGCTGCAGAGCGCCGCGGTGAACACGGGCTGCAAGTTCCTGGTGAACGTGATGGACGCGCCGAGCGCGATGAACGCGATGAAGAAGCAGAAGCTGGGTCTCCTGCTGAAGGAGCTGCAAAGCTCCGGCAAAGTGGAGGAAAGCGAGGCAATGCAGAAGCTGGCGAGTGCGTTCCCGGCAGAGGAAGGCGAAGGCGAAGGCAGAGGCAGACATCGCACGAAGCATCGATCCCACAAAGGAAAGACACATCACCATCACAGTTCGAAGAAGGAGGAAGAAAAGAAGGAAGAAGAAGAAGAGAAGAAGGAGGAAGTGAAGGAAGAAAAGGAAGAGAAGGAGGAGGAAGAAAAGAAGGAGAAGAAACATCATAGATCGGGCCACGGTCATGGCCACAGTCATACTCACAGTCACAGTCACAGTCATAGTCATAGTCATGGCCACAGCCACGGTCATCGCCATGGGTCCGGAAAGGACGGAGAGAAGGAGAAGGAGAAGAAGAAGAGACATGAACACCGATCGGAAAAGGAAGGAGGAGAGAAGTCTCGAAGTCACAGTCGTCGATCGGGAAATCATCATCACTCAAGTCGTTCCAAATCGGAAAAGAGCGCTGAGAAGCCAAAGGGGAAGGCAGCACCCGCCCCTGAGGCCATCAATGACTCCGACTTCGACATGTAAAACGGCTTATCTTGTCGTTAAGTGGTTCTAACGATAGGATAGCGAGTACTCTGTTGCATAATTGAGGTGTTTGTTTCATTCATTCGTGAGAAAATTCAGCTTTCGTACGATTCTTGGCACGTGTCAAATGTGAATCACATGACTCAATATCATTCCTTCTATTGTCATATTTGTTTTATTGAATCTAGGCAAGGAAATATGAATCGTAGGTCTCGAATCTGTTAGAAATCATTCTTAGATCAAAGTAGAGAGATAATTATGTCGAGATACATGCTAAACGATTACATCGCTGGGGAGAAAGAAACTATTACCATTGATAATAAAACCTATGAACTCCAGCAATTCAAGGGAGACCATTCAAACGAGTATCTGTTGAGTGAGATAAAGGATGGTAAGGTTGAGGGTGAGTGTCGATTATTTAATCGTGGGATCCTTTCTTTGGCATGGACAGTAAAGGATGGCAATCGTGTAGGAAGGATAATCGAATATGATCAAGGAAAAGTGAAAAGGGCAGAGACTTGGGAATCGATTATGGATGAAGAAAAGAGAAGAATTGTGAATAATGACATGACAACAGTATTGATGACAATAACAATGATAAACAAAATGAAATGTCAAGAGATCGTAGTATATCGAGGAGGATTTGACAATCAACTAAATAGAGATGGACATGGAATTGAATATGATTCAAAGAATGGAAAAGAATCTATTGAAGGCTATTGGGAACATGATAAATTAATAAGTATTATAAGAGAGTTTGATGCAGCCCAAAATATAATGATCGAATATGCAAAGGGTGATAATATCAAGCCATGGAATCGAGTTCCTCTTTATATGGGAGGATACTACATAATAGATAATGTAATTAAACGACATGGGACAGGATATTTGATAAACATTAGAAGCGGAGTTGCAGTATGTGAAGTACAATATGATAAAGGAAAAGTAACCAAAGAAATCAACTTGTGCGATGGATGGTATAAGAGTATTCTGAATATGAACGCCCATTTTTTGACAAATAATGCAAACAACACTCAAGATACTGCATTAACCGTGGTTAATAATATCGAACAAACAATCACGTCGTCTACATTATTTGATGCGTTAACTCAAAACCTAACAAAAATGATTGTCAGCGACAACAGTTGCAACGATATGACCCAGTTCAAATTAAGCGATTATACCGAGTTAGAATCGATTACTATTGGAAATGATTGCTTTACCAAAGTGAATGCGTTTCAAATACAGAATCTAAAAAAGCTGAAAACTCTAAGTATAGGGGATAATAGTTTTTCCTCCAAAGAATGTTACTCTCATACAAATAAACCAAAAACCTTTGAAATTGTGGATTGCGAATCATTGAAATCGATATCAATTGGGAACAATAGTTTTATTGATTTTGCTGGGGGATTTAAAATGAACAACTTGCCTTCATTACAGTCTCTAATAATAGGAAGTATATACAGTAATTCTTATAACTTTCTATACTGTTCTTTTGCTATTCGAGGAACAAAGGGTTTTGCACATAATGGTATTCTAATGATATAGAATTCACAAATCTTCAAAGTATTTCGTTAGGGAAATATGCATTTCGATATGCTCCTATAATAGCAATAGAAAGTAGAGGGAAACTCGATTACAATAACAAAATAGATCTTCCTTCACTGAAGACAATCACACTTGGTGAAGGTGCATTTAATGGATCAGCGAGTGGAATATCAACTCAGTTGAAAATGAGAAGTATCACAGAAGGCAATAGTTAATATTTAGATTTACCAAGTTTATCAAAAATGTATTTGGACAAATATAACTTTTCAGAAATCCGAAAAATAGAATTGGAAAGTATCACTTACCTGACACTGAACACTTTATTCTAGATATTCCAAATCTCCGAACCATAGAAAATGCTAATTTCACCCCAAAAGTATCAGAGCTACGTATAATAAGTATAAATCGCATGCACAATAAACGAATAGACGTATCTACAGTGTTAGCTAATATCTTCGTATGAACACATGACTACAGGTCAGCCTGAAATGTGTTGAACCAATTGTTTGTTTCACAACATAATGCTAAAACACATAGTATACTAAAATGAATGAGTGACCAAAACGGTAAAAGTAGTTTATTCTATCAGAATCCAAATTACATCACAAGTACAAGCTAGTGGCATCCCAACACTACTCATGTTCATAAAAACGATTTACTTCAGCATACCACTTTAAAAATAATGATCATAAAACCACATTCAACAATCTGTATTACTTTGCAATTCATCAATGTGATGCGTGACAAAATAAGAACGACAAACCATAAATACAAATATACACAGAAAATGGATCAAAAACCATTCTTCCATCCAATACGATACCCTTTATACTCAAGTACATTATAAACATAATGAAAACAACAATCCACACAAAATAACAGTACGACATCCAAGAACAAGGACTAATGGACAAAAAACATTGGAATATACAAATAAGTATCATAAAAGCAATAATATAGGAATGCGCATGATAAAGAACACCATTAAAAGTACGGTACCAATGATCTCTTTTGTTCTTTTAAAAAAAGACAAGCTAGATCAATAACACGATGCAACAGTGCCAAAAAATTGAAAGGACAGCAAGGAATAGCTTTTTTATGAAACTACTACGAACAGAACGTACACCCGATAGAATGTAAGATTCAATTAAACCATAGATAGCCGAAGCCATTCAAAAAAATACATAACCCATCAGAGACCCCCGTGTTGTTCATTTCTTTTTAGTAATGATATGTTTTTCTATTAGTTTTGTGCTTCTCTATTTAAACCTTGTTTTTATTGTTATTCGAGAGCGTTCTTTTGTCTATAGTGATTCTATGGAATATACTCTGAATATTCCTTCAAGAATGTCTATGGCATCATTCAATAATACGAATGGCACAAAGGTGATGTCTATGTATCGCCAGGGAGCAATTAAGTCACCTCCGAGGATAGTTCAGTCTGTGAATAAGACAATTAAAATTCCTCGAAAGCGTAATCAGCGTGCTCATGGCAGATATGAATTTGTCTCGAAGACCTATGCCATAAGTGTGAATAATTTCCTAATGCAGAGAAGAGATTCTCAGCTACGTTCCTATGTAGAAAAAACATGTGCGAATGCTTCCTCATATCCACCCTGCTCATTTATGTCACAGGTCTCTAATACTCTTAAAAGAAGGAAGAGGAGTAATGTTTTTACCCATTTTAACTCTTTGCGATATACTCCGACGGGTACTGTTTGTGAGGGATGCAGGGCAATCATGCATCCCAAATTCTTGTTCAAAACTGCCGTAAATGGTCTGCTCATTCGTAAATTTATTGGCAACACCGAAACAAACGAAATCTACACTGTACAGAATCGTACCGTTTTGTGATGATATGTGTGATGAATAGCTTATTACCCGCCTGAGGGAAGCGCAGAATACAACGTTACTGCCGTCTATTCGATCTTTGGCCTCAATCGTCTTTTTACCATTCCCGAGCTTCTCTACCGTTTTCACGGGTATTCTCCACTTCCTTTCTCTCACACTCCACAGAAACATTATTATTGTCATTATGGGAACGTTAAGTATCGAATCCGAATGTCTCTCGTACATTCGCAATCATTACCTTCCGTCGCGTCTCACCATTTTGCTCTATCTCGTCGGCCCTTCCCGATACGAATACGGTCATTACCCCATGAACGCCATGCGCTCGTTCGGAATCAGCAACGTCAAAACTTCGCACTACATCGTCATGGACATCGATCTCCACGTGACCAGTAAAAATCCTCCAATGAATTCCACACAGCGAACACACTCTACGAGTTAACGCATCTCCCGCGATACCTCTACGAAGCCGATGATGTGCTCGTGATCCTCCCGATCTTCTTCACTCCTCGCTTACTGCGCTATTGCAGCAGCGTGGAGTCCTGCGCTTTTTTGTTTGTTTTATCAAAGTGTGTTTGAATAGAGCGAGCGCGGTTCAACCCGAAAACAAACAGCAATTATTGATGTGTGTGAATAGCCAGTTCTGCGCTTCTTCGAAGCACAAAATACGAACGCATGTACACGCGAGATGGAGGGGTGAGGAATAGTATTACGTGATGCCGGAGTGGTATTTCACGAGCACTCGAGTGTCGCGGATCAAATGTTTCATTACGGACATGATGGAGCCGTATGTGATGGTGAAACACACGCCGAAAACACCGTTGTTTGATAGCCGTTTTATGGATTATGGGTACGATAAAGTGGCACTAATCGAAGAATTCCGGCAGCGGAATTATAAAATGATGATTCTGAACAATGCGTTTGCGATGGATTATCCGCATCCGTTGTAGGAAATTGAGAATATTGTGAAGTAGTTCGAAATTTAAAACGGTGTACGCGCAAGAAGAGGTGCAGGGGAAGATGGAGAAAGTTTACAGGAGTATTTTGAGGAGGTTGGAGAGAGAGTATGGAGGAAAGCCACACTTTCCGATTTGTAAAAGGATACAGAAGAGCTATTATGAGCCAATACCAGATGAATAGACTGCTTGTTTGTTTTTTACGCTATTTGGATGTGGACAGTGTGGATTATTCTAGTAAATATTAAACTGAACCATGGGATACATGCATTAAAAGGAGAAGCATCACTATCCCTAATAGGATATGTATAATAGTATCATGATTGTATAATTAGATGATATAATCTACCAAAGAATTGCATAAAATGAGAGAGTGAACGGGACGTAACAAATAGGAAATAATCTCTGCAAAGTTGAATCTTCATTCCATTCTAGTTATCTGCATGTATGTGATGCATTTCATGTCGTAAGATAGCCCTACATGCAAAAAACGAATTACTATAGCAAAAAGTGGAATTCCTTACAATTTTCCACTTCACTATGAATATATGATCTATGATAACTATATAAAATACAAAAATACACCATTCACTGAATTACCTAAAAATCCTAAGAATAACAAGGATCCAACTATGATTGATTGACGGAGACATGATGTACTTTACAACTACAATAGAAATTAGGCAGTAGGACAACCCTAACCTCAAAAAAACAATACTTAAATTAACCCTATTTATTTCCCACCACGGTGTATATGAGCTTGTGCACTATATATTATTAATAGAATATATAACTGAAGATAGTGGGGAATGAATCATCTCCTGACTTTTGAAACGATTTTCAGTAGGACTTATGTGTACGTGTTTCATTATAGATACAACACCCTTTTTTCATAATTATGAAAGAATCGGCGAACCTATGCCATATATAAAGCATGGAAAGAATTATTATATGCAGCGCTATAGTGGAGAGCATGAGAATGAGTATACGTTAATAAATGAGCAGGAAATATGCCATTACCAAAATGGTTTATTACTGAATGTATGGAAACTCGAAAACGGTGAAGCAACTGGAGAGTATGAATCGTTCGGTAAGGGCTGCGCGAAATACTATGAAAGGTACAAACCAGGAAGAAAGAACACACAAATCCATGTTAAGAATAGTAAAGCAGGTTGCATAAAAGAAATAATTGACATGAATACTGAAATTGTGATATATCGTGGAGATCTTGATGGTGACTATCGAAGACTGGGTCGAGGAATCGAATTTGATAGTAGTACAGGTGAATTATTATTGGAAGGGACGTGGGCTGAAGATCAACTGATAAAAATAAGCCGTATTTTCAATGGTAAAGAAATGACTGAGTTCAATACTACTCAAGACAATTTGGATCCAGTATTGCGATTTCCAGAGTATTGCGGTGGATATTTGTACGATGAAGAAACGAATACTTGTTATCGAGATGGGATCGGATACACACTGGACACGAATGGTATAGCAATGATAAAGGGAGTGTGGGAAAAAGGAGTCGAAGTGAACACAACGATCCTGACAACTGGATGGTATAACACAAAAGAAAGTTGTTTGATGGCTGATCCGAACATCGAAAGCATAATAATCGCAGCCAATAAATACGAGAAGGAGAGCTATTTGGATCTAAGCAAATACAAGAAGGTAGCAACGATCGAGATAAAAGATCACAATTTTAGTAACACAGACCATTTCGATCTAAGCGGAATGAAGGAATTGACCTCATTGAAAATTGGAAACAATTGCTTCTATATAGATGACCGTATAAATCGAATGAATCGCACATTTACTATCGTGGATTGCAGTGAGTTGCGTTCGATTATAATTGGCGCACGCAGCTTTTTATACTATAGTGGTGGATTTGAATTGAATCAACTTCCTTCGTTGGAACTGATCCAAATTGGGAACAAAGAAGAAGATTCGTATAGTTTTTCCTACAGTAACTTAATATTGAAAGGCAAATCGTTTGGAATGGGGATGATGAGTAGATTTACCCAAATTGAAAACGGTCATATTGGGAAATCATGCATTTGAAACACAAGAATGTATTGAATTATCGAGTAGGAACGAATGTGGTGTGTTTCTTATTGAATAGATCTTCCTTGTCTGGAAACGCTAAGTCTTGGATGGGCAGCACTGTCAGGACTCAATAGTGGTTCATCATTAGTTATGAAAAGTAGAGAAGTGAGAATGGAACAAACGAATAGATCTTCCGAATCTGAAAACATTGACTTCCAAAGGGTTCAGTTTTCATTATATTCAATCAGTTGAGTTATTGAGTATCGAATCCTGAATGATGATAATAGAACAGACATTCCCAATCTCGAAACTGTGGATTTGAAAATACAGGAAGTCATTTCCGATCCATCTTATCCATTTTCGGAAGTAAAGAGAGCCAAAATGACTAGTAATGAAATGATGTGTTTGATAAACCGAAGATGTTTCTATTCATTTAACACAATATATACGAATATCTGACAAGCCGACGAGCAAACAAAGTCTCAAGTTCAGCCAGATAAAGATTAGCGCCAAAGAAGAACTCCTAAATATTCCTGATAATTCGTGTAATGACACACATATTTTTATCGATATAAACCAAATGGAAGTATTAAAAGAATTGACTATCGGTAAGAATTCATTTCAAGGTGTTGGTGATTTCGATATCCATGATCTAAATGAATTGATTGAAATATCAATCGGCTATCATTCATTTGTAACTAGTTGTAATCCAAACCCACATGGTTCATTCAATGTATCGAACTGTAAAAAACTGGAATCAATCAAATTAGACTCTTTTACTTTCTCTCATCATTCCGGTCCATTTACAATAGAGAATCTTCCTTCCTTGCGATATTTGGAAATCGGCAAGATAGGAAGTTATTCTCTAAATTTCTACTGGGCTTCATTTTGTGTTCGAGGTATTTGTATCGCAACGATTTGAACTAGATCTACCGAAACTTGAATCGATTGTATTAGGAAATGAAGCTTTCACATTATCTTCGCACACAGTATTTGATAGTATTTTATTGATGTATTGGAATTGAGTGTTTAGATTTGATCTCTTTGAAAAGGATCGAACTGGGAGAGAAAGCGTTGATGGGACCAGATAATGATAATTGTAGAGTTGAGTTAAAAGGTATAAACAAAGTAAAGGTACAATTGTAGACCTACCGAAACTGAGTAAACTCAAAGCAGGTCCAGATTGTTTCAAGGAATGCCGAGCTATAACGGTTTTGAATGTTCCATCGGTTGAAGTGGACATTGACAAGAATTCGTGCTTTAAGAAAGTGCTTTTTGTGTATATGTCCAATGCCAGTCCATCTCTAAATGAGTGTCTTCCTATCTAATGAGGAAAGAGTTGGTTGGTTGACTGGCTGAATAACTAGATAACTAGATAAATGAATGAATGATTGATATGTTCCAAACTGTATAGTAAAGAAAACGAATAATGATGAATAAACACTTAATGATAGATATAGTATAGATAGAATATGTGTTTGTTTGAATGAAGATGTATGATAACTTGTGAAGAATCATTCAAACTGAAATTGTGCTATATTGGAATATCGTATACCAAAGTGTGGAATCGAGATGAATGAATGAATGAATACTATATTATACTATACTATTCTATATATGTAAAACAAAGATTCGAAAGCAAAATCACGAAATACCAACAAAACGTTTATACTCGTTTACAGTGGTTTGAGTTACGATTTTGACAAAATTATCTCGATTTGCAGGTGTACTATCTACAATCTCTGTTCCCAAAGCATTCCGCATTCTTTTCATAGTTGTTACTATTTCAGCGACATTCACAGGCATAAACATAATTCGCAAGCTTCGAAATTTTCGAATATCATTATAAATACGTTCCCAAACATCCCTCAGCAATTCTCCATCTTTATTCTTATCTATTTTACAAAAATCAAAGTCTCCATGATTCGGATAATCGCCCACAATCAACATGAGATGATTATATTTTCGGAATGGTGGCTTTTTCATTTGTTCCAAAGCTCGAATCAATCCTCCTTGAATATCTTCACAATTGCTTCCACATCCAGCACCATCGGCACCACCGGTTGCTTTGAAGGAAGCTAATTTATTCTTCAAACGAGCAAAATCGCTTGTGATATATTCGTCTTGTTCTCCCACCATATTATCAGCATAGTCTTTAAACTGGACGACCTGACCAACAATGCCTCCTTCCGGAATTTCACAATCTGTCTCCAATTGTTTTATACTATCGATTATTCTTTCTATATTGTCTCTAGTTGCATTAATAAATCCGCCCATTGATCCTGTGGTATCTATTACGATACTCAAACAGAATCGCTTTTCTTTGACATCCGTGATTTCTCGCAATTCCATCATTTTCTTGTCAGGAAGAACTACTTCATCCATTTTGATTCCAGATACCAGTTTGTTATCCAATAATCGTTCTTCTTCAAATTCTTCGGTGTTACACAGCCAAACCGCAGCATTGCTGATCCAGCGTGCAGTTCCATCTTCTGTGAATTCCAAAAATAGCTTGGATGCAGCTGTATCAAGGATCATTCTGCCTTCTCTACTATCTTCTTGCTTCTCTCTCACCATAATTGAAGCATTTCCCTCGCTTTCCTTCGCAAATATCCGGAATCCGATTCTTTCAAATTCATGCTCATTCAACACGCATAGGGTTCTTCCTTCAAAGATTCGCTTGATACCAAAATCTAACTTGGATAACTTAGTGTAATCCATCGCTTTTCCTCCGATCGAAACGAAGTGACCAGGTGTGGGTACATTTTCTTTAGATCTTACCATAACATTTCCGCCCTTGATACTGTACTCTTTGTCGCCCACTGCTTCAAATCCATAGAATGTCTTGAAGTACAAATCAGCCTCATAAGTGAAAGGATAGTTCTCTAAGAACCAGAATACGCCACCTCCTCTTATGTTGAATTCATGAACGCAACTCACAAAAGCATCGGCATATTGATTGGCATCATTATCACACTCTTTTGCCATAATTCCATCTCCAGGAGAACAGGTTATGAATGTCATCCGATATCTGCCACTCATTAATTCCTTGATAGCGCTTTTGTAATCATAAGCAAAGGCAATCTTGAATCCTTTTCCAATAGGTTTTCCATCAATTTCATGACTCCCAAGTTTTAGAATAGGTGAAAAGGCTTTCCCATTCAACACCCTACCATTGCACAATACATCCTCCGTGATATATTCATCTATTGTTTTTCCTTTGTCATCCACTTCCTCTCGACACAAATAAAGAATGATAATCAAAATCGAATAGTGACCAAAAGCTCCATCCACTCCCAAATCATACTTACTGTCGTTTATATCGCCAATTACTTTAGCTTTACCTGTTCCATTTGCATCATCCGTTTCATCAACAAAACGGATTTGGCTTAATGTAGTTTCATAATAGCTACGAATACCGCATATTTCTTGAATTATGTTATTATAGGTTTGAGTAATCGGATCATTCGTCATTGCTTCACATATTTCTTTCTCTGGTACGGCATTTACATCCTTGTTCATGGTTGGAGTAGTTAGTGTGAAGAAAGTCTCAGACAATCGAATAGGATTTGAATTCCAAATCATCGTGGGGAACAAATCTTCAAATCCACACAAATACAATCCAAGTCCAACTCCAAGATAAGTTATTTCATTTCCGTTTACAATCGACTTGATCTCTTCTCTGGATTCATTACATAACACACCATTTGTTAACACCATCATTACAGATTGGAACGATCGAGCGTTACAGGTGCTACAAGCATAGCGAATACAATCTGGCAAGCAAGTATTTTGACAAGGAGACAATAATTGTTGATACAACGCAGCCACAATATTGCTTTCCCATAAATCCATCGATGAAATACCAGTAGCAACACGAATAATATCTCTAGATGCCACCCACAAATCAATGCAAGGTAGCTGCATATTGCTCAGATTTCGAAGGATTAAAAAGATTGTGATCAATGAATGAACTCGGTTCGTTTCACTGAATGCGATCGAAGAACAGTCAATCACAATACTTGCATTATAGCTTCGAATCTTCTCACTTCCAAGCTTCTTGAAAAACTTGCCATCTCCAATCTTGCTAACAACATACTTGATGTAGTTTGCCATATGAATCGATGTTCCTGAAGTGGATGCAACAAAGGCTGTCGACTTATTCGGAACGAACAGAGACATGTTCATTGCATCAAATAGATTTTCACCTTGAATAACGCTATTCAACTTCTTTAATACAGCAGAGCCACCTGTTGTTGTGGGATAAACAAGCAAATCCTCATCAGAAATATCAATCATTTTAGCTGAATTTGCACTTGATATTGTATTGATCGAAACTATGGATTTGTTCACTTTGAATATGACTTGCAGATTATCATAAAGATCTCGAGCATAATCGATCTGATTAATTATGTCCTTTGTCACATTCATGTTCACTTGTGTCGTATCATAGAACAGGTTGATAATGCTTGGATTTAATAGATTAACAATGTCTTCCACTCTTTCGATGGTGATTAGATTGTCATTGAATTTCGCGGTCAGCAAACTTTCAAGTAATGATTGATTTGATGCACTAAGTACCTCATCTTTATTTGTTCCTTTGACGCATAACAAAAACAACTTGGTATATGTTCTAAATATGTCTACTATTTTCTTGTTTTTCTCTGACAATAGCTGCTCACTGAATCCATCACTCACGATCACTGTTGGATCCTTCTCATCGAATTGCCCCTTAACTGTTAAAAGATCCAGTGGAGTCGATGGCATCTTTACCACTCCCTCTAAATCAAACAGCAAAGAGATAATTTCAACAATCGATCGATTATCTAAAGGAATATATACACCTCTGTATCTTCCACAAAATACAAACAAATTGAATGATATCCCAAGCTCTCTTATTACCGTTATCAAAATACAAGATATGATTGTTCGCATACGAAGTTTATATTTCCGCAAACTGCAGTTGGTATCAATAATAATATTGACTGTAGTATGAAGTCTATTTCCCATGTAGTTCATTTCATTTAGCTTCTTTATCAAGTGAACTGAGGTGCCAATTATTGCATCAACAATAGATTGATTAATAACCATCTTTTTGTTCCCAAGTTTTTTTGTAGTTAATGTATTTGTCGTGTTCAATGGCTCGATGTATTTGTTTGTCATCCGTCGATTATAGACCATTTTGAAGATTTCATCCATACTCATTTTGTTCATTATTTCGAGATATGCCCTGTAATTTACTGACTTATACTCTTCTTCTTTTTCTTCTTTATTTTGCGTATCCTTGGTTGATGAATCGTTTTTCTCTTGATTCGTGTTTAGATCTTCTTGCTCAGCCATTTCATTTTCAACCATATTGGCGACACGATTTTGCACTTCATTCTTTAGTTGCTCAGATACATGAACGACGTACTTTGCATGCATCTCCTCTTTTTCCTCTTCACCTTCACCATCATCATTCACAGTATATAGCTTTTCTTCTGCTTCTTCAGCATTATTTTCCGGTTGCTCCTCAACCTTTATGGCTTCTCTTTTTACTTTATTCACAGTAGAATTCCACTCTAGTAATGATCCCCGGTTCGATACCATGTTCAATACAGATTTTGCAGCGTTTCTAATCGTTGGAAGCATAGTAGTACTCGAACAACTATTCAGTATTTGTAGAATTGTATCTTGGTCTTTGCTCTTTGCAGACAAGATAACAAGAGATAGGTCAGAAAAAGCAGATAGGAACTCGCTTATAGACTTGGATTGTAGTCTTTTGATAGAGGTAGAAGGACTTGTTTGAGCCTTGACAGTGATTTTGACAGCATTTCTGTAGTATTCTTTGTTAAACACAGAAAATCCTTTTTCATCCCATGTGAAACAATTGCCATAGTTTTTGTACACATATGGATTTGAGGCATACGATGACACTTCAATGAATGGGTATGTTAATATTTGAGTCCTTTTATCAATATTAGTATAAAACGTGTAATTACCATTTGCATAAACATTGACATTCAGGGGAACTGATTCTGGGTATAGACAGTAATGATCTCTTTTATATTTAGTAAATGAGCAGACAGCAGAAGTCATTATAAGGTCGGGCAGAGGTTTTCTTTCATACACTAAATAAAATTCCTCTTTTGCCAATATTTGTTGACTAATTGCTAAATAAACAGAAGCTGTTAGTTTGATTCTTTTTGTCCCAATGTCATTATCTTTCATCACAAAAACAAATCGGGACGATCGTCTAGAAATATCACAATCACTACCTTGCAGATCCAAATATACATCTTCGCTGGTTGACAAATAAGATAATTCAATCTGATTTCCATCATCTCCCTCGTAACTGTTCGGCAGAACATACATTTTATTTTCAGGTAAGCAAATGGATGCTGTTTTTCCATCGAAAAGTACTACGATGACATCATTCAAGGAATGGTCAATCGAGATTTTATATGTCTTATCCCTTTTTCTTGGGAAGAAATAGCCCGCAATACTACCAACTTGATTTTTCATATTGGTAAGTTTCTCATTTAGCACTTCAATATTATCTTTCATACTATTAACTTGCTTTTCAAGCTCCAGTACATCATCAAGTTCTTTATTGTAGTTGCTCACATCATCGATTGCCTCATTTTCAAGAGCAGACATCGGATATAAGTCATATCCGTAGCTAATAAAGTCGTGATGAGTCCAGTAGGTTTTACGAGAATCGCATGCAACGTTATCGAACGGTAAAATATCATTTGCTGATTTGATTTCGTTGCATTTTAATACATAGTAGTAAGTGGAATAGTAAGTGGGTTTGAAGATTTCACAAGTATATGGATCATAGCAATAGAAATATATCATGGATGATGTGTAATTGGCGGAATATAAAAAATGAAGTCGATTATATTTCCCTAATTGCTGTTCAGAGATAGGAATGCAGTACTTTAACTCAAATACGTTGATAAGATGCTTCATGCATTTCAGACAATTTAAAATGCAATACATTTCCCAATCATATTCCTGATAGTTACCAGTAACCCAGTGTGATTTTGTGACACAATATTGACAGAGAAAACTTCTTGTATTTGTATAATATGCCAAAAATATCCCTTCTTTGTCCATTACATCTACCCCTTCAATGTGCATTGTGACTTTCCACTTAAACGGTGCCAATGGTAAAATTAACAAATAACCATTATTGATATTCACACTATATGACGCGAAATCATTTGATATTTGGATAATATTTCTTTGTAGCATACTACAAACATCACTGGGAGGTAATAACGTGATCGTAGCAACTGTTTCTTGATTCACAAGTTTGTGATTCTTCGGTATGAATATCATTTGAAAATCGAAGGGGTGATAATACTTGCTGACATTCATCTTAATTTCATACTGTTGATAGGGTTCATTGTTCAGAAAAGATGCAACTTCATCTTCCCTAATATTGTTAACGGCATACATATAGCTAAGCATTCTAATAGTATTTTCATTTCGCTTTTCAAAGTGTTCAACCATTCCTTTTTCTCTTGTCTTTCTTTCTGCGATTTGAGTGTATTTTTTGACAAGATCGTCTTTCTTCTTGTCTAAAGCTTTCCGTTGTGATTCAAATGCTCTATGATTTTCTTTATACTTTTCTTCTGCATCCTTGATTTCTCTCTGTAGCTTCTCAACAACTAATTTGCAATTCGCTTGAGCATTGGCAATGACTTTATTGACTAGATCATCAATGCTGTTGATCGATTTGAAAACCTGAGCAAACGAATCACGTAATACTTTAACGCTCATCATATCCATGACAATACTACCTTCCATAGTTCGCTTACGAGGACAAAGAATAGCCAATTTGTCCTTCATCTTTAAGGGACATTCAGTACTCCATAGAAACAGCATAACGTCATGTGGAGGATTTACTGGATTGTGTAGTAGTTGTTCCATTTGAAGAACAATGCTTGGGATCGTGGTAGCAGGTGGTACAAGAGAAGCAATATCGCACTTCCACCAGATATCCACTTGAGATATCTCCTTGTAATCAAAAAGATGTAGATCACTGTAACTATCTATAGCTTCTAAAATCAATGGAACTCGCAATTCAACTGATTTTGGCTGAACAGTGGAAAAGGCTTGTATGACCAATTTCCTTTTAAGCTCCAAGCATGCCTCAGATTTTTCTTTCACTTTATCATCAATTGACTTCCAGTAGGAATCATACCAATCTCTTTCAAACAGCATTTCAATAGCTGCTTCAAAATTCCCTTGAGATACTTCAGCAGGAGTTACAAATGGATACTCACTATAATCTTCTAACAGCTTTGTCCATTCCAGTTTTTCCATTTCTTTTTTCAATAAAACATTCAACATGGTCATCAAGGGAGGTAGGCAATCGGCAGAATGCCCGAAATTTTTCAAAATATCGGCTAAATTCAGGTCTAATTCTTTCAATACATCTGTATATTCACTCAAAATGAATGGATAGTTTTTGAATGATTTTA